TATTAAAATTATATATATATATATATATATATAGAGAGAGAGAGAGAGAGAGAGAGAGAGAGAGAGAGAGATAGATTATCATTATTTATAAAACGTGATGATGGATTTTAAAACGGCAATAATAATTATTATTATACGTGGTTTTATATAGCGTGGTACCCTAGCCTAGGGCTGGGCTCACCACACTGTACATACAATTAATAAAAATCTGAAATAATTAATTGACATACATTAATTAAATAAAACAAAACAAATGTATATATAAAACTATTTACATCTCAAGCCATTGACGACACTCAGTACCATCGTTTTACGGTCAGAGGTGGGAATCAGTCAGGATAGTAGAGATTGAATAGATGTGTTTTGAGTGCAGTTTTGAAGGTTGTGATGGTCGGTTTATTGTGAATGTGTAATGGAAGACAATTTATTTATTTTATTTATTTAGGCATTTTTTTATAGCGCTTACCTTATAGCTCTAAGAGCTTTACAATTATTAAAAATATGTAAACTATTTAAACTGCTAAAGTAAAATAAAAAGGAAAAAACCAGAGACACTAGAATAGTAACTACAATAAAAATGACTATAGAAACAGTAGCTTAAACATTAAAATGGCTATAAAAACTAGTACACTTTGGCACGTTTTGGCCTATACTACAGGATCAACCCGAGACAGAAAATGAGGCAGGGCAAGGAGACAGGAAAGTAAGGGTCAGTGAACGAGTTGAAGCATAGATTGGCAGACTTGTACTTGATGCGAGAGGATATTGGAAGCCAGTGGAGTTGCCGCATGTGTGGTTGAATGTGGTCATGTTTCTTTGATTTAAAAATGAGTCTGCATGCTGAGTTCTGTGCCTTCTGAAGTTTTTCTATGTGGTGTTGAGGAATGCCTGCGAGAAGAGTGTTACAGTAGTCAAATTTTGAAAGAATGAGTGAAGAGACGAGAGTTTTTGTGGCATCAAAGGAGAGGAGGTGTCTAATGGTGCTGATTTTTCTAATTTCGTTATATGCTGATCTGCATATATTCGTGACAAAAAGGAGAGGAGGTGTCTAATGGTGCTGATTTTTCTAATTTCGTTATATGCTGATCTGCATATATTCGTGACATGTTTGTCCATGGAGAGGGTGTCCGTAAGCGTGACTCCAAGGTTTCTGGCAGAGGGAGAGAGTGTGATGTCAGAGTTGCCAATAGATATAGAAGAAGGAGCGAATGGAGGGAGAGGTTTGTTTTGAGAGTGGATGAGAAGGATTTCCATTTTATCATCATTTAGCTTCAGTTTGTTGCAAGTCATCCAACGCTTTACATCGTCCACGCACTCCTGTATGCGAAGGATTGTGGCATCAAGTTGATCAGGAAAGCAAGAGCCACTGATTTGAGTGTCATCAGCAACGGATTGACTGGAAACTGAGTGGTGGCTAATGAGAGATGATAGAGGTTTAGTGTAGAGTGTAGAGGATGAAAAGGTTGTTTGGATGCACAGAAAGAGAACGATCGTTTACCATGTTTTTGTCCGAGTCTTGGGGACAGAAAGAATATGCGCGTCTGCGGAGGAGCGAAGCTGTCGAAGGGGTGAATAGACAGAGAGAAGTTCCGTTAGATAGGAAGGGGAGGAATTAAAGAAAAAGTTGTGCCAGAGAACAGAGAGTTAGTAGTCAATACGTGCTTGTATAGGGAGCCAATGAAGTAGTGGTGTGACGTGATCACGTTTTCTTGCCTTTAGAATTAGTCTAGCTGCTGAGTTTTTAACCTTTTGTAATTTTTCTAAGAAATGTTTTGGTGAAACTGATAGAAGAGAATTACAATAGTCAAGACGAGAGAGAACAAGAGCACAGACTAGGGTTTTTGTTGCACCAACTGTAAGATATTGGCGGATGGAGCTTATCTGACGTATGCAGAGTGACAAATGTGAGAGATATGATTATTGAGAGACATATTGTTAGACAGTATATAACCAAGATTCCTAGTGGAGAAAGTAAACTGTATATCGGAGTCACCTACATGAAATGAAGTGGGGAGAGCTGAGTTTGAGGATAAGTTATGATCGTGAATAAGGAGTGCTTCCGTTTTTTTCATCGTTAAGCTTCAACTTGCTGAGTGTCATCCATGTCTTGACATCATCAATGCTCTCCCGCAAAGTCCGGATAGCAGAATTGACAAAGAGAGGGATGGATATGCTTGTATAGCTGCATGTCATCTGAAAATGACTGGCTCTCCACAGCATGCCAGTAACTATGCTATAACTACAAGGAATAAAGCAATGCTTCAAATGTACATTTTTCCATAGAAGGCCTTTTTTAATCTGTGAAGACTGAAGAGAATGATTAAAATGGCGAATGAGTTGGACTGCTCATAATTTACCTTTTCAAAATGATTTGGCATTTATTTGTACAACTAAAAATATTAAATGTGTTGTCTTAGGGTCTCAGCAAAACGCTACTACTTGGATGGTAGCAACACAAGAAGTCTTCTTGATCTTGTTACCAGTGCAGCACGGCCCTTTTGGCTTTTGGGGGTTAATTCCATTATTATATAATGATGTTGGACGCAATTTTATGATTTCACCCTGGATTAATTCAAGCTACGCCACTAACTAATATTAATATGCAGTATGAAATATTTTCGCGGAATTCACGCCCCTCTCATACTCATACTAGACTATACTCATATTTCATATCATATCTGCTGGAGACGGGCAAGGCCAAGAATTATTTTAGTAAAAATAAACCAGTTGTTTTTTAAGTTCATTTGCAAAATTGAAAATGATTTTGAAAATGCATTACTAAACACACATTTTCAGCTAATTCTATAAATTAAAGATTAACCACATTAGTGATAGAAATTGAAGAAAAAAAAAATTGTAGATCGACAGCTCGGCTTAAAATTTAAAGAACACTCCCTTGTGTTTTGATACGGTTTCTTCCGACTCCATGTTGGAGGGGCTAGAGGTCATAAATATTAATATTTGTTTAGAAAATGGCGTCGGCCATGAAGATTATTTTACTCGCATGTTGGATATTACAGAAATGCACTATAAGTAATGGATCGACGCATTGGATTGTAACCGAGGATGGCAGAATACAAGCGCAGGTATAGTCTTATCATTTATTAAAATGGTTTAAATATTCAATTTTTATTGAATTCTCAATCTTTAACGAAGGCAAAAGGCCTCTGAGTCTGAGCTCTCACTCACACTGACACTCACTCTGCTGCCTCTGCTTTGACTGTCTGACAAGATATGTTTAGGCTTAGGCTTGGAAAAAAAAAGAAGACAATTTACATTATCATTGAAATTTAAACGTCTGGCTTTGGCACTAACTCAGCCACTTATTTCTAAATTTGAAGCAGAAGCATTGCCTATAGCCTATGGCTATGGGCTATCCCGGCTATGGCAGTGAAATATTACTACACCTGCTAGGAGCACTGACTGCACTGTGACCATCAGTGTTATTTGCACCTGCACACCCATCATAATCCCACCTGCCTGCCGCTTCTTAAATTTAAATGGGTCCATGCAAAGAGAATGTGTCATGACTTCATTTACGTGTTTATTTAAGATTCTTGCAGGAGTCCATCCCCTTTGTTTATTTTTTAGAATTATTTAGAATTTATTAATACGCAGAAGGAATGTTAAGTTAAATATTGAATTGGTTTTTTGGTTGTTTTCTGAGTTTATTTTCATATAGGCCTAAATGCCAAAATTTAATGATGATTTTTTAAATTAACATTAAATTTAAATTTATTTCTTGAAAAATTTACGTTTATTCATTGGAAGTTATATGGAAGAAGTGGCGATGAAGGAATATTTCAACATTTAACGGCTGCTACAAAAGTTCATGGGAATAATTAACTGATATTAAAATAAAAGTTAAATTTTATGTCAATAATTACTTGCCATTTTGTTTTTAAGTGTCATTCTTAGCGTGTGGAAATTTTAGAATGTTCGAAATGTAGAGAAATAGAGAAATTAATTTTTTAATTGCGTAATTTAAAATTATGTGGATATAGAAAGGAATTCTTAAATATTATGTGATTGCTCATCTTGATTGTGCTCCAGTGTCTGCGGTAGGTTCAAATTTTTTTTTTTTTTGCCACGTCAATTTGTTGGTTTTTTTTGTTTGGATAAATAAATTTTGGGTAAATTTATGCAGATGGAAGCTGAATTTACTTCCCGTTTTTGGAATCGTCTGGAATGTCAGGGCAAATAGAGTGTGATAGATGGGTCATGAGTGCTGGTTTTATTGTAGACCGGTACTTTTTCCTCTGTGATACTTACTCTTGCCAAATTTGGATTCGTCAATCTCTACAATTTTACCCTCTCTGGCTAAACTCTCGCTAGCTAAAACACATGCTTCCACGCCGACCTCGCGACAAAAGCTGACTGTCTGTTACGGCAAACCGACTAACGCTGACTTCTGTCTTAGGGTTCAGGTTAAGTTTAGGGCTAGATTTAGGGTTCAGGTAGGTTTAGGGCTAGATTAGGGTTTGGGTTAGGTTTAGGGATAGATTTAGGGCTCAGGTTAGGTTTAGGGTTCAGGTTAAGTTTAGGGCTAGATTTAGGGTTCAGGTAGGTTTAGGGCTAGATTTAGGGTTTGGGTTAGGTTTAGGGATAGATTTAGGGCTCAGGTTAGGTTTAGGGATAGATTTAGGGTAGGATTAAAATTATGTATTGCCTGATTTTACTTCATTAAATTTGCATGTTTTTTACTAATTTTTAAAATTTGTAATTTGTTGAATTTTTCGCTTTTTCCAAAAAAAAGTTTTTTTCCTTTTATTTAAAAATTTTTTGGAAACAAACTTTTCATGAACTAATATTAATTTCCTTATTTAAAAAAAAACTATTTCTTGTTAAATTGCTTATTTTTCTATCTTTTGGTAATTTTTTGAAACAGAACATTTTCACCCATCCTCTCTCTTTTTTTTTATCCCACATGTCTTGTTTGACACGATACGTGACCTTTCACGGGTTGTGTCAACCAAGATGGCGTCCATGGAAAAAAAATGGCGCAATCTCTTTGCATTTACCTTTAAATGATTCTAAAACTCAAAAAAAGGTTGCTAACCCTTGGCCTGATTTTTAAAAATAAACAGCTGTTTCAATGGGGCGTCTAGTAACAAACATATTTTTTGTCAGTAGCACACTTAAACTTAAGTCTTAAGAAATTTGCAAAAGGTGAATCCATGGATAGGTACTTCGGTAAAGCAAGGGAGAATACTAACAATTTTGTATGGGAAATGGGCATCGGCACTGAGGAATCCAAGTTTTTAATTCTTGGAGGTTTGGTGCCTTTCCATTAACAAAATGACTATTTTGTCATAAAATTGTGGTATCCTTCCATATTTTCACACTAGGGGACATCTTGACCTACATTCCAACATATTTTTTTGCCTTGCTTGATCCACAGACCTGTTTACTCTTACGATTTTGGCGTACAATGTACGATTTTGAGGTGTATAGATTGTATATACTGTATGTTTTTTTATTATGAATATAACGTATTAAATGACTTTGTGATGATATTGTACGATTTTAAGAGTTTGAGGGTAAACAGGTCTGGATCCACCTTAGTTTTAGAAATTAATAGGTGTGTAATAAAGCATCTTTTCCTCAAAAATTTGTGAAGAAATTTAAAGTTCATGTCTTTCATATTAAATTCTGAAAAGTGTTACGCATTATTTTGTTTTACTATATAGTATAGTGCGTTAAAAAAGAAATTAGACGAAATTTAATTTGTGTGAACTGGGAAAAAAAATTTGATCAAACTTCCGTCGATCAATTTTCCGGTGATGAAATTTCTTTCAAACAAAATAATCTCATCAAAAATGCTTCAACCACCCGTCCTAGATGTGTGATTACATTTATGGATTGCCTCATTAATGTAATAATTTGTTTTGACAAGGACAATGGTTAATCTGACAATGAGTAATGTAGGCTGTGTTTAAGTGTAGAGAATGGTTCCCCACTTTTCAGCTTAATTAATATGGTCAGAAACATGAAAAGCCTACTTAATAAAAAAATTTTGTTTTAATATTTTCTTAATAAACTTAAATATTTTTACTAAGTTTCCAGGCTACATACAATGTTTTTTAATTGAAGTATGACTTGAAAAGGGGCAATGACAACTTGGTATAACTTGTTTTCCCAGGGCTCAAATTGTGTAATGCACATTTGCAGTTATTTCGACACTTCCTCTTTCGGCCCTTTTAATACAACATGCCATTTGTCTTCAGATTGCAATTTGCAATTTTGATATCAAAAATTGAACTTTGTATCTGTAAATGCTGTGTTCAGCTGGTCGATAGGTTTGCTGCATATCTGAAGAATACAGTGAAGTTGCTTATTTATGCTGAATCAAGAAGAACTTATTTTTGTCTGTTGTAAATTACGCATAGGCTGTAGGTTGTTTGCACACTGCCTATCACCAGTCTTTTTAAAAAATATGATTGTTTCATATCCTGTCGTTTTAATATACAATTTTTAAGATTCAATTTAAATTTTTTGTAAATAGTCAGACTTAAATTTGAAATAAGTTTTCTTATTGCATGATTTTGTTTCTGGTTTTCCATTATTCATAAAAATGTTGTTAAAACTTCCATGGTCTAAAGGGCATTGTATATCAAATTTTTTTATTTACATCTTAGCTATTTGCAGTGTCTGATCAAATATAGTCTACCATAAAGATTTCCTGCATGCATATTTGATTTGTAAAATAAATTGACTTAGATGTCAACCATACCAGAGTTTATGAGGTTAAGAAATTTATACTTTAAATGAACTGTTGGGTATATCTTTTGGTGTATTTCCTTAGCTTGCAATTCACACAGTCAATTAAAAAAAAAAGTTGATACATTATACAATATTTAACCATGATTCAGTAGTATCATTTGACTTTTTAGTCTTACTTTTTTTTTGTGTGTGTACACAAATTTTTAAAAGGAATTTGACAAAATATCAAATTCAAATAATGAAACATATTTTTTTTACTTTGTAGGCTGACTCTGTGTACAACTTGAGGCGTCCTTATGATCTTGTGGCATTTATGAAGCAGGAGGACAGAGCTAGCATGTTAAATACTCTGAAAAAAGAGTTGCTCAGTAGAAAAGATGAAATAGATAAAAATGAAGATAGGGATACAGGTAAATGTAACTGTGAGCCAACGACCAAAAACTCACATAATTTAACTGTAAATTTGTATTTGTTTTAATATGCAAAATGTCCTTAAGGGCTCAAATTATTTGGTTAGTTTGTTGATTTTGTTGGTGTAAATATTTTTTTCGAGTAATAATTATGTTTAAACTTCTCACCACTTTTTAGGCCTAGATTAATTCTTTCCACAACTCTGCCTATGTATAATTAGTTGTTTTTTTTTTTTTCTGAATTCTATTACCTTGTTAAAGTTAATTCCAGGATTATAAAATATTACATTTTTATGTTTAGAGCAGAAGTTAATTATGTTTAAACTTCTCACCACTTTTTAGGCCTAGATTAATTCTTTCCACAACTCTGCCTATGTATAATTAGTTGTTTTTTTTTTTTTCTGAATTCTATTACCTTGTTAAAGTTAATACCAGGATTATAAAATATTACATTTTTAGGTTTAGAGCAGAAGTTCTATAAGACCAACTCTGATTGCATTGAAGCAGGAAAACCATTACCTGAATTCGACCTGTATATCAGCACAGTTTTGCCATTAGAAAATAAAGGAATAAGGTAAAGATTTCATGATGGTATCTTCATGTAGTTCATGACTATTTTGTCAAAACTAATTCATAATTGAAATATTAATTGTTAATTTGAGACAAATTTAAGTGATAGATCTGCTATATCTGTATGCAATTTTTATTCGAGGATCTAAACAATCAAAATTTTTACTAAATTGCAAGTGGGCCATTACTGTGCTAGCTCCAGACTGTAGGGGTGTGCCGGACCCCGATCCGGAATCCGGTTCCGCCGGATTTTGCACTATCCGGTGAAATCCGGTTCCGCCGGATTTACATGTATCCGGAACAACCGGATTCCGGAATCCGGAATATACCGGATTTCGGAATTTGCCAGATTTTGTGACTCACCGGATCATAATCTGAAATAAAAGTAATTCTCTTTCCCGAATTTCACACGATCACGATACATTAATCGATTGTTTCGAGCGTTGAGCTTGTTTAATGTTTAATATTCCGTACATACCAGAGGCTAGAGTCAGCACCGCTAATAGTGGCCAATAGTGTAGGGACTTTGATAAGAAAATTTAAACTTTTTGTAAAAATAAACCAATGGCATAGTTGAAAAGATGTAATTTTTTAAAGAATTATAACACCAAAATCATATTTTTAGCTGTTGTAGTTTTAAAGTTATGAATTTTTAAAGTACGACTTGGTTTGTCATTTTTTAACATGGACTGCATCTCCACATTCTGTGATCTCATTCCGCCAATCCCGTCATGCGCAATGACTATATAGTTTATATAAGGCAACGCATTCCCTGCCTTATCACTAAAATACTGTTTAGACTTAGTTTAAACTTTCAACTTTGGCACATGAATAATTAATTAAAGCTTTCCCTGACCAATGGTTTAATAGTTTTTGCACACGGCAAACTCTTATGAATGAAACTCTGAGGTAGTACTACGATACAGTTATGCAAGTGGCTGTGAATGGTTGCCAATGACAACGTGTTGCACACGGTAAATTCTGATCATTTATAATATGGATTCTACCGGGTTGTTAAAGCTCAAATTAAAACATTCCAGTTTAAATGTCTTTAAATGCATTCTGAAACACAAGTTATCAATTATTTTGATGTAAATAGTGATAATAAATTAATATTTCCTAAGTATCGTCAACTTCCGCCATTAAAAAGGGGGGCGTGGCCAACCCCATGGCGAAATTAGGTTGAGCGAGCTGCATAACCTGCTGCGAACGCGTAGAAACATGGCGTCTCTCGTAAGACACTTATCCAAATGGAACGGAACTCAAATATATATCGAAAGTACTAATTTAATAATAAATAGACACACACATCGGAAAATTAAAAACTCGGATTTTTTGGCGCCGATTGCGAATTCCCATACACAAAAAGTAGTAGTCCACCTTGACTTACCGAAGTATCTACCAATAGTACCAAAATCCGGAATCCGGGAGAAACCGGAATCCGGATCCGGCGGATTTCGCATAAGAAAATCCGGATCCGGATCCGGTTGGAAAAAACGGATCCGGCACACCCCTACCAGACTGTTATGAGCTTAAATTACATTATACATATCTCAAATGTTATAAAATGTAAGCTGACCTCATCTCACATCAATGGAGATGATTGAAGCTCTTGCTCCATGCTAAAAATTACTAACTGATAGATGATTTTATAAAAAGACTCAGTGGCCACAAAATCATATGCAGTTTTTGGTCAACATCTAGATTTTATAAAAAGGGTAAATATTGCTGTCTGCAAATAAAATAATAACTGATGATAAATACCAATTATATTAACTTAAATAATAATAATTCTTTCAGTTTAATTTTTGTGCAAAGGTGTTTTTAGACATTTTTATAGAGGGTTTTTGGAAATATATGTACTGGTTTTTGACGCTGAGAGGTTGGAATGTTTGTGTAATGCGTATTTAAAGGTTTTGTATAATGTGTATTGAAAACTGAATGTTTGTGTATTGTGTATTGTAAGTTTGGCATGTTTGTGTCATGTGTATTGAAAGGTTGGTATGTTTGTGTATTGTGTATTGTAAGTTTGGCATGTTTGTGTCATGTGTATACTCTTCCACCCTGTATCCTAGTTCCATATTTTAATTTGTTTAGTTGTTTATGGATAGGCTCATTGTTTAAACCAGCACATGTGTTTTATCCTCAGACCTGAAGAGCACATAGACATAAACGGGGCACCTAATCCTAATCCCAAGCCTCCAGAGTGCACTGCTTTCATGGATTTAGAATTCAGCATTCATGCCTTTGAGCATCTAGAGGTTAGTCATGTGCATTGCTGAGATTTGGAGATTTGTCATGATTTGGAGCTAACAAAGGTTCAAGAATACTGCCTGTAGAAAAGAGAGCTTGATTTGTTAAGGCATCTTGTTATGAAAATGAATTCAAACTACATTTTTACATTAAAATATTCCTAACATTTTAAGGCCTGCTTTGTATCCTATTTTATCATGGATAATATAATATGACTCGGCTGTTGGTTAAACGCTGGTTTAACACATGACAGGTAAATTTTATTTACCGCCCTGTAATATTTCATTCATCCTACAACATTGAAATGTGAGGTGAGATGAAAGCCAGTGTTATCATTTGCGTGTGCTACACAATATGAAAGCCAGCATTATCAGTCTATGTGCTTCATGGTACAAAAGCCAGTAGTATCATTTGTTTGTGTTTCAGGGTATGAAAACCAGTGTTATCAGTTGCTTGTGTTTCAGGGTATGAAAGCCAGACACAACTTGTCAGGAACCCCGGAGTTGGGACTTAAGAATGCTATAACCCACAAAGAGAATGTAGATGATTATGGCCACCTTGTTTATGAGGCACTAAATAAGGTAATGTTTTTCTAAAACCATATCTATTAAAAGATCTACGTTTAAGAAAATTGCACATGTCGAAGTGGTGTCATACTTGATTTGGCCCTGTCATTCTATAATGGAAGAATTAACTAGAACTAAATGCAGTAATTGCCCTATGAACATTCTGTTAAAAATGGTGTTATTTATTGTAAATACCTGTAAGTTTTTTTAATTTACTACATGCAAGATCAATGATATTGATATAGTTGGTAGACGATTACTTAAATACATTTTTTAACACTCAACTTTGGAAGAAAAAATCTAATGAAAGGCATCATCTGTTTTATTTTGTGAGGGTTTTGTTTCTTACACTATTTGACATTCTCTATATGTTCTTTGATACATTAACTAAGTATATAGACAAAAAGTTCTTTTTTGTTTGTGTGAGTCTTTGAAACTAAAACCTGTTTAACAATTTGTGGCGATTAAATGTCTCTGTAGAATAAAACATCATGGATCTTATACAACATGGCCGCCTTCTACTGGAGAATTAAAGGCAACCCATATCAAGCAGTAGAGTGCATTAGGAGAGCATTGCATCATTCACCAAGGTCAATCAAGTTTATTTTTTTTTTTCAATTTTCTGATTTTTAGCCCCTGTTAATATCTTATCAGCCCGTAGATTTGTGTTATTGTAATTATCTCAGACATTATGAATCATGGTAGAATGTTTGGAAAAGTCATTTTAGTCATCTAAATGATTTTTAAAAAATTTATTGAAATTCTATTGGCATGCATCTGCATTATCTTCATTTAAAATGAGCTGATAATTTTTATTAAAACAGGCAACAGAAAGATGTGGCTCTCATCAGTTTGGCAAATATCCTGCACCGAGCCAGATTTTCAAATGAGGCGGCCATTCTGGTTCATGCGGCTTTGGAAATGTCGAAAGAACTGAATGTCAATCACTTCACTCTTGGAAACATTTACGCCGTGAGTGTATTTCATTTCAGCTAATTACGGTGATGGGTCGTGGTGGACCAAGCATCCACCTTGCAAACACGACCTCTCATTCCATTGATCCATTATAATTTTAGAAGGTCTTCTGTTAATGAGTATGATGTCTGATTCTTGTGGAGTAAGTTGTATGTGATTAAGTCTAAACTTCATCTGGAAATGCATCTTGTGGGTTCAGTTGAGGCCTCCTCTTGTCTTCTAATTTTTAATTTAGTTTAGTGAGTTGATTAAAGTCTAGCGCCTCGTACTAATCTCACATCTTTATGATTTGTGCATAAGACAACAAAGCTTCAATCACCACTTTCCCTTTTTTAATGTTGAGTTTTATGTCTTGTTGATAAAACTATAGGAGAGCTTATTATGATTTGATTATACATTAATACTTGATACATTTACTCTTATATTCATCAGGTCCTTGGAGAATACAACAAATCCATCATTTGCTTTGAAAATACTCTAAAAATTCAGCCTGACTTTGAGGCCGCCTCAAAGAGAAGACATGCTGTGTTGTGTCATTCTAAGTTAGAAATGGCCCTGGAAGCACAACACAGGTTAGATGGTGTTTCTTCTGTGTTTATCTAAAAATCTCTAAATGGAAGAGTCAAAATGCATGGTTTAAAAATATTTTGTATTAGATTTCTGTAACTGATTTTAAATGTTTATAAATGAATTTAATAACTTAAAGAAATTAAAGTCTGTAACCAGCAGCATAAATTCGTCGTCTTCTTCATAAATTTCTATTAGTTAAACAGAAGAGATGTAAGCTGTATTTGGTTTCTGTTGTTTGACTGTATTATCATCATTTAGAGTGTCTAGAAAATGTACGATTATTTATTAGTATCTCTCTTAAATTAACCCCCCAAAAATGTTGTTCCCCCAGATCTCTCCAGAGAACATTAAAAGACCTGAAAGACTATCAGCGAAAGCATGATCTCTATCAAACACAAAGCGATAAACTCTTGGCTGAACAGGTTCCTCATGAGGTGAAAATTGCCCAGCACTTGGCCTACGAACAATTGAAGATTCGGGAAAGGTCCACTGAGATGGGTAAGAGAAGTAACAAAGATTCTTCTGTAGATACTAGACCCACATGAGAAACTTAAATCGACATTATTGTAATTTTTATATTTAGTTGTCAGTGAAAGGTAACAATTGACTCTTCAATAGAATTAAGAATATTTTGTTAAAATACTTTTTGTTAATTTTAAAAAATTAAACCCTTTCATTACATTTCTGTATAATAAATTAAGTTGCAGAAGATAGCTTTAACATTTTACTATGGTAGGTTCAGATTTTAAAAATCCCCTTAAAGTTGTAACTTGTAGGATCGTCAGTCTAAAATGGTGCTGATGTTTCTAAATTAGAGACGTAAGAATAAACTATCATTTGCTAACTTGCAGCTTGGTGTATGGGAGCAAATCTATATTCCACTTAGCATTGTGTAACCTGTGGTCATGGGCATTGATAGTCTCTCTCTCTCTCTCTCTCTCTCTCTAGAATGTAGACCCATTTTATTTTTCCCTTACCCTTTTTCAACAAGTATATTCTTCTCCACCTAGCTAATGATAACATAGCTTCCACCTTGTTAATGAGTTGTCTGCTCAACTTGACACCCAGTACCAGTATAAATGCAACATATCATATGTATGTTTCGATAAAAAATAAATTTTGTGTACTTTAAATATAATCAAGTTCTGTATTCTATTAAAAGAAACACAAGAAAATCTTAACATACCATGCACTCAAGATTTATAATAGATAGAATAAAAATAGTTCTGTTTTCACTCAAAGGTTAGTCGTTTCACCAACTTGATGGTTGGAATGGAACTCAGCAATCCCTTTTTGAAATATTTATAATTTATGACAGTCAGAGCTTAGCCCGAGAACATTTATTATAAGTCCAAAATGAAGTTCAGGCAGGATAGAAGCTTCATTTCTTTGTGACCTGGCAAAACCTTTAATTTTTTCAAGGACCCATGATTGTTGTTGTTTAAGTTTCCATTGGAAGTAGAAAGTGCCATTTTCAGGTGAGTTCTGCAGAATGGTGGACAGGGATGGCAAGCAGGTACTGTTGTGTACCTGGAGCAGGCGGTCACCCACACTAGATTTCAATTTTGCATTCCTGGAAGAATCACAAGACAAGACCAAAGACGAGGTAGAGAAATTCAGTGTCAAAATCTAAACTTCTAATGAAAAAGTTCAATTACGTTGCTGTTGTAAACTATTCAAGGATTAAAGATTGACTTTTTTTTTTTATTGAACAGAATGTTGGATACAAATATTTAGTGTTGATTGCAACTCAATCTCTTAATAGTACACATGTGCACTAAATCAATAAACATATGGTTCTCTCTTTAAATACTTTATAGTATGGTAGTAAAATAAAAGCTAATTACTGTATCCTTTTTTTTTGACTAAGCACATACTTTCAGGTATATTCATGTGATTGATTGTTTTGTACTCTGATAGATGATAAGTCATTCTGTTTGAACAAAATGTTGTTAACATTAAATTTGTAGACAAAAACTCCATTATTTGACAATGGGATGAAAATAAGATGACAGCCACTAACATACCTTTACCTTGACTTTTTACTTTCAGAAAAAGTCTGAGAAGCTTGTGGAGCCTAATCTGAACTCCAACAAAAGTCCAGATTATAGTCAACCAGTGAAAGCTCCGGTCTTTTCCAAATACAAGAAACACAAGGTGACACAAATCTAACACAAATATTTCTTCTGGCATCTATTGTGGAATATCTTTCATTTTGGTCTTGTATCTTACTGCATTCAGGCCTACTCTTAGAGACATGGACAAAAATACAACATACCATCAAGAACTGTAGGGAAATCTATAAAGTGTGAATAGTTTGAATGCCAACCCACTCCACATGCACACATATTCACTCCAGATACCTATTATGTAATAATCATTATAGCTGAAGGGCTTCAAAAACTATTGGGTAGAGGCCATGTTAGATTTATTCTGTCAAATGGTCTGTTCACTGACGCACTTATTTTATCTCAGCCCTCTGAGTCAGATGTTTATATGCAGCCAAACTGGCCACGTAAAGAAGAATGTGACTCATTGGTGAAAAAAGTTCCGGACCCTCGCAACCTGACCACGGTGTACCTGTCTCCAGAAAATAAAGGCTTTGAGTAAGTAACATCGCTGTTAACACGGCGCGGGGGCAATGGGGGGGGGGGGGGGGGGGGGGGGGGGGGGAGAGGGGGTTTACAGTTTTTAATGTTTTTCAACAAGTTGGTTTATTCTTCTTTTGAACAAGTTCGTTTATAAAACTCAGACAAATGCTTTAATTATTTGAAATGATTTATACACTTAGAGTAAGTTGAAAGTTTTCTAGTTTCTTGTTCTTCATCTGTTAAAAATTATAGAGTATGTCAGTATTTAATATTATCGATTATGTTTGAAGGATTTAAGAGCACAGAGTATGGTATTATATAATAGTAATACCACATACACTTGTAGGGTTCAAGAACATAGAATATGTCATTGAATGATACCATCCGTTATGTTCATAGGGTTAGAGAGCTCCTCACAGCTGCCCAAGGGTTAGAGCCTGGAGGGGAGCACCCACTGCCATGGTACCCACCCGTCTGTGTGCCACTCATGGAACTGGCAGAAGGCAACCCCGCTGTTTATGATCACCTCAAGTCCGTTAGCTATGCAGAAAGGTCAAGGATTCCCCTCAAGTACAATGACCTTTCCATGCGGGAGGTAAGGCGGACTGCACTTGTCATACACTTAAACCATTAGCCTTGTATGCCTTACGTTGTTTTATAACTAGTTACTTTAATTATATTGAACCATGAAGTTTTTATTTTGCAACAGATTTTGCTGGACCATGTCAACGATGGAGTGGTTACAGAAGAGGAAGTAGGACAGAGAATTCTAACTGCTCTCAAACAGGTATGCTGTAATCATGAACATGAAAAGTCAATAGAACAATTTGTCTGTAATTCACTGCAAGGAATTTTTTAAAGCGAAGACTTTTTATAATTAAATTACATTTTAGGGATTTTTATAGGAAAGGCAATATTCAATAGATCAATTTAACAATACAAACGGTCATTCCATCCCCCCACAGACGCAGACCATAGGAGCGCAGTGGATCCTGTACAACCTTGCAGGACTCTATTGGCGTATCATTGGCAACAACTATCATGGCATTGAATGCATCCGTCGCTCCATCTATCTGTGCCCCCCGCAGTACAAAGATGTGCCTCTGGTCAACTTGGCAAACATACTTTATCGATATGGTCGCTATGACGATGCAATTATCATTATGCGAGATGCTCTGGATGTCAATGATGCTGAGGTAAGATTTGTCTATAGGGCGGTTAAAGATGTTTATATTTATAAAACACTAGCATTACTTTAATAAATTGGGTTTCGAATTGGTTCCAAATTTATTGACTAAATATTTTTTTCCTTAACCCTTGTGTCGTGGTTTCAGCCTTCGACTCATTTCTTTCTGGGCCACCTGCTGTGGGCAACTCGTAACTACACCGGAGCCGCCCACCACTATCATGAAGCCCTGGCCGCCGACCCCGGCCACCAGGGGGCACTGGACGCCGTCCGAGCAATGAAATGTTACCTGAAATTTCACCACGCTGCTCAGAGCGCGGCGCCCCAAGAATCTCCAGCACACAGCCAGGCAAGTAATTGCCAACAGAAGCCAGCAGAAACGGAAAGCAGGGTCATTTGTAAAACTGTAAGTTCAAATGAAGTGATGCACTCTAACGTAATCATGTCTTAAGCCTGTAGACATATGATGCACTCTAACGTAATCATGTCTTATGTCTGTAGACATTCTGCTAATCGAAGACACCTTCATTTGCCTCTGAAATAGACAGCTTTGTGCTGACTGGGATGAAATATGGTAAATTTAAAATGTTAAAATTTCTTCTTAACACCTGCATTGAAGGAGAGAATTAGTTATCCAATAAAACTATGACTATTGAAGCTGCCAGCATTAGTGTCCATCCAGCCAGCCATTTAGCCATTAAACGTGTAGATTTATTTTTTGGTAATCATCACTTGTGTGTTGGTTCGAGTGGTGTGGGGGTGCGGTGCGGGGCATATTGTTCCTGCATGTCTGTTGTGATTGAACCAAATTACTGTGTAAAAATATGTTCACTTCCTTTTCATTCACGCACAAAATACTGTTGAGTAAACCCCTTGACCACTAGTTAATGGAAATGGGAAAGTGCAAGGTGGCATGGAATGTGTACGTCTACTTTTGTCACAAATCTTATGGATAATATATCTAATGGCTTTGAGTTTTAGATTGACATAACAGTTAGGCTCAGGGAAGGGGCATGGAGATGGGGGGGGGGGACACAGGTCTGGTCATGTATGTACCCTAGTCTTGTGAACTGTCATGAAATTATACATTAGTGACAAATATAATTATACATTTACCAGTCCAATTGTTTTTCACAAATGGGGTTAGGTTAGAGGGGTTTGGATGTAAATGAGACAATCAATTAGGGTCTACAGGTATGTGATTAGAACCTCATTCAAATTTTAACAGCTAAGGTCACAGCTGAGGTGTTTATGCAAAGGTAAAGCTTTGAGGATGCCCTATGTTGCCCTAACATAAATTTACTTAAATAATGTACAATGCCCATTTCCACTTGAGAGCGTGGCGGCTGGTGTAGAAAAAGCTTATCAACCTAGTTACCACAGGGTGGCTGGTGTAGAAAAAGCTTATCAACCTAGTTACCACAGGGTGGCTGGTGTAGAAAAAGCTTATCAACCTAGTTACCACAGGGTGGCTGGTGTAGAAAAAGCTTATCAACCTAGTTACCACAGGGTGGCTGGTGTAGAAAAAGTTTATCAACCCAGTTACCACAGGGTGGCTGGTGTAGAAAAAGCTTATCAACCCAGTTACCACAGGTTCCAACCCATTTTCTGTCCTTGTTTTTCTTGTGAATATTTACATGTAGCACAATCAAGATATGCTGACATCAGTTACGTAGTTTAGTGGTTAAAAATGTGCTGTGTAACAGCTGGTGGTAAATGTCAACAAGATTGCATAATTACTCAAAATATCTGACATTGCCATGTAATAGAAGCTGGGCTATATTGCCAGAGTACTTCTTGACGAGTTCCATTATGTTGATGATATTAAAGTTGTAAGTTATTTTATTTCTAGGAGAACAATGAAGAAAAATGCATCATCGAAACACGTTCTCGCAACCGGATTCCTGATTGTAACGGTCAGTGTACACAAACATGCACAATCACCCCAATCAAAGTGGACGGATGCAGTGGCGAAATGAACTTGGAGAACACCATCAGTAAGTGGAAGTCCAAACCTGTAGGTGGGCTCTACGCTATGCATGGGTCGGTAGCAACCGTCAAGGAGAACCGGGTTTGAAAATTTCATGCATGGTTTGAGAGCATTTAACATGAGATTAACCTGCATGGGTTCGCTACGATAAATGGGAGACCGGGGGTGTGGTAACTGCATTATGACAAGTGAATGATGAGTAGAAGAAATGAAAACCACGCAGTCTAAAATATCTTATTTACAAAAGAAGATATTAATTGACAGTGTCACTAATTACCTGTGAGTTGGCCTTACTGCTGGCACTGTTGTCCGTATAGAAACAGTGGACATGGGGCGCCTGTTATCTAAATGACCCCTGTGTTAGAAACAGTGGACATGGGGTTCCTGTTAACTAGATGTTTGGGTCACAGGCCACATCTGTTGTGTAGTGCTGATAGGATCAATAAAACTAAAACCCGTACCTAGGTTTGCTGGTTTTTGTTGTGAGCTTAGAAATGTTGATGGTTTTAGATTGTACAACATGTGCTAATTATCACAAAACACTATGTTCATTCAATGTTTGTTGCCAACTATTGCAGAGAAGAATGTGTGTGGCTGCAAGCTGAAAAGTAAATAACATTTTTACAGAAAGTTCTTATTTTTCAAGTTCATGTTTCAAAAACCAATAAAAAAAAATGTATATTTGAATTTTACAAAATGCACACAGCATTCTTATTCATATGACATTTTTTTTTCCTTCAAAATTGTATGTTCAATGATTTTGTTGTCTTTTGCTCATTTGTTCAATGCTTTCAAACTGTATGGCTGGTTGAAAAGTTATTTTGAACACATTTGAGAGAACCATCTAATGCTTGATTAAAGTTCTTGACCATGCCTTAAACTTTCTGCCAAATCAAAATTCTATTTTAAATGTTACCTTTCACTTGGCCATCTCTTTCTTTCACTGGAATTTGATCAGCTATAATCGGCATAAACACATCAGCTTTGATGAATGAGATGTTATTTGGACTAAATTGTTGCCATGATTGCTTCCACAGCTGTTATTGTTTTTTGTCTTTTTTTTAATCCACACATAACTACGAAAAACAAATATTGCATGTTATATCTCAGCTTATTTACTAAATCACCTTTCTCACAGAAGAGATACAAAAATTGTTTATCTTTTTTTTTTCTCTGTTAACTAATTATTATTTTAATTACTTAATTCTGTAACATTTCATTGACCCTTTCAACATTTAACAAGATAAATGTCATAATTCTTTGGCACCTTGTGAATCGTGGTCACAGAGTAAATCCAATGGTGCTTACTATTCACCTTGAGACCATATGTTTATGTTGAAATATGGCCTCTTAGCACTACTGTTTAGAAATGGTATCCCTAAAACCACAGGGCCCTGACATTACGGTTTCTGTAAATTAAGAGCCAAAAGTCATGAAGTTACTTTGAAATGAAAATGCTGTGGCTAAGTTGTAGTATAAATAATGGAACTGATAGATAGTATAATATTATAATTACATTTTTCATTCTCAAGCCTTTAAAATCTAATTACTTATTTAATAAAATATCTTTGAGTTTTTTTTATTGTTAAATAAATGTATACTTGATTTTGTTATTCAATGAAAGGTTTTCCATTTCAGTGACTACAAGATTTTATTTGGTTTGTAGTGGGGGGAACATATTTGTTTTGGAAAATACATTTTTTTAATTCTTCTTCTATTACTTTCCCTACTCCTTGTTACTCCACGCATGAATTAATTATTTCTGAAAAATTGTTCTAACTGATGTCAGCTCCATATCAAACTATTATAATTGTTCCTAAAAACATCTGGTTACCCAGTCAATTAGGAAAGCAACTATATTAAGAGAAATCACTTGATAGAAACTAGCTTTTTTTAAAAATTCTTTTTTGTTGTTGTTATTCCAGTTAAGAAAGTGAAGTCAATTTAAAAAGTGCCATTACTTGACCCTAATATTTCATGATATGATCCATCGCACACAGGAGCCTGGATTGCTGACTAAATTACACACTTTAACTACTGTCTAAATAGGGTATTCCCTGTCATTTCTTGTTACGGTTATTTAACTATTGAAACAAGTTCATGATGTAGATGTTAAGTAAACTATTTTTTGCCATCGCAAACTGCTTGCCGACACCATCCTGAATTATTCAAGCATTGCACTAACACTTGCTAACCAATCTTCACAGGGAATACAATTATTGTATCCTGTTCTTGGTTTAGGATTTTGATTTTTTTTTTTTTCCCCACTTAGGTCAGTGTTTCCCAAACTTTTGACATCTGTGTACCCCTGTCTATAATTTTCGTAACACTGAGTACCCCTCGTAAAGCAAATTCGTATATACTTCAATAACAATAAAAAAATATTAATTTTTTTCTAGTGCAGCGCATACCCCTACCAAACCCTTCCCGTACCCCACCAAACCCTTCCCGTACTCCCAGGGGTACTCGTACCACACTTTGGGAAACACTGACCTAGGTTATGGGTGGCTGTAAACTACTTTGCTTAGCTATAATATTTGTCCTAGTATTTTAGTGGATGTTGCTTTTCTTTTAGATTTACCTGAAGTTTAAAAAAAATTCTAATGTATTAGTTAGTAAGGACATGTCATATTAAAGTATTTTAGATTAAAGCTTATCTCAGATTTATAAAATTGTATTGCTTCTTCTCTCTTGATCATTTTTTCCCCTTTTTCTCTCCCTCCTTAATCTTTTTCCCCTCCATTCTTTTATCACTATCCCACTCTCTCGGTTCTCAGTCCTTATGTTCCCTTCTGTTTCCTTCTCTCACTCTCTCTTCTTTTTTCCGTTTTCTCTCTCCTTTATCCCTTCCTTTTTCTGCTACATTTTCTTTCTTCTCTTCACCCCTCTCTTTGTCTCCTGTCTCATTTTCTCTCACACCCGCCTCCTCTTCTCTAACTATTATCTCTACACACACACACATAAAGAGTTTATAAAATTTATACTAAAATGTTAGTTAAAATTTTAACGTTATTTCAGTCTTATCATTTGTAGTTAATTGTCTTTTTATTTTAGGTGGGGAAAAAAGCAAAATGATTGTCTGTGTATTAAATGTGAACTTCTTTTCTAGCTACTTTACTTTTGTGTCTCATTTGAGGAGTGTAATTGTAGTATATGAATCTCTCTTCTGTTAATATTCTGATCTCCTGTTTCTCCTCCAAGTAGGTCACTGTTCAGGCAAGGGAGGCAAGCAGTTCTCAGCTGATCAGGATGATATGCTCTGTAAGTATTTTGTGATGCAAAAGTAAAGAAAATAATCTTGCAAAAAATGTTATGGTCATCAGTTTATTGTTACTGTTGCCAACAAATTTAGGAAATAATAAACAGCATCTTTACCTTAATTTCTTGTGTGCGCAGGTCAACTACATCAGGACAAGTAGTTTCCATACAGTACAATAGCATTTTTTATTCCCACAGATTTATGTCATAATAACTTTTTTTTTGTTGTTATTTTAATTTTTGATAACAAAACTACAGAAATGAATGGAATATGTCTTAATGTAGATTGTTATATACTGGTGACTGTGAAAAAATGCAAACTACAATGGTACAGCCATGTAACAAGGAAACAAGGGCTTGCCAAAGAAATATAGCAGGGCACCACAAGAGGAAGGAGAAGAAGAGGAAGACAAAGAAAAATATGGGAGGATAACATCAAAGAGTGGACAGGACTAACACTGGGCGATGCTGTGCACAGTGCAGAAGACTGAGACGAATGGAGGAGGATAGTTCACATGTCATCTGTGGTGCCCCAACGGTCCAAGGAATAAGGGACATGATGATGATGATGATGATGTTATTATTGTTAAGAAAAACTTTTCAATATGAAAGAACTAACATGTAAGAAGCTCTACATAAGACTCATGTTAAAATGTGACCCACAGAGAAGCATTTCAGATTCAAAGACTTAATCTCACACAAGAATGAAAATACTAGAACAAAGGAAACAATTGTTTGGGGGCAGCTGCTTTCAAATTAGCTTTGTATTTTGGGGGAAATTTAGAAATTTTTCAATATAGGAAATATGCAAAGGGTTGTCTTACTGAAGAAGATGGAAACATTCGTAGTAGGACTCGCTAGTTTTGAAATAGGGCAAATACAAAAATTGAAAGCTGAAGTAGGGTACATGCAATATGGCTGTCAGAAACCTAAATGCTACAAAATTAGTGTTGTGAATAGCAAAATATTCTTTTTGTTAAATCATTTGTTATACCATTGAATATGTCAATAAAATAGTTCACCGTGCAAATATGGATGGGTGCATAGGCAATGTTGAGAATAATACTTCCCAGGTACAGTGTTACGTAAATTGTACTACTACTAGTGCTAGGGGTATGATTTAATCTATTATTTAACCATCCTATGCTGACTATCACTCCAAACACACTTCCATCAAATGGCACTCTCACTCACATACTTCTATGAAGATATATAACTACTTTCCTTCTAGAAATCATATAAGACGGGTAGTTCAGCCCACAAAGAATGATTATTTCATTACAAGTAACAATAACTAAATACCCACATGATGTTCCTTCGTGAAAAACAACTAAGTATACTGTAAAGTAATTACGAAGTATTCTGGCTGGTTAGGACTGGCGCTGGAGGTATCTCAGACTTGTCCTGAAGTAGGCCCAAATCACACACTCACATTAGGACGGTAGTCTGTTTGTCTTCCCCCCCCCCCCTCTCTCTCTCTGTTTTGCTTCCCCCCCCCCCTCTCTCTCTCTCTCTCTCTCTCTCGTGGTCACTCGCACTGCGGTACTTCTGACGTAAGGAGGTCTAGCCTTCTAAGACTCTAACGTCATGTGTTGCTGGCGGGAGTCTAGGGTTATCTCCCGTAAGCCTAATCTACACTTGAATTCTTTATAGAGGATTTCAGTATTAGTATACCCACTAACCAACTGACTCCAACTGCAGTGTAATGATGACACAACTACACTAGTACTAGCCTCTACTGTACTTTTATATACTGGTCTATCTATACTGGCTAGAATTTAGAATAGGGAATCCAACAACACATGACAAAGATATTGGAATCACATCATATCATTAATCATAAGTTAACTACAATACTAAAATTTCTTAATCAAAACTACAAACACCTGAAAATTAACGATACAAACCTAGCCAATTATGAATGAACAAAACTTCAGCACAATAATCTAGCTAGCCAGGCTCTGCACTAATTACAGGCAAAAGATGGGGGGGGGGTATTGTCGTGCCCTCCCTTATATACCGTATAGGTAGCGTTAGGGTGGGTACGCCTTTAGCCAGAACGCTCATTGTTTCAGTTGGGTCACTGTCAAGGTGACGAGGTTAATTTCCTTTGTTAGTAATGTTAGGCCCAGCCTAATTGTGCAATCTCATGTGGGGTAGGGATGAAGAGAGTGTGAGCCAGGGGGTCTCAAAAAGGTGAGGACCAGCGTGTCTCAACCTACAGTACATATGTTTAGTGGTGTAAGTATTTGGTTAACCATTGACCCTTAAAGAAAGAGCATTATTCTATTTTATGTTTTGTGTGGGTTGTGGGATTGGTAAGCTTATTTGTATGTGTTCATGGGAGGGGGGGTGCCTAAAATTGTAAGTGATAGAATTTAAGGGTGGGGACTACATGTGAGATTTTTTTGTGTCTTTATGGATTGTCCATATTGGGTTGTTTCAAATACCTAAAGTTCTGTTGCAGCGCAGATTAATACGGTTGACATTTTCTCTAACAGTTTCCACTGACTTCACCAGTAAGCTTGACGAAGTAAGTCAGTACTATGAGAAAAAAGGGCTTTGTGAGGGGGATGAGTGCAGTCATCTGAGAGTCCAGGTAAGACCATAAGCTGCATGCTATTTATCTTGTCACCCAGGCAAAGTCGGTGACATCACAACCAGCCTTGAGACTTGGCTCAGTTATTTGCCATGTTACTAAATTCAGTCATTAACCCATGTCAATTCATTCAGTCATTAACCCACGGCATACTTCCTTTAAAGTTGCTAGGCACGACCTGGTGAAACTCTCTTGAATTTGAGCTTGCTGTGATGGGTTCATCCTATTTAGGAATTAAAAACTGACAAGTTAATCATGTCACACGTACAAAAGTGGAGGATCAAATTTTTCGTACAAGACGATCCAATGGTCGTAGCTTTGACTTGGTCAGTGGTCGTAGCTTTGACTTGGTCAGTGGTCGTAGCTTTGACTTGGTCAGTGGTCGTAGCTTTGACTTGGTCAGTGGTCGTAGCTTTGACTTGGTCATTTTTGTCCAAACTGGTTTTGTCTTCTTGTTTGGCTAGACATTTGGTTCTTTTATTATGAATTGAAGTGTAATAATCAATTTTTAGTCTCTTACTGTTGTCAAACGTTATAGAAATAACCTGCCAAATAATGACGGCAGACATGCGTGAACTTCCCATCTACTAAAGTTACTGGACTAAACATACGTTCAAGTAATGCACTTTATAAGAATCTCAGTAAGGGCCAACTTCTGAGAATTTTATTTTGGTGCCTATTGAATATAGAGTTACAGCCACACATAAATACCTAAAGAATTATTTTTTAACCTCTTTGAATTTATTTTTTTTTAAATAATGATGCTGCAAATTTTAAGGAAAAAAAGATTACTTTAACAAAATCACTACTGGCATTTGTTTGGGAAAATAGAAATATGAATTGATTGTCTTTAATGTTAGTTTTATCATTTTATATATTGAAGTTGGACTCTTTTAAGGAATTTTAAATTTAAAAAAATTCAATTTGACTATAATTTCAACACACTGGAAAACTTTAAAAATAGTCTTAAAACAAAATTTGCAAAAACGTTTTACCGTTCTAAAGAAATTGATAAAAAGGAGAAATAGTTATTTAGTAAATAAGGTCCAAGCTTTATATGTAGTTTAACAAAACAAAAGTATGTTTGTAAATTCATACCTATAAGCATACTATTTTGCTGAATATCTTAGATGATCTAAAAGAAATCAGATTTTGTGTTTGTCCTTGACCTTGACCTTGGTAGCAAATTTACATATTGAGCTCATTATCTGACAGGTTTGGGGACCAGGATAGCCAAAAGTCAATTTCTTAAGCTACATCTTGGTCAGTTCCATCACTTATTCTTTCCCCATGAACAGAATGCTATTTTTCACTTGGTAGCAAATTTACATATTGAGCTCATTATCTGACAGGTTTGGGGACCAGGATAGCCAAAAGTCAATTTCTTAAGCTACATCTTGGTCAGTTCCATCACTTATTCTTTCCCCATGAACAGAATGCTATTTTTCACTTGATTTTTTTTTTTACAATTTTCTGTTAATCTTATTTACTTCAACAGAAAATATATAAAGTGCTTCCTCTATGATATACCTCTGGACATTGTACTTTACTTTATAGCTGCTTTTTACCTCTCTAAAGGTTATATCTATGTTTTCATCCCTTTTCAGATACACACACACAGCAATTAGTTGGCCTAGTTTCAAAGTTCTGTTAAATATATACCATAGGCTGGGGCTTGCATTTCCTTTAATTACAGATCAGGATTGAAGTCATTGTTTTAGGATTTATCTGTTCACTACTTTTTTGTTCTGTATTTGTTTAGATTAACTCAGCAACTTATATTGATTTTTGTAGTGGAGTTCCAGACTTTGTTTTTTGGGCGATGATTGTTTAGCTTTTGACCATTACAAATATACAGCATTAATATATATTGATGTTATTGCTGCTACCTTCCCTCACAGTGCCTTCTCCCTATGACCACCCACTCAGGGCTCATTGCACATGTTATCACCCCACCAAAACTGTTTGTGCGGCCCGTTGCATACCATGCTGCGCAATGTCCGGTATGGTGAACTTTTGTTTGTCAACTCCATCTGTAACTATTTTTTTTTTTCAACTAGTGTATTGGTGTGTTGTTGACCTTTTGGTTTTTTGTTGTTTGAACTCCTTATAGTTGTTATTGTAGGATACGTTCTCAGAGGCTATCTGTTTATGGGCTGTGTAGTGCTTCAGTATTAAACCTGCTGCATTACCCGCCATTTGATTGTTGCACCTTCACAATACATTGTCAGGCTGCTAGCATGAGTGGCAGTAACATTTGTGTTGAGTAGTACTAACGTCATCATTCTTATGCACTGGTATACCACGACAGTGTTTCTCAAACCATTCAGTTTCCCTGGACTGTTCAAAACAGCAACATTTCGGTCAAATTTGTTATTATATATTTATGCTTTTTTTTTTTTTTTTTTTTTTTTTTTTTTTTTAATTTTGTAGATGGGTGACTAAGGAGACTTGCTGACTCTAACAGTTTTTTTGGTGACATTTTGAGAAGCACTGCCTGATGGTTCTTTTAAGAACATTACATATTAGAGGTCTGCTAAATCGAAACTCATGGCCTTGGGTAAACTGATTAGTACAGTATTTTCAAACCATTTCTATACTGCATACCCCTATGAATTATTTGAATCTCCCCCATGGGTGAAAATATGAACTTCTAATTTATTTATAGAAATGCAAAGAGAACCATAGAAAATGCAACGAGAACCATAGAAATTGCAAAGAGAACCATTGAAATTGGAAAAAGAACCATAGAACTTAGAAAGTAAATTTGTGACTTATTACATAAAGGAAAAGGTTAATGAAGCATTGTTTAAAAATATATAAATATATATATCATATCTTAAATCTAATGTCTACTCTGTTCATATAAAAGATAATATATGAGAGACGAACAAGATAGGCTTAGTCTTGAAAAAAAAAAAGACAGGACAGTTAAAAGGATGTCTCAGCTAAATGCCTTCTTTATCAGACAAGGCTAAACAAGAAACTTCAAATAATTAGAAATGAAAAACATAATGTTTTCAAAGATGGCAATGGAGTTCTCTGTCTGTTTACAAACAAAAAAATCTCATGTTAGAAGGGAATTTAAGTTGTTCCAAACAAAAATGTGTGTCTCACATTCAGTGGTGCGTGATCAAGGTAAAAGAAGCATTATGAATGTTCTTATAATCAGTCTCCTCACTGCCCCTGAAATGCCACCTGACACTTCTTTGGGGTGAGAGCACTCCAGGTTTAAAAACCCTGGCTTAGGATAGCATAGAAATAATTTCATTGTTTGTGTGGGATATTTTAAGTGGGATAGACTCCACTGGCTGATGGGATTTAAATTGTCAAAATAATCGTCAGGAATACTTTCATTTTTGCTGGCTTGGATGTTTTGTGTCATGTTTGTCAGTCACCTTGTAAATTTGTTATTGGCTGCCGCCTTTTGTGTGTAGGTTGGTGTGGGGGATATATCGGAATTAAAGTATATAAGGGATTATGGAATTCATTTATACCACTGATGAACAATTAAAAGTTTCTGACAAAAGGAAAATGAATGCACCCAATAACTGGGATTTTTTTTAAACTGAAGTAACATAGTTTGTGTTGTTGTTCCAAAGAAATCTCTATTTTTGTTTTGCTTGAGCATAACGCCAAATAGTAATACTGCTTTGTAGTGATTTTTTTCTTAGCAAAAGATTTTGTGCCAAAATCCCGTAAGGGGTTTAATTTAGTATTTATTCCGTGCATGAATTTGAATTCTCTCTCCGTCAGGGGACATAATTCTCTTTCAATATTTTGTGGCATGCATTATCTTCAAATTTTTAAAGTCTTGATTCCAATTGAAGGTTCATTGATTAATTTATTATATAAAACTGGTTGCAAAATTTAAAGTCCTCTAATTTTTATTTCTTTATGGTAGCCACGGTTTCATTGTATTTTGGCTTGATCTAACAACCTTCACTGTCTTTCGTAAAGTTTGATAACTTTATAATGTCAAGTTCTAATTGGGATTTGCATTGGGTTGACTTTCCCTTGATCCCGGCCTGCTTGTATTTGTGTAATGTGTATTGTCAGAGTCAATAAGTTTGTATTTGTGTAATATGTATTTTCTGAGTCCATAAGTTTAAACATATCATGAAATCTTTCATTCAAGGGGGATAATGATGTTTGTATTAAACTGAGAACCCTCTCTGTCTCAATTGATCGACTTCAAATAAGAGATTTATCAATAGAATCTGATGGTGGCTTAATTTATTCTAGCAAACTGGCCCTGGGGCATCTGTCTGGAGATCTGCCCAAGTGATTAGGGCAACATCTCCAAGCCCAACCAGATTTGCCTTTATAATTTTTAACACAAGTTTCAGTATTTTTTGGTTGCTGTTGTTGTTTTGTGTGTCTCCTTTGGTGTTATGAAAGTTTGTGCACCATTTTTATAACATGGAGAATGATATAAAACCATCTAAAAATTGGATGACTCTTGTTATTCAATGTTGATCTAAATTTAACTATTATTGTTTAACCGAAAGTTCAAAACTGAGTCCTCGCATCTTATCTAATTTCATATTGTGTCTCAATATTGGCCAGAAATACAATTGTTTCTGTCTTTATACTTGGGTTTTCAAAGTGAAAGGACTTATGATGCCTGTCACATAGGATTGATGAGGTCCATTATCATCTACATGAAATGTTTGTGTTTTTAATTTACTTGTGCCACTGAGGTCCTGTGCTCAATCAATACTGATACTGATAGTAAAGTCAATAAAGTTTTTTGTCTGTCTCTACTGTGTGATGGGACTCATCTTATTAACACTGTTGCTTTGTACCTCTGTTTGTGCATTGTGCATAGGAAGCACATTGCTGCACAAACTTATGTTGGTAAGTGTTTGGAGAAATGGTACTTTAATTTATGACCTCAACATTGTTATAAGCTAAATACTGTAATGCTCTTTCTGCCACACTTTTATGGAGACTCATCAAAGGATCCTAACCATTCTATAGATCTTAGGGCCAGTTCAGAGGTTATCCCAATGGTTAGTATCGTCATGTCCATTGTTGATTCTTATTTTATTAATTTTACCCAATGTTGCTGTTTGTCATTAGCCTACCAAGATGACCAAGGCTACATTACACGGTGATTACGCAGGTGGTCAGGCAGTCTTATTTGTGCCTGGAAAGCTTTCCAGCACGTGGGACACACGTTTTGAGTGCTTTTAGGATTTGAGACGATTCTTCTTTTCCTTGCTGTGCGCTTTCTTTGGGCGTGAGCGGTGCAATTATTCTCTGAGATTTTGCTCCGACAGTGAGTCTGCCATGCCAACTTGCACAGTCCACAGATGTCTCCCATGAATCAAAGTCAATGTCCATGGATTTGAGTGAAACTTTAAGACAATCCTTGAAGCATTTTTTCTGCCCACCAACTGAGAATTTCCCACTGGAGAGTTCACAGAAAATTAGTCATTTGGGAAGTCTGCTGTAGAGAATGCCCTGCCTATCTGGCTTGTCCATTTTGTAGGGGCGTTGTATATGTTTGTAGGACTCAGTTCTGCCTACTTATGCCAGGTAGTTTACATAGGCAGCGTAGATGGTTTAGCTGTCTAACATGTCTGCTGTCCATTGTTATCAAATACGTTCTTAGCAACAGTGCCAAAAAATGAGAATCAGCATTTTGCTAGTGTCATTTTCTTTAACATTCAATCTTTCCATGGTTTTCAGTTTTTCTCTGCTGTAATTGTCAGTTCTACATTTAAAAAGAAAAAGAAGTTTCACTATTATAATTATCTGGTATTTTAAAATGTTCATTTTAGCTATCATAGAAATTTAGATACTGAATATAAGTTTATTCAATCGAACCAAATGCATTTTTGTCTTCTGAGAGGTCATCCTATAGGATCTCCCTTTAGACTTGATAAATGCGAAATGAAATGTTAAAAATTTAATATAGATCAATTACTCTTATTTTATTATTTTTTTTAATATCATTTCTTTAAATCTAGAATATTTTTAGATGTCTCTTATTTTTTTCTCCAATAAAAATTTACCATATCTTCTAATCTCCACTAACAGCATGAACATTGTATGTCATCTTTGACCCATTGTACATTAGTCTGATGCATATTTGTTCGATTGATATGAATTGATTTTTTCAATGCATTATGCGCCAAGTTAGTTTAATGGAAATGTGTTGATTGTCCTTTATATTATTTACTGTTCATTTTTAAAAGCAACGTCATTTCAGGTGAATTTTAATTTTCAAAATTATGAAAATGTCTCTTGGTTCAATATTCCAATGAATGTGATCTTCAAAGGTCAGGATATATTTTACTACTCATGATCCCATTTAAAAAAGTAAAGTTATGAGCTATTTTTAAATTTTGTTTTTCCATTATTGTAAACTGATATTCAATTTTAAATTCCCATGTTTCTGCCCTGTCTTCCAGGGCAACCAGCGACCACACACTAAACTGGAGTATGTAGAGGGTGTGCTCAAGCACCAGCTTATATTCCTGCAGGTTCTTACCAAACATTTTTTAACATTTATAACAGACCTGTTTACCATTGCGATTTTGGCGTACAAAATACCATTTTGAGAATAACGTTTTCAGTTGTCAGTTTTAGCTCCTTTCTAGCCCGGGCGGTGAATGGACAGAGAAAAACGACTGGCCGGGGACAAACCATGATTATATACATATGCAATGAGGGGGTAAAGGGGGTGGTGTTGACTTGGAAGCGTGCAGGTGTGCATGGGAGGGGTAGGGGAGGTGTCTAAAATATTTAAACGCCATAAAATAACACTATCAGGTTTCTTATGATTATGTTATGTTGCTTGGTGTTTTCACAATGAACTCGCTAGTTACAGCAACAGTAATAATTAGTGTATAAGCCTTAGTAAAAAAATTGAGTAAACATCCGCTTTTGCTTGCTTTGGTGCTGTATAACGTAATTTTGTGACATTACTTCATTCTGCGGCGATTGTAAAAAAAGTGAAAACTACAGATTTTTACAAAAATGCATTCTTAACTGCTTCACAGAACAGCATTAGATTTTGACATAAAGATCTAGTAAGCTGCGTTTGATGTCTATTTTTAGAAGTCACCAAGCATTAGGATTAGATGTACAACGATAGAAAACTATATTCAGGTATACACAAATGTGCATCCCTGGATTTTCAATAAAATTCCTGGAAGTGGGGCTCAGCCTCCTCCCCCCAAAATGCCAACCCCATTCTGCTCAGGTGACTTTGGCGGGCGTCCTCAACTTCTGCTCCCCCACTCAATCTTCATCTATCAAAGTGGCATATCACGGGAACCTTTTTATTTCCAATAATGCAGTGAATATAAATATCATTCATCTCCTTTGAGAAGTGACCTCTATTAGACATGTGATGTGAATAGTTGTTGTGAATGTACATTATGCTGTATGTTTATCTACTAAAATACAGAATTGTACAATTTTTAGATGGTTAAATACTATTCTGAGACTGTATTGTATTATTTGGAAGTTCCAGTGTAACCAGGTCTGATATCATAGCTAGGGTCATTAGTGGAGATTATTAAGTTGTGTGATCACTTATTGATTGAAGTGAGGTAAATATTTTTACCAATTATCAACATTTATAAATACCCTTAACATTATTTAAGTTTCAACAAAAGACAAACAAAATGTTTTTAAACAAGGCATTAAAACTGGAGAACTCATGACAAATGGAGAACTCATGAAAACTGGAGAACTCATGAAAACTGGAGAACTCATGACAATGTGTTGTCAATCATCACATTAAAAAAAGGCCAGGCATTTATTTAAACCTGTGGTTTATCATACACTAACTGCACATAAAACTGAGTTTAAAACTTATTCCTACCTGCCACACTTACTAACAAGATGAATGATCTGTCATCAGGTGTCACCATCCGAGATGCAGATAGATGCAGATGACTGTGTTATCTTCAATGATGGAACAAAGTCTGTAGGGTGCAACAGAGAAGAATTCCGGACCTATGTAAGTGTGCCCAACTGACCCCCAGTTGACAACATCCCAGTCACCAAAATCGTCCAACATTTTTTTGCTGTGTTCTGAATACTTTGTCCCATTCTGACCAGGCATTCCCTGGTGCGCCAGTCCCATCAGAGTCCCATTCTGGTGTGCAAGTCCCATCAGATATGTAATGATGAGCCACTTGAGACATTGTGCCATCAGACTATTTTACTCAATCAAATTTAACTTTTTCTAGTGAATTTTAATTTGCATCTCAGATTTCTATTTAAATATTTTTGACTGCATCAAAAGCAAGCCTCAGAAACTCTTCATACACTCCTTTCAACTTTGTGTATTATAAATATTGCAATATTTTATGAAATGTGTTTTTCTCTTCCAAGTGTAATATATTTTTTATAAAAGCTTAAGATTTTTTTTTATTTTTAAAATTAATTTTTTTTTTTTTTTAAAGTCTGAATCTCCATGTCGCAAAAGTCCCAAAACTTTTTTTTTCTAGCTGTTATTTTAAAATTGAATGTTGATATTAATGTTTTGATCACACAAGATAAATGTCTTTTGCTTACATCATAAAAAGTTTACAAATTTGATATTAAGAGGGTCTTGTTGAGAGGTAATAATCTTGACCCTGATGTTGACGCTTTGTTTCATTTCTCATGGAAGACTTTTTGGCTTAATTAATTAACCCTTGGTTTTTCAACTATTTAAAAAAATTATTTTTGCCATTTATAACTTTTTGCTTATAAATAATTCAATTTGTTGTGACTTGTCTTATCAGCCAGATAAAATGCTATCACCTGGCCAAACAAGTCAGTCAAATAAAATGCTATCACAAGGCCAAATGAGTAGATAAATGTTACATAACAATTCTATTGAATACTATTATTTGTGTACTTTTAAGTTATTTGAAAACGAATCAACATATTAAAGAGGGACACCATTTCTATGGCTTCTTTATACAAGTATAAATTATTGTATTTAGGGCCTTCTTGTCTGGTCATGAAGTTTCAATCTTTAAACAGCATAATATTGTAATGGAAGAGTTATTCTCTTTGATTTTAAAAAAAGGAGACACTATCATTACGTTTGTCGATGACTGTATGTTGGCTCATGTTTAAGCTGTCTACAAATCAGAGAATTCTGGGTTGGCTAGCTGTGATGAGATGCGATTCACTGAACTAATTCATGAAAGACACACTTTTGGTTTGCCACTCTTGGGATGATTGACTGTGAGACAATATCATGCCTTCTATTTATTAATATACTCATGTTTCAAGTAGTCAGTGGAAGTTTGTATACCGGTATAATGATTCATGTCTTTCATTTGGTTTTTAAGTCTGTCAGACTGTAGAATGTGCTTCTTTTTATTTCATTATCACACGCTGTTCAAGTTCGGTTCTTTTATTTCTATTGTTCTCATGCCAGAAGGTAACAGAAGGTTCTGCTGTTTCCAGCTTGTCAGCCAACAAAAGATTACCCATTACCCACGTTCCTTAGTGTCGCAATGTTAAATTTGTAGGGAAAATAAGTCTCTCTTTTAGCAACTTTTCTAGATGGTATGAAACATGGTTATTGAGCAAGTTTTCTAGATTGTGTGAAACATGCTTATTGATCAGCAGTTTCTTGGAAAACGTTCAGCTCAAGGAAACCAAAGTAACCAACAGCAACTAACAGTAAATAACTGTAGTGCAGTTGAGTTTGTTGAGTTCTGATGGGTTTTTTTAAAGCTCTGATCTGACAAAATAGATGCACAAACAAATTTGTTACATGACATAGGATTGAAATCAAAGGAATGTGACTCAATAATAATACAAAGCGCCACATTTGAATTGAGGATGTGATGTTTGATGGCAAAGTCACTGTTGACCGGATCCATGTATTTCTCTGAACAATTTTCATTTTTGTTGTTTTATGGCTGGAACTTCACTGTATAACAATTTGATTGTATCACATGCTTGACATCTCTAAAAACTTCACTGTATAACAATTTGATTTTATCACATGCTTGACATCTCTAAAAACTCTCCAGCCCAATAACTCATTATTTCCCCATTTCTTCTCCGGCATTTGCCTCCAGTCTGTTGGGACTTGATTGAACCATTCCATAATGTTGATGCTTATAGCAGATATTTTTACAAGTTGCTTTTTGTATTAGTTTAATGACATCATTGGTTTGCCCCAGGTTCTCATGATAAAATCTGGCCATTTGTTTCATCTTATCATTTGTTGTGCTCTTCTCTTGGTCCAGCTCTTGCAGAACCAAACTACCGTGTTAAGGAAGGAGTTGTCTAATTTCATTGAAGAGCACATTTTAAAAAAATATTTTAAAAAAAAAGGTTAATTGCTTTTGAGGTTTAGTTTTGAAAACTAATTAAAATATGTTTAAAATTGCTTTTAAAATCTTTAAAAAATATAAAGCCTTGTTTTGAAAAGTTGATCTGAAAATGTGTTTTACATTTTATCTGTTTTAATTAACTTTTAAATAAATGACATTTTAATTATTATGTTTCCATTGCCTTGTGGATCTCAAGACCCTTAACTGATCTGTTCATTTATTGAGACATGTTGTATTTTTCTCAAGTTTTCTTGCTTTCTTGAACCAATAAAAGATTGAATATTTTCCAGATTTCCATAATGATCTTTCTTATTTTTATTTTCTTTGTGAGTATTTGGCTGCCTTTACTCAGTCTGATCTAATTTTTTTTGGTGTGAGGAGAAAATGTTTTCCTGGCAACATCCTAATGTTTTGTCCTGTCATAATAGTGTTGTCACATATTGTTTTGTTATGTCTTGAGATTCTATTACCATTTCATTATGCAGTTTGGAGACTGCCCCGGTTGGTGGTCAGTGTGTTGTCGCCACTACGGTCCCTCACACACATACACACATGCTTCTGGTGGACAATTGGTTGTCCCAACCGTCCCCATGTTGGTGGACATTGTGTTGTCACCACTTCTGTCCTCAAGTTAGTGGACATTGTTTTGTACTCCTGTCCCCATGTTGATGGACAGTGAGCAATGTCCACCACACTCAAGGAGGTAGCAAAGCACACAACCTAATCAATGCCAGTATGGGGTAGTATTTGCATAACAATACAGGATTCATTTGCAGCACTTAGTTAAAATGAGTTAGATCACCCTAGATGTAATCTGGACATGACAACTTAATGGTCGACCACAACATATGTTTAGATTACACAAGATGTAACCTGGACATGACAACGTAATGGCTGACCACAACATATGTTAAATTACACAAGATGTAATCTGGACATGACAACTTAATGGCTGACCACAACATATGTTTAGATTACCCGAGATGTAATCTGGACATGACAACTTAATGGCTGACCACAACATATGTTTAGATTACCCAAGTTGTAATCTGGACATGAAAACTTAATGGCTGACCACAACATATGCTTAGATTACACCAGATATAATTTGGACAAGTTAATGGTTGACAACAGAAAATCTGGCAGCTGAACTCTTGAGGACAATGTATGCCAAGTCCTCGAGATGTTTCTCAAACCATGAATATTGTTATCTTTTACTGAACTGATGGCAACCCAGCAACAATTGTAAGTTTCAACTGTTTTGATGTTGCACTTGACATTTTGGCCTGAATGCACCATTTTTAAATTTTTTTTTCAATCAGCCTTGACAATTTTGTTTCATTTATTCTGTTTACTGGCCAAAAAAAAAACAGCATTATTTTTAAGTAGGATTTTGAATATATATTTTTTTATTTCCTTGTGAGCATTTTTGTTGAATGTGCTTGAGGTCTGTGTCTTGCAGATAAACATGTTTAATTCTAATTGACTTTGTAGGCACTATCATAAAAAAAAGATTTCATCAGTAGAATACCTGGCAACAAATGTGTTAATTAATATGCCTTTTGTGTTTCTTACTCTCAAACCTTTGCTTCATTTTATTTTCAATGTGTAGCAACAACAAAAGTCACATTTTAGGCCTAATTTTTAATAAAAACTAAAGAATTAGTCTTCAACTTTGAGATGATTATTTCTTTTAACAAAAACATTCATTTTTAAAAAAATCAATTTACGTGACCCATTGCATAGAATATAGAAGAAATTAATAATGATCCGACTGACTTCTTCGTCTTGTGATGACCATCAAACCTCACAAAGGACTGAAATAATTTAAGTAATAATTAAGAGACAGAAATTTATTGTAAAACTTAATCCTATGTAATCTTTATCAACTGTCAATTTTTTAAAATGCATGGTACTTACCATTTAATATTTTAACATAGTCCTGTTTTTTCATTTTCTTAAACATCTATATTTTATCAGTTTTTTTTTTAAAACCAAAAAATTAATTCTTTATAATCCATTGTAATGTAGATAGGAAACTAGATGTATAAAAATATTGGGAAATTTCCTTTAAAAAATTTCTGGAGAGAGAAAATCAGTACTTTTAAGAATCACTTGAAACCAAATATGTTGATTGGATAAGTATACATCATTTGAGAATCATCCTGAACCAAATGAATTATGGGGATAAGTGTATATCATGGACAGTTTATTCCATGAAATGAATGTGTAAGAGTTCCTCTAGTTAGAAGCATCATATTTATGGTCCAAACAAGATGTAACATTTAAGATGACGTGTTCAGTTCTTCACCCAGCCATCCATTTTCAGTATCAATTTTTTTTTAGAAGTTATCAATCACAACTATAGAATATATTTAGAAACTGAAGTTGAAGTTTTTTATTTCATCAATATTTTAACAGTGGCCAAACAGGTTTTAGTGACATTTAAAATCACGTATTGCTGACCTTTTTGTAACATGCATGTTCAACTCTGTGCTTATTGCAACAATAATTTTGTCTTTGTTGTAATTCATCATTTCATCTCAGCATGGGCATTTGTAACATTTCTTATTGAAATCTCTGTTATCTCGAAGCATTACTTGTTCATTTCAATTTCATTTTTTTATTGAAAATTTTCTCCATGTAGTGAATTTCGGTTTACCTTACATTTCTGTTCACACTACATTTCCATTCGGTGTTTCATGTGTGCTATAGTGTTCCTAACATTTCAAATGTCAATGAGTAAGCATGTGCATCCATTATATAACTTTGCTCCTATCTGTAATTAAATTTTAAACTGAAAACCATAAAAACTGCCAGAATATAATCTAAAATGATAAATTAATCTGTAATTTTTTAAGCAGCATTTTTTGATTATAGCATAAATTGAAGGAGATTTAGGCATCTTACATTTTTTCATTAATAAATTTAAATAGTAGGATTAATATTCTTGGAAATTATCTAAAGATTTGCATTCTCTTATACTGTAATTTCAATTTAGGGACAATAATTGAACATATTTTATTACCTTTTATCAATTTTAGATTGAAGAGCTTCAAAATGAAATAATGAGCTTAGAAGATACAACATTTGATTCTCATTTGATGATCGGCTATCCAATAGAAGTTGATGTTTACAAACATGACATGGCGGATTTTGGCATTTTTGGGGATTTCAAGAAAAATAAAATAGAGAAAGCAACCATGAGGGCAAATCTAGAAGTTGAGGCACCTCCCTTAGCTCAAAAAAACCCAACTAATGTAAGGCCACCACCTAGGGCTCATGTCAAACCAGCACAAGTGGAAGCACCCTTGTTCATATCTGATTCTGCTCAGAGAAGTGACTCACAGTCCCAGCAGTTTCATCCTCGTGAAGATTATGATCTTCCTGGTATGTTACCAATGGCCACAATCTTTAAAATTCTTTAAAATGTGAAACTATCACACTGCCTTATCACTGATGTGGTCCATGGAGTTGCCTTCCTTAAAATTGAAATTTTCAACCTCTTCCAACAGATCCGAGAGTTCACTTGCGTAAGATGGCCGAGTTCAAGTGGCGAGAGGAAGATTGCAGGGGAGACGAGCAGATAGAGTTCAAACATTTTACCAGCACCTGGCTCTCTCCCACAGCCAAAGGCATTAAGTAAGATTTGAATTTTTAGTTTTTAAAGGAAAAAGACCCCCCACAAGACATTGTTTAAGGGTAACAAAAATAACAAATACATACAACAATGTTTCTGTTTAGATAGGTAACTATTGTATATATAGTTCTTATTTCTTTCAAGGAGCTTCAGTCTATACACGTCATAACATGAGTAAATATCTATAATAATAATTTCCAAGTGGATCTTGTCCGCCACGCCCTCACTGCACACCATGCTGCACTATTCGCTGCTTCCCCATCATACGCTTGATCCACACAGAAGACATTTTAAAACTAGCATTGTGTCAGTACACTAAATACCCTACTGAAATGGCACGACTGACTCTCAATACCTTACTGTAATGGCACCACTGACTCTCAATACCCTACTGAAATGGCACCACTGACTCTCAATACCCTACTGAAATGGCACCACTGACTCTCAATACCCTACTGAAATGGCACCACTGACTCTCAATACCCTACTGAAATGGAACCACTGACTCTCAATACCTTACTGTAATGGCACACTGACTCTAAATACCTTACTGAAATGGCACCACTGACTCTCAATACCTTACTGTAATGGCACCACTGACTCTCAATACCCTACTGAAATGGCACCACTGACTCTCAATACATTACTGTAATGGCACCACTGACTCTCAATACCTTACTGAAATGGCACCACTGACTCTCAATACCCTACTGTAATGGCACCACTGACTCTAAATACCCTACTGTAATTGCACCACTGACTCTAAATACCCAAAACAAACAGCATCAGTATCCATCACTATCCACTCTATAAAGATTCCATATAACTAAGCATTGCTGGATATATGGAGCACCACCCTGGATGTATTATGACAGATTATGCACCTCTTCCTGTACATTACTTGTGCAACATGATTGAGGTGCCCCAGGTGGTCATGAAAAGATTGACTTAATAAATGCTGGATATTTGGTCAAAATTTTATGGTTCAAGTTTTCTATTGAAGACGAGACGTTGTAAATTTTCTCAGCATTGGTGACTACATTGACTTTGGAACAGTACTCAAACACCAGCTTGAAGAGCCCTTTTGTCAAATGAGCCAAGCGTCTCCCATCAGGGCCATGGATCACCTGCTGGGCGTCAGAGCCACAACAGAGACCATCTTAGATCCTGAGGTGGCCCTGACCCAGGTGAATATTTCTTAATTTCTCTAATCACCTTATTTGCCTTCACCTCTTTCCTAAGATGATGCTCTTCCTAAAGGATTCTAACACTGACACTGACAATATCATTTTTGCTGCTTTTAACAAACGACCTAGTTTGTGTATATTTAAAAATGAGTTAATCTTTTCATAAACAAATATTGAGATGGTTTGTAATATGCAGATACTGATAATCATTTTAACAAATATCCCAAGAAACTAAAACTAATGTTTTGGCCCACACCTTTGTGTCATCTCTGTGGTCATTTTCTATTCTGCTGGACTTTTGTCCTCGAGTTTTCCCTCAGATTTTTGCCCCAGGCTCTAGGTGTGCCATGTGGCTAGGTGTGCACTTAAACTAATCCTATTTCAACTGTGGCCATCAGAAGTATCTATTCTTGACTCAGTTCTTACAATTTACTCTATTCTACACTGTAAACTATCCCCCCCCACCCCCCCAATGAAAAAAGAAACTAACTAAAGTCAATTTTAAACCATTGTGTTCCAATAGATGCATGTAGGAAATGTTTCTTAGAAACTAGTATCATAATGATAGCACTAAAAGTACAAAGCTTGTCTATTAAGAAGCCAATGGCTGTTGATGCAGTTGTTAAAATAGATGATTAATGGAAAGACTAAATTCAAATAACAGAACTCCTTGTCTTTTGTTGATTTGGAACGTCACACTAAGAGAGAGTGAGCAGCCTTTGGAACAGAATAACATTTTGAGAATATCATATTGCATACTGGTACCTTCTAAAATTATTAATACATTTCTTTCTCTACATCAGGCATGCACAACATAGGGCCCGCGAAGTAAAGAAATATTCTTTATTGTTATTATTTTCTTAATAGCTTTCCCCCCTGTCCTTTTTTCTTTCGGCCCGCACGAGTTTTTCCTAAAGTATTACGGCCCACCTTACATCTTGAGTTGTGCAGGGCTGGTCTACATTATTTAAGGAGATTGTTTTATAATTTGTAGAGAATAATGAGTTTATTTGTTAAAAATATAAAATTTTGAGCTTTTGAAAACACCTTTCATTTTAGACGAGTAATAGCACTAGCAATTTCTGATTGCTCATTCCTAACTCTCAGATTGTGATGAATTTATTGACAGTGTTAAAATGCAGCCATAAAAAAGTGAAATGATAAAAAAAATCTGATCTTCTACTCTTCAAACTTCAATGTAGTTCAAAGTAATATCCATTGCTACCTCAGTGAAATAGTCAATGAACTTCCTTGTGTTTTCATGAGACAATCATCTCCTTGCAGGTGTTACAGACCATTGGCGGGGATTCTGAGTCAAACAGTGTTGTAGGAACCAGAATACTACAAACATTATCAACTGTACGTATATCATTGTATGTCTTTCTAATTAAACAGACTTGGACAACAAGACATCTGCTCCTGTGCATTGTATTCAAACAGATGCTGTGTTTCAATAACATGTGATTTTTTTAAATTTTTTTTTTTGGGACCCACCGCCTGAGTGAATTTTAAATCCATTGCTTGGCAAATTACAATACTAGATATTAAAGAAGTCTTGGTCAAATATGAGAGTTCAAAATCACGGAACAAAGATTCTTAAGAAATGTGGTCATAACACGTTGGACTCATTTTGACATTTTGAATATTGAGATAATCCAAATTTCTATTTATGAGATATTTTATTTTTGGGACAACAGTCTTCTGTAAACTTCCCCCATTGATACTTGTGTAATTTCTATTTTTCCTGCCTTAGAACTCAACGTCATGGATTGCCTTCATTTTGGCTTCTTTGTATTGGAGGGTTGAAGGCGAACTGGAAAATGCAATGAAGTGTGCACAGATGGCTTTAACACATGTCCCCCACCAGTACAAGGTCAGTGTTGGGTCAAGTCTGATCATATCATTAAGACAGATTTGTTTATGGTACTGAGTTATGTGCACATGTTGGCACAGAGATTTATTTCATACTAATTAGATGTCTGTCCAGTGCTTAGCATGCAGAAAGATGTTTTGGTTGTGCTCCATCTCTTTTTTTCCATTGACATGCAGTTGACGTGCAAGGGATTCTCTAGGATTGGATAACTTATCAGTTTTAAAATATATTTTAAGCAAGAAATCTCTACATCGATATGAAAACTGAAAAAAGTTTTAATGTAAAAAAATACAAATTACTTAAAACTTGTTATTACCTTGACCTAAATACTTTTAGGGCAAACTTGGCAGCCTACAGCAGTGTTTTTAATAAACCATTTTGTTGGATGGAACCCTTTGGAGCGTCTAGATTCCTCACAGAACCCCAAGTAGTGACGCTAGGATTTGTTCTAGGCCAACCCCATGCAGTGACGCTAGGATTTTCTCTATGCCAACCCCATGCAGTGACGCTAGGATTGCAACAGAAGTCGCAAAAGCTTTTTTTCAACTTGTAACCACAACACATCCAAGTTCAACTCAGCATGTTTTAGCTTTAGCGTTCTGTCTGTCCCTACCCAAATGAGCTTCTTCTCTTCCCTGGCATGGTTCAATGTCCACAAACAGGCTTCTAATCCATTCGTACTGCTCAACAAATATCGACGGAAAATATTTTCTGAGAGTATTCAACAGAGTATCCAAATAAAGTCATAGTCAATTAAAGAATTTCTTGGTAATGTTTTTGAAAATCACTGGGAAACTTTTCCCAATTTCCAGCAGATGCGTGCGTCTTCCAAATTAACAATTTCTTCAGAAATGCTTTTATTTTGTCAGTTGAAGTAAAGATGTTTTTATTTCTGCCTTGCATTCCACTGTTTGAGTTTGGTCGTCAGCTATGGCTTCATCTAATTTTATCTTCTTAATAAATCGGTCCGTGGTCACGCAAAAACAAGTTTTGTGAAAACAATGTGATAAATGCTCAGTAGGAAAATGGAAACAGTAATTAATTAGATAAACAACTACTAATTACTGCACAGTGCCGGTACAGCCAGACTTGGTCCCTGGCGATTTCACCTGGCTGGTGCCCGCGGAACCCCGGTTGAAAAGCATTGGTCTACAGACATGATTCTGATAAAATGTATTTTTTGTTTACAGGATTCTGCCTTGATAAATTTCGCTAACATTCTGCAACACACCGGCTACACCAATGATGCCATCATTGTCACCAACGCTGCTTTAGATGTGGATGACATGTTGGCAGTGTCACATTTTACCATGGCAAACTTGTATGCTTTCAAGGTAGAGTCTAAATATAGAACTAAGCAAAGACTGTCCTCAGTGCTTCAGGAAGTGCTCCACTATTTCTTTGTTGAATTTCCAAGAAAACCGCTACAAAAAAAACAACCATTGTTGTTTCCATCCAGTGAAGTCTCCATTCAAAAACTGGTGCTATTTCAACTATGTTGTGACATTAAGCTAAGCTAATACCGGTAACATAAATTCCTGGGAATAAAATCTGGGCTAAGCCGGCTATGAAATGAAATATTTTATTTCCAGAAAAGAAGACGCTAGCTCTTAAATTTAAATAAATTATGATAATTGACATGACTAGAGTGGGGAAGTAATTGGGCTTTTAAAAAAGAAAAAAGAAATTGGTTTCTTTAAGGGTTGCACTGATTAAGTTTAAGTATGAATCTTTACTTGGAGGAATTAGCCAGTTTAAGATTGATAAGTATCTACCTTTTTGACATTAATCAGCCGTTTGTCTTGATCGTCACTAGAATCTTATAAATACATTGTAAAATAATTAAAACTATGAAATATTTACTAAACTACCTACAGCAAGTAGACCTTTTCAGAGCATAATAATAATTATGTAATAAATAATCTGTCACTGATATTGCAAATACTCATTGGGTCAAGTATTTTTATCATCAGCTTTTGAAGTCATATTCTTGAATCTAAGAATTGCTGCTCATCTCTTTCAGTCTGACTGGGAACACGCCAGCCTGTTCTACCAATCAACTCTAGGATTACAGCCAGATTTTAAGCCAGCCCAAGAAAGACTTAAAGCTATATTGTGTAGAGGTCTAGCTGGGTCATCCCTAAAGAGATAAGCTTAATTCCATGGTTGTGGGCTGAATGACGAACAAAATCAAATTATTATTATTTATAAAAAAGAATATAGAGCCTATCGTTGCAGTGATTTTATTTTGTTTATGTTTAAAGCTGTTTTCCCCTTTTTTTTAAAAAAAACTATTTTTATTGCTCCGGTTTGTAATGCAAACATTATAAACATTGTGGTCATCTCAATATTTGCCATGCTGTGAATCCCTCAAAATGTAACACATTATTTACATTGTTATATTTTTTATACATGTCCATGTGCTGTGTCATAATTTTTTCTGACTAAATAAATATTGTTTTCCACACCAAGTTTTATGGATTTCATTCAATGTCAATAATGATTTTATAAAAATTGTCTGAAAAATGTGTCAGACTTCATAGAGAATTTGAAATATCATTTAATGTTGATGTGTTGTCCCAGCAAAGGTCGGGAGTTAGAGCCATGTTATTTGCATTTTGAGACAGCACATCTCCTCTCTCTCTTTCCAAACATGTATTTTTATTGAATGAATCAGTGAAAGATAAATGCAACCAGTTATTTCTTGGACTTTCCTTAAGTGTTTTGTCAGTCTGATCAAGCAGACCTGTTTAATTTAAAGGTTTTTACAAATATTTTCTTTTGGGGAGAAACATTCCTTTGACTTATGATGGTATCACCGGCCCCATGAAATTATAGATGACCCTGAGTGGGGCAAATGTTGGGATACACATGCTGGATTTATATAAATTACTATGAAATATATTTTTCAAACATATACCAACATGGAAAAAAAATCAACACTTTATTGAAACATGCTATACACACCAAAAACTCCATGTAACTTTATTGAAGGGCATAAGAATAACTTCATTAACTTGAACTAAAACTACTTTTTTAGAAACTTACAAACTTAACAAATCCTCTTTTATTGTCTACACTAATTTAATGGCAGCATCTTCTACACAATTTCCCTTTCTGTTTTAATATATACCATTATATTTACCATTGAGCTAAAATGTTTGTGAACTACTAATAACAGACCAGCCGTTCACACAGACAAGGTTATATTTATATACTAGAATAAATGACCCGATATTATCGGGATAATAATGATAGGTCCTTTGCGTAAATTTCTAAGTGCTATTGCAAAAAATTATTAATATTCATAACTTTAAACATATAATGCTATTTACATTTCTAACATTAAGTTTTGAGAAGTATTTATCTGCTATATAATATAAGCCTACCTTACACCCTTTCACGCTCCTAAACTACTTTTTTCCCCTCTAAACATGACCTTAAAATACCCAGTCTAACTTATCACTACTTATATCAATTTTGTCACTAAAGGAGTTAATTGAGAGACAATTACTACCTTAGAGAAATACTTTAGATTTACCCCTTTTCGTGCCCTTGAATTACAACTTTTTTTTTCTAAAAAAATTGTTTAAAAAAACTAATCTTAAATTTACATCAAAAACTGTATATATGATATAAGTATATTTTATATGCCAGGAATTCGATATGTATTGATATCTTCTTCAAAAATTTAAACATATTTATGCCTTTTAAAAAAAATTATATATTAGAGACTCGTAAAACAAAGAATTATTTTAACTAAAGAAGAATCTCGCAACCATTTTTCACTGGAGTATCTTTTAAAAAAAATTTAAATTCTTCATCTCATAAAAAATACACACCTCTTTTTGCAAAGTAAAATCAAAATTATATATTATATATTTTATCTTTTTTTAAAAAGTAAATATTAACCAATATCTATTTTTCAAAATTACTTTTTCAAGTGTGTAAAATGATTGGGTTTTGATATTTAAGGGTATGCTTATATGCTTATATAAATGATTATTGAGAACAAATTAATTTAAATTAAATGAATTAAAAGACGCACTAAAAACTACTGATGTCTGGGTTTTCCCGATAAATGTGATTACAGTGTAATTCTTTAAGCATGATTTTTTTTCCATTACTTTCAAACACATAAAATGCTTAAAATAGTTCCTTAGTTGATACTTTTAATGTATTTGTAATTTATAATAATAATCTTTAAACTTTTACTCAAATAAAAGCGGATTTAAAATATTTTTGCACATGTAAATTTATTCGATTTCCGTAAAATAATAGAAAATAACTATGATTGTTTTTAGGAATTCGAACGTACTTAAAAAGTTCTCCCTTTTGGCGTTATGTGAACCTAGCTCATTCTTATATATATTGTTAACTTGTTTAATTCTTGACAGTAAACATTGTGTCAGAATTAATTGACCATCTATATATATATAATTCGCCAGCAAAGGTCAAACACCTCGACCATACAGGCTAAATATAGAATATAGATGAGTTCACTAGCGAGCAAAATATAATTCCCGATAACTACGCTAATAATAATGCAACTTGGTGCGTAATATTTTTCGATAAATGAAATCGTATCAATTTAAGTATTGTGTAAAAAAAAAAAAAATTCAGTTTAAAAGTGGTTGGGACATCAGAATATTTAATATAGTTCATGGGCGTGAAAAAAAAAAGTGTGCAGTGACGTATCATGGGGGAAGGGGGGTGTAGCAAAAATTGGAATTCATAAATGTGCGATACTTGAGTTCATGTTTTGTCAAGTAACTTTAGTAGATGGGAAGTTCACGCATTGACGTCGAAAATGTTTGGCGGGCTATAACTAGTTATTCTTTAAAACTGTTGTTATTTGGATCAATAAAAGAATCTTATCTTATCTTAACCATACCAAACAGCAGCAAATAACTCTAGGAATACCAGTCTGGGTTTCTCAATAACAAATCTTGGACAAATGCAATTGTTATTTTACAAATATTTGCACAACAAACACATTTTAAGATGACACACAATTAATAGAACTATGAGTTAAGTAAGATCATTGGGAAGTTCATTGAAACTGTTAGAACTGTGAGTTAAGTAAGATCATTAGGAAGTTCACTGAAACAGAACCATGAGTTTTTTTTTTAGTTAAGTCAAGTAAAATCACAAGGAAGGTCATTGAAACTGTTAGAGCTATGAGTTAACCCTCTGGAGACGGAGCCTTTTCGGGGTGTATGTGCCAAAAAGACGGAGCAATTTTTACGAGCTCGACACTCGCATTGCAAAAAAATTTATAAAAAATAAACTATTCCCTTAATATATGTAAAACCATATATATTCTTGTAGGAAATTGAATGAACTAATACAATCTTTATGAATCAAACTGACATATCAAAATTTATGCAAATGAGGTACCCTTATTTGCATAATTTATGCGTGTAATTTTTTGTTACACCTGGAATAAACATGACTTACTTGTATCAATTGTGTGAATTTTTTGATGGATGAAGCCTGAATAAGTCCTAATACTTATTTTTTGGGGGAAAAGGGCCCATGAAGGCCCTTCAGACACCTCTGGCACATGGTTCTACTCCTTTCCCACCCCCACCCCCTATTTTTCAGTTGTTACAGACACACTGTAACAGGCCCCCATTTATGACCTAGGGACCTTCTCTTAAGCTGAATGTTACTGACAAATGTGTCTGCATATCAATTGGTCTCTCTCATTAACACTTGAGTGATATTTAGTGTAAAAAATAGCATAAAATACTCAAATGGGGTGCTTATGACTTATTTATAGGACTTATGTTGTCTAAAAATTCAGAGGGGTCATCTCTGTCCATTTGAGGACCCCTAATACTAGTAATACTAAACCAAGAGTTCACAACATTAGCATTACCCTCAATTTGAAAGTCTTCATTAATTCCCTGGTTGTTTTCAGCAGTTTCAGTGTCAAATTCACTGCTAGAATATCAAAATTACTAAGCACAGTTTGATCAGAGTCACTGTCAGACATGTTCGAAATTCACGATGTAACTACACACACACACAAAAATTCCTGCAAACAAATAAATTGAGTTCACCTTCAACGAACGCCGCCATTACAATGCCGGGATGTGCAGGAATGCGTATGAATAATTTTGATTCGCTGGTACAACGCCAAGCCAGCCAATCGTGAGGCTCGATCTATCAGGCCGACGGCTCGGACTTGACGTCTTTCTCGCTAGTGTACCTCGGGCCGATAGATCGGCCCTTACGTCTCCAGAGGGTTAAGTAAGATCATTGGGAAGTTCATTGAAACTGTTAGAGCTATGAGTTAAGTAATATCATTAGGAAGTTCATTGAAACTGTTAGAACTATGAGTTAAGTTAGATCATTAGGAAGTTCATTGAAACTGTTAGAACTATGAGTTAAGTAAGATCATTAGGAAGTTCATTGAAACTGTCAGAACTATGAGTTAAGTAAGATCATTAGGAAGTTCATTGAAACTGTTAGAACTATGAGTTAAGTTAGATCATTAGGAAGTTCATTGAAACTGTTAGAACTGTGAGTTAGGTAAGATCATTGGGAAGTTCATTGAAACTGTTAGAACTATGAGTTAAGTAATATCATTGGGAAGTTCATTGAAACTGTTAGAACTATGAGTTAAGTTTAGATCATTAGGAAGTTCATTGAAACAGAACTATGAGTTAAGTAAGATCATTAGGAAGTTCATTGAAACTGTTAGAGCTATGAGTTAATTAAGATCATTAGGAAGTTCATTGAAACTGTCAGAACTATGAGTTAAGTAAGATCATTAGGAAGTTCATTGAAACTGTCAGAACTATGAGTTACGTAAGATCATTAGGAAGTTCATTGAAACTGTTATAACTATGAGTTAAGTAATATCATTAGGAAGGTCATTGAAACTGTTAGAGCTATGAGTTAAGTAAGATCATTAGGAAGTTCATTGAAACTGTCAGAACTATGAGTTACGTAAGATCATTAGGAAGTTCATTGAAATAGTTCGAGGTAAAAAGTGGATTTTTTTCAGTTTGACCAAGAGGTAATGGGGTAACCATTGAAATTTAAAAAAAAAATATATAAATAATGAAAATGTTTGGCAATGTAAATGTAAGAGTAAATTTACACATAAAGCAAATGAGAAAATATCTGAGAGATGAAACCACAGACATAGGTCTAAAGCTGTCAAGAATACCATAACACAATAAACAAGGAGAACTAAAATACACATTCACTGATACATTTATACCTGGTGGGAGCACAACAAAACAGAAACTTCAGCACACTTAGTTTAGAAAAATATGTTGGATAAATTGTAACAAATATAACACAGTAAGATCCATTTTTTATATATATTTTTTTTATTAGCTTAGCTCACATGATAGATCAAAGCAGATGGCAAAGACAAAACCTATTACAAGTAATACAGGCAACTTTAACTGTCGGCATCCGCAGGGAGAGAAATTTAGCTACTGAGTAGTACACAGAGAGAAACAGTGACTGGTTGGATACACATTGAACAGTTATAGTTTAATATCCGGATCATGCACAAAACAAATATGCCCAGGAATTTGGAAAGTAAAAATGGATTTATCTGGAAAAAATTGTACAGATAAATTAAAAACAACATTTTTATTATGAAGCTTATTTATTTATGTAACAAAAATTTATAAAGAATAGCAGAGAGCAAGGAAAACAGGAAGTGAATCAAGTGGGGGGAGGTGGTGGTTATCTCCATTCACCATTTATGGAAAATTGGCAGGAAACTATAATGACAACATGAGACAGCTAATACATAGTTATGACATCTTCATAACAACATTAGACAGCTAATATGACATCTTCATGACAACATGAGACAGCTAATACATAGTTATGACATCTTCATAACAACATTAGACAGCTAATATGACATCTTCATGACAACATGAGACAGCTAATACATAGATATGACATCTTCATGACAACATGAGACAGCTAATACATAGATATGACATCTTCATGACAACATGAGACAGCTGATACTAAGATCTGGCATCTTCAACTTCAAGGGAAACAAGCAAACATTGAAAACTTGTGAATATCAACAACAGAAAAGTTATTGTACACCGGTCGTCCAAGGCTGAGATGGATCGATGATGTGGAGATGGATATTCACCAATTGGGGGCTCGTGCATGGAGGAGGAAAGCCATGGATCACTCCGAATGGAAGGATGTGGTGGAGCAGGCCAGGGCCCTACATGGGTTGTAGTGCCACAGATGATGATAATGATGGTGAACAAAAATAATATTATTTCATCAGACAAATGTACACTGGATGATGATAAGTGGTAACTAGTTGATGATGAAGGGAAATAATCTACTCCGCTGTAACCATATGACAAACATATATCTCTACTTTATATACCTACTTAAGACATCACTTGTGTCAGTCAGTTCAGACATTCTCCAAATCAGTTAAGACATTCACCCCGTCAGTTGGGACATTCACCCCATCAGTTGGGACATTCACCTTATCAGTTGGGACATTCACCCCATAAGGCATTCAAACACCGTCTTGCCCTTACCAATTACTCCCCTGTACACAGTTTGTCTCTGACATGAAGGAGATATACAAATACACTGTCATAGATTTTGTGATGTGAACACATAAAAATAATTGCATTGGATATAAAAGTTACTGAAAACAAACCAAACATATCAAGGCAGGGTTGTAACATCGCATGTCATTTAGTGAACATTGAAGAAGAAAAAAAAAAATTAACGAAAATTTCAGACTAGATAGAACTTATAGAAAAATAGGACATCGCAAGTGAAGTTACGTCTAAAAATGGAAATCTGGCACATGCTACGGTCTATCGAAATACAGCTCGATTAAAAAACATAACCAATACTGCAGAGCTGAACACTGAGACCGTGTAGCTAAATCCTTCTGGCTGGCCGACCAATTCACGTATCCATTTAACCACTTTGGCTGTTGTGCTGTCCATTCTGGGCTTCTTGGGGCGTTCATCCTAGACAGGATTAGCACTGAGTGTAATTATAGTTGATACATTTAGCTCTGTTCCTAAGCTCACTACTCAATGTCCTATGACAAAGTCCACAAATATAACCAATAAAACTGACATATTTAGCTCTGTTCCTATGCTCCCTACTCAATGTCCTATGATAAAATCCAGGAATGTAACCAATAAAACTGACATATTTAGTCTGTTCCTAAGCAAACTACGCAATGTCCTATGATAAAGTCCAGGAATGTAACCAATAAAACTGACATATTTAGCTCTGTTCCTAAGCTCCCTACTCAATGTCCTATGATAAAATCCAGGAATGTAACCAATAAAACTGACATATTTAGTCTGTTCCTAAGCAAACTACGCAATGTCCTATGATAAAGTCCAGGAATGTAACCAATAAAACTGACATATTTAGTCTGTTCCTAAGCAAACTACGCAATGTCCTATGATAAAGTCCAGGAATGTAACCAATAAAACTGACATATTTAGCTCTGTTCCTAAGCTCCCTACTCAATGTCCTATGATAAAATCCAGGAATGTAACCAATAAAACTGACATATTTAGTCTGTTCCTAAGCAAACTACGCAATGTCCTATGATAAAGTCCAGGAATGTAACCAATAAAACTGACATATTTAGCTCTGTTCCTAAGCAAACTACGAAATGTCCTATGATAAAGTCCAGGAATGTAACCAATAAAACTGACATATTTAGCTCTGTTCCTAAGCTCCCTACTCAATGTCCTCTGATAAAGTCCAGGAGTGTAAATAATAAAACTGACATATTTAGCTCTGTTCCTAAGCAAACTACGCAATGTCCTATGATAAAGTCCAGGAATGTAACCAATAAAACTGACATATTTAGCTCTGTTCCTAAGCAAACTACGAAATGTCCTATGATAAAGTCCAGGAATGTAACCAATAAAACTGACATATTTAGCTCTGTTCCTAAGCTCCCTACTCAATGTCCTCTGATAAAGTCCAGGAGTGTAAATAATAAAACTGACATATTTAGCTCACACTTTTACTTCACACATATGACAAAAGGAATCTCCTGCTGCCATAACATAAAATGACTAACCTGAATTAGTTTGGCATTTTTCAAGTAATCCACAAATGGCTTGTCTGTTATTGCCAGAGCGGGTAGGTATTCAGCCTTCCTTTCTCTCTTCCACCAGTTGCTAACAAAATAATGAACAGTTCTCCAATCAGACAACTGCCAGCGCCAAGTCTTTAACAAGAGTGACTCTAAGCAACTGTTAGGTTTAACAAGAGTGAGTCTAAGCAACTGTTAGGTTTAACAAGAGTGAGTCTAAGCAACTGTTAGGTTTAACAAGAGTGAGTCTAAGCAACTGTTAGGTTTAACAAGAGTGACTCTAAGCAATTGTTAGGTTTAACAAGAATGAATCTAAGCAAGTTTTAGGTTTAACAAGAATGAATCTAAGCAAGTTTTAGGTTTAACAAGAATGATTCTAAGCAACTGTTAGGTTTAACAAGAGTGACTCTAAGCAACTGTTAGGTTTAACAAGAGTGACTCTAAGCAACTGTTAGGTTTAACAAGAGTGACTCTAAGCAACTGTTAGGTTTAACAAGAGTGACTCTAAGCAACTGTTAGGTTTAACAAGAGTGACTCTAAGCAACTGTTAGGTTTAACAAGAGTGACTCTAAGCAACTGTTAGGTTTAACAAGAGTGACTCTAAGCAACTGTTGGGTTTAACAAGAATGAATCTAAGCAATTGTTAGGTTTAACAAGAATGAATCTAAGCAAGTTTTAGGTTTAACAAGAATGATTCTAAGCAACTGTTAGGTTTAACAAGAATGATTCTAAGCAACTGTTAGGTTTAACAAGAATGATTCTAAGCAACTGTTAGGTTTAACAAGAATGATTCTAAGCAACTGTTAGGTTTAACAAGAATGAGTCTAAGCAACTGTTAGGTTATTAATTTGTTTTACTGTATATTATAGTGCGTTAAAAAAGAAATTTCCACAAACATTTGATCATGTGAACTGAACAAAAAAAAATTTGATCCAATTTCTAATCGATGAAACTTTCGTCGACCAATTTTCAGTTGATGAATTTTTTTTTCAAACAATTTCTGGTTACCATGGTGATGGTGTTGAATACTATTTTAAAGACCAAGCATGAGCATTGACTTTGTTTCATGGATTAAGGCCTTAAATCTTCAACATGTTGTGTCTGGACCTTCAGTTATTCCCATTAAAGTCATCACTAAATCTTCAACATGTTGTGAGTGGACCTTCAGTTGTTCCCATTAAAATCATCAATAGTCAAATTAAATAGAAGGCTTAGGAATCCAGTGTTTATTTTAAGAGATTAAAGTTTCAAATAAAAAAAAAATGCTCTAACTGTAACATTGGTGGACCTATCAGTTAACTGGTTAACTACCATGAGCCGATGCGGCTAGGAGTTTCTTTAGTAATGGCCACGAGGTGCTGGTAGTGCCAAGGTTTCTATCGTCGTAAATCAAGTCAAATAATAATATTTTTCCGTTCCTGTTTTGCTTCGAGATTTTAATTTACCGACAGGATATTTGTATTGGAACCGCATGCTATCGGCAGAATGTTTTAAAAAACGAGCTGTTAATTAATTTTGATTTAATTTCCAAGCTAGTTACAAAAGGCATATAAATGATTGGAAGTATAAATATTATTCAATATCTGTGTTCTTTGGTGCCTTTTTCTTCTTATTGGATATACTATTTGTAAACCACCAAATAAAAGGCTTTAAATGATTTGCATTGTTTAAAATTTATACGTAAGTTAGCACATTTATATATTTTTTATTGTTTTGCAGTTGTAAATTAATAATTAACAATTAATAATTCCCCCAAAAAACTTTTAAGTTTTAATGTTTTAATTTTGTCTTATAGACAATTCAATTACCTCCAAGATGGTTTATTAATCATTAGAATATGTTTAGAATTGAGAAAACTGCCGCTGAAATTGTACATACCAGTACACCTAAAATGAGAAAATGTGACCTAGATTTAATTCGGCCACAGTGTTTTTTTAAATCTGATAGCTAATTAGTTAAGTAATAATAAATAACCTTACTGAGACTGTGTGCTGCTAAAGTGTATCAATGATCGCCTCATTGTTTCACTTACCAACGATCATTCCCTCTGCAATCTTTGAAGCTGGTGTAATGATAGTGATAGAGTGTCGCACGAATGAACTGCGGAGGTTGGTCTGGGAAGGGGTTGTGACCTATCAGCTCTATGACCTCCGGCTGGTTCCGCAGCAGGCGGTAGATCAAGTTGAGGAACCACGGATTGTTCTGGTAGTTTCCCAGGGCAGCGAACCACATCTGCCAGTCAAGTCTTGGTTGGTGGGGTGCTGAGGGAGCAATCAACAATTAGGTCAAGCGATTGTAAAATGTGACATATAGAGGTCTGAAGGTTTGTGTGTGTCTGAAGGTTTGTGTGTGTCTGAAGGTTTGTGTGCAACTGAAGGTTTGTGTGTGTCTGAAGTAGTGACCAACTGAATTTCGGCTTGGGTGCCAAAAGTTGCCATTTGATCACTTTCGGCCTAGTTTCGGTTTTGGCTGAAACCGAAAAGATAACTTTCGGTTTAATTTCAGCTTCGGCCGAAACAGAAATGTTAACTTTCGGCTTTGGCCGAAAGTGATTGAGACTCTTGGCTATCTGGCCGAAAATGACTAAGGTTTTCAGCTATCTGCCAGAGGTCAGACAGTCTGTCTCTAGGCTGGCAATCTGATATTCTTCATTGCTTGACATCTTGCTGTCATCGTATGTTATATGAATAATACTCTTAGAAAACAGCTTACAGCTGCATGATGACCTACTTGTCCTTTATTTTTCAAAAATTACATTTCAACTAGGCCTAGTCCAATGTAAATAGTTTTATGGAAGAAAAACTAATGGAATGGTAATATTCATATCATTTTTTTTTAATTGTTCAAAATAAAATTTGGAACCCTAGGTTTATTCAAGTCATTCCTTTTTGATATTCATTTTGATTTATCATTATGATGCTCACCAATGTTGTCATAGGGAAAGGTGAATAATATTACATAATCCCAGTGAACGGTAATATTTCCATCATTATTTTATTTAAAAAAAAAAAAAAGAAGAATTAAGGTAACTTAGGCTTATTCAATTCATGCATTTCTTGACATTCATCATTATCATGCTCATAAGCATTGTTATTGACGAAATAACACATGTGCATGTATCAAGGGTTCGTATTATAATTATGTAGTAGGCCTACTTCCGACCTGTTTACTTTTATGATTTTAGTGACCAATTTAGATGTATTGCGATTCTCCGACTAGACCTGTCAGAACAACAATTTTAAGAGACCCAGTTAAAAAAATTTCCCCACCAATAGGGGTGAGGGAGGTTGGTCGCCGAACGAAATAATTACGCTCCCAGCACAGAAAGACTAATGAGTTGGTACTAGGCTAAATATTAATACAGCGATATCTTGCAAGCTATTTATGTAAACACAAAGCTTTAGTATGGCGATAACTGTGAAACATTGTGATATTTTTATAGCCTTAATAACATATATTTAGGTGGCAATTGGCTCTATTTGAGCCACAATTATTATTGTAGGTGTATGTTCTGGGTTATAATTATATTATAAAAACCATACTACTTTAAAAAACATTTTAAAGAAATTTAAATTACTTTTAAATTAAAATGCTTCAAGCCAAAGTATTCATTAGATGTTTATTGATTAATAATCACAATGATCTCATTTTTTATAAGAAGAATTTAAATATTGATACTTTCCCTTATCATTTTTCGATGAATGCAGAATGTCTGCTTGAATGAATTCCAAAATATCTAAATATTTCGGTTTCAGCCAAAAGTCTCATAAAGCTTTAAGTTTCGGCTTCAGGTTAGGCCAAAAGTCTCGTTAAGATTTTTGTTTCGGCTTCGGTCGAAAGTCATTTTTAAACTTCGACCTAGTTTCAGTTTTGGCAAAAATTAGAAAATCACTTTCGGTCTGTCTCTAGTCTGAAGGTTTTTGTGCGTCTGAAGGTTTGATTGCATCTGAAGGTTTGTGATATAAATGTTAATGTATTTTTTAAATTAAATTTCTTCACTAACATATTACTTTATATTTATGTAATAAGTCATAAGTTTATTTTCTATATTTTACAGCTTCTTGGTATTCTTATTGAAAATAATTAGAAATCAATTTGTATTCCAATTTTTACTTGAACCCCTTATTGCAGACCTCGAGCAAAACTTGGGTACCGATGCTTTGAATAGATGGTTGTAATTTGTGAGCTGATATAGTTGAAATAAATGAATTGCCTGACACAATATTCTTGTGTTTGGAGTAAAACTGGGGGTGTTCATATAGAGCTTGCTCAGATAGAATTGGTGGGTTCAGTTTACAGGTAGAGCTTGCTCAGATAGAATTGGTGGGTTACAGGTAGAGCTTGCTCAGATAGAATTGGTGGGTTCAGCTTACAGGTAGAGCTTGCTGAGATAGGATTGGTAGGTTCAGTTTACAGGTAGAGCTTGATGAGATAGATTTGGTGGATTCAGCTTACAGGTAGAGCTTGCTCAGATAGAATTGGTGGGTTCAGTTTACAGGTAGAGCTTGCTCAGATAGAATTGGTGGGTTCAGTTTACAGGTAGAACTTTCTCAGATAGAATTGGTGGGTTACAGGTAGAGCTTGCTCAGATAGAATTGGTGGGTTACAGGTAGAGCTTGCTGAGATAGGATTGGTAGGTTCAGCTTACAGGTAGAGCTTGATGAGATAGATTTGGTGGATTCAGTTTACAGGTAGAGCTTGCTCAGATAGAATTGGTGGGTTCAGTTTACAGGTAGAGCTTGCTCAGATAGAATTGGTGGGTTACAGGTAGAGCTTGCTCAGATAGAATTGGTGGGTTCAGCTTACAGGTAGAGCTTGCTGAGATAGGATTGGTAGGTTCAGTTTACAGGTAGAGCTTGAGGAGATAGATTTGGTGGATTCAGCTTACAGGTAGAGCTTGCTGAGATAGACTTGGTGGTGGGTTCAGTTTACAGGTAGAGCTTGCTCAGATAGAATTGGTGGGTTCAGTGTACAGGTAGAGCTTGCTCAGATAGAATTGGTGGGTTCAGTTTACAGGTAGAGCTTGCTCAGATAGAATTGGTGGGTACAGCTTACAGGTAGAGCTTGCTCAGATAGAATTGGTGGGTTCAGCTTACAGGTAGAGCTTGCTGAGATAGGATTGGTAGGTTCAGTTTAAGTTTACAGGTAGGGCTTGATGAGATAGAATTGGTGGATTCAGTTTACAGGTAGAGCTTGCTCAGATAGAATTGGTGGTGGGTTCAGCTTACAGGTAGAGCTTGCTCAGATAAAATTGGTGGGTTCAGCTTACAGGTAGAGCTTGATGAGATAGAATTGGTGGATTCAGCTTACAGGTAGAGCTTGCTCAGATAGAATTGGTGGTAGGTTCAGTTTACAGGTAGAGCTTGCTCAGATAGAATTGGTGGGTTCAGTTTGAAGATAGAGCTTGCTCAGATAGAATTGGTGGTAGGATCAGTTTACAGGTAGAGCTTGCTCAGATAGAATAGGTGGTAGGTTCAGTTTACAGGTAGAGCTTGCTCATTTAGAATTTGTGAGTTCAATAACACTATTTATATCAGAAGTCCCCCAACCTTTACTTGAGGGAGCGAGGATGGAAGAAAAAGTAACACTTAATAGTTCTAACATTACTAAGACTTGTGTGTGGCTTGCTACCGGGTCTGGTCAACATGAGCAGCATCAAATGTGAGGGCTTCACTGGATTTATAACCAAACAATAGTCACCATTTAGATGTCATCGACCTGTCATCCACACATGAAAACGTCTCGTCACTCACCCACAACTGGTGGACTTTCAGAAACATTGCCAGGCTTGTACAGGAATTCATAGGGTTGCCAACCATCCGTCGCTGACCGGTTGCTAGCGTGACCTTCGATGATAACTTCTGGTCGACCTCCAACCCCAGTCATTCTAATGTGATCATACAGTAAGCAAATTAAACTAACAAGTACATTAAACTTACATGTAAATTAAACTAACATGTACATCAAACAAACATGTACATTAAACTAACATGTAAATGAAACTAACATGTAAATGAAACTAACATGTACATCAAACTAACATGTACATCAAACTAACATGTACATTAAACTAACATGTACATCAAACTAACATGTACATTAAACTAAGGTGTACATTAAACTAACATGTATGTTAAACTAAGATGTACATTAAACTAACATGTACCAATGAGTTAGGAAGAGATAAATGGTACTCTATGGACAAAAAAGGTTAATTAAATGTTAAAATTAAAGTATGTTAAATGAAAAGGCTTGCAGTTTAATAAATTTTAAAGTGTGCTGTTGTATGTGAGTGTGCTGTTAGATGTGTGCTGCTTGATGTGTGCTGTTTGATGTGTGCTGTTAGATGTGTGCTGTTAGATGTGTGCTGTTAGATGTGTGCTGTTTGATGTGTGCTGTCAGATTTGTGCTTTTAGATGTGTGCTGTCAGATGTGTGCTGTCAGATGTATGTGTACTGTGAGATTTGTGCGATAGATTTGTACCATTACATTTGTGCCGTTAGATTTGTGCTGTTAGATGTGTGCTGTTAGATAAGTGCTGTTAGATGTTCATCTTATAAATGAAAAACAAAGCAAAAGCCAAAAAAATGAACAGTCCCTAAAAAGAACAATGTTTAGGATCACTATACAACAACATGCTACAAAAAATGTTTAGGTTCACTGTACAACAACATGCTACAACAGTGTTGCCAAACTCTTGTATTAATTTACATGAAACTAACACACAATAAAGGCAGCGGAGTCAAGGCAGTGGAGTCAAGTAAGTTGAGTCAGGGCAGTGGAGTCAGGGCAGTGGAGTCAGGGCAGTGGAGTCAGGGCAGTGGAGTCAGGGCAGTGGAGTCAGGGCAGTGGAGTCAGGGCAGTGGAGTCAGGGCAGTGGAGTCAGGGCAGTGGAGTCAGGGAAGCAGAGTCAAGACAGTGGAGTCAGCACAGCAGAGTCAAGACAGTGGAGTCAGCACAGCAGAGTCAAGACAGTGGAGTCAGGACAGTTGAGTCAGGACAGTGGATTCAAGACAGTGGAGTCAGGTCAGTGGAGTCAGGAGAGTGGAGCCATAGTTTGGCTGTTTTATTGGTAATAAAAGTTCTAAAAATGTATCCAGTTTTAAAATGAAAGAATGTCTCAAGTTCAAACATGTCATGTCATCATTCAGTCAACTTTCCTCAAACTGCTGTTTCAGATTTGTCAAATAGCAATACGTTCAGACTCGGCACCCACCCAGCCCATGCATGTGAAATATAAAAATTAAAATATCTTACGTTCTGAAAAGGCCGTACGAGCTGGTAATTTGAAATGGGTCGACTTTACTATTCCAGGTTTTGACATACCTGGGAAGGTCATTGTACGCTTTCTTGTCCAAATAGCTATGGGGAACCTATAACATAAAACATGGGCTACTGGGATAAACGTAAAACACAGACAGAAAAGATGTGTGACATACAGTGACAGTACAAGCTAAACAGAGATTTTGTACAAGCAATGGATATGGTAGGAAACGGCTAAACAATTTTTAAAATTAAGCAACCCCTGAAAACAATGTTTTTCGTATAAATCCTTGAAAAATTTTTTAATATCGAGCAAAGGCGGGTGAAGCTGACGATTATACAAAATATGCACACAAGTAACACACTTGATAAGAATCCCAATCAGTTCCCCCGCACATTTTTTTCACACCCCTGGACTTTATTAATATTTTAATATTCTAATGGCCCACCCACTTTTACAGGCAGATTTATTTCACCAACTTTTTCAGAAAAAAGAAAAGAAAATATTACACACCAAAAGCACTTGCGTTATTTTTTTTAGCTCATTTATCGGGAATTTCCTTGAAAACCCTTGAAAGACAGGAAAAACTAATTTTTTGGGGGTTGGGGAGTGGGGCTGAAAAAATGTGTTGCAATGAGTCTATGTTCCAGTTTCAGCTTGATAGGTTGGTCGGGAAGTGGGTCAACTGGCCATCCAAAGATTGTGCAAGTCCGCCACCAACAAAAGTGAGGTTAATATAAAGAACTGACAATCCCACAATGGTCTGACTTTCTGTTTGAGATACGGTGAACGACTATACAACTTTACAACATATCTTGTAGTTTTCATGTGTTGATACGGATGAAACAATACAACAATAGGTTGACAATAATCAAGCTGGAATTCTTAGATGATTAACTTTCAAAAATGTCACAAGGGAATAACCTCTGGTCTAACCAATCAAAAGTAAGAAACAAATTTATGTCTTATTATTTTTTCGGCTCAAAAAAGCGTCAAGCAGTCACTGCCACTACATAGCCAGACACTGCCACTACATAGCCAGACACTGCCACTACATAGCCAGACACTGCCACTGCATAGCCAGACACTGCCACTACGTAGCCAGACACTGCCACTACGTAGCCAGACACTGCCACTATGTAGCCAGACACTGCCACTACATAGCCAGACGCTGCCACTACATAGCCAGATGCTGCCACTACATTGCCAGATGCTGCCGCTACATTGCCAGGCGCTGCCACTACATTGCCAGACACTGCCACATTGCAAGACACTGGCACTACATTGCCTGATACTGCCACTTCATTGCCAGATACTGCCACTATATTGCCAGATACTTGCCACTACATTGCCAGACACTGCCACTACATTGCCTGATACTGCCACTTCATTGCCAGATACTGCCACATTATTGCCAGATAGCACAAATTTATATTATGAGAAGACAATTGAAGACAAGAGAAATATGGAAAAATTGGCAATTAAGTCAATGACATCAAATTTTCAGCACAAAATAACTTATCGTAGACATAAGCTAGACATTAGAACTTTAAGGTTGTTCAATTAATACATCCGTTTGTGCTGAACGGCCTGTCAAACATACCAGTTGTTTTGAGTGGCATGTCTGATTCTATGTGTGTTGTTTTTATTGGAAGAAAACCTAAGATTTCATTCAGTTAGATTACACATAATACAAAACCAAGTTGTTTGAATGTTATGCAAGATATGTCTCTTACAGCAGTCAGTGAGGCATTATCAACAGGAAGTCATGTGATAAAGATGTTATATAATATATTCTAGCTATGTTTGAAAAGTCACATTTGTATCATAATGTGGTGTCACTATGTCTGCCTTCTACACCGAGGTCATTACAGGTCATTTTATGTATACAACATGTTTCTTTAAGTTAGGGGTTCGCATGATACGCCTTTGTGCAAGTCAGCATTTTTTCATCTAAACGATATATACAATCTCACTTCAAAAAAAAAATACCAACTAATATACAGACTAAATATGTGAGATGTTGAAAAAAAAAAAATTGAATAAATGCCATTAGAGTTGTGAGCGGTGGGAAATGTGTACACCACACCCAAAAATCTCTAGAAAATCTAAATTATGTGCACTGCAGAAATGTTAATGTTAGCTCATTCACAGAGAACACTCATGCAGAAATGTTAATGTTAGGTCATTCACAGAGAACACTCATGCAGAAATGTTAATGTTAGGTCATTCACAGAGAACACTCATGCAGAAATGTTAATGTTAGGTCATTCACAGAGAACACTCGTGCAGAAATGTTAATGTTAGGTCATTCACAGAGAACACTCATGCAGAAATGTTAATGTTAGGTCATTCACAGAGAACACTCATCTCCAAATAAGTTAAGATAATTAAATACATTTGTTTATTATATCTTGTCTAAAGTAAAGGAGCTTTTTTAAGTGAATCCGCTAACTTAAATTTTGATTCGATTGTGAAAATTTTATTTAATTAAATACGCATTTGGGATTAAAATTAGAAACAAAAGGAATCCTTCTGTGGTTATTGTTTTTTTTTTGTTTTTTTTTAAAAATTATTTCTCTCACCTTGCATCTGTATTGAACGTTGAAACAATTAGAAAGTCGAGCTTAAGTGGTAAGAAAAATAGTTTAATATAATTGCTAGAATTACTTTCCTACATAACAGTCATCCTGTGAGTGATTTATAACGAAAAGAAATAAAGATAAGTAGGTCAAGGCCAGAAGCACCAAGCGTGAGGATTAGCACAAGCAGCAACAAGACAAGGTCAAGGTTGGTTTTCCTCTAATAACAACTCAGTGTCCGGCCCGTGGCAAGTACCTCCTAAACAAACCGTAAGAACTCGTCAGGTGGAAGTGCCGACTGAGTCCATGGTACTTTAGGATATCTTTGGGTAGAGAGTCTTGGAAAGGTTTGTGGACGGCGGAGTGAGGGACCTAGAGACAGAGGTGGACGTGATTATGGAGTAGGGGGATGTTAATCACATGATGGAGATATACATCTTCTAACTTGAAATGAAACTTGTCACTTTTGGGAATAAGACCCTGTCACTTTGGGAAAAATACACTTTTGGGAATTAGACACTGTCACTCTGGGAAATAGTAGAAACTGTCAGTTTGGGAAATAGATATTGTCAATTTGGGAACTAGACACTGTCAGTTACAGGAATGGAATGTAAAAGTTGGAAAGATTCTATGATGTAAAATTGTTAAAAACCCAGTGGAAGCCCAAGAATAACAATTCTTGCAACATTAAAATTATCATTGGCTTACTTTTGTAAGAGCTATTGAACATCATTAGAAGTACAAAAATTCCCCAAAATCTATTTATAATGCTTGTCAAAAAGTAATTACTCTAGAGCACGTGTCAAACTCAAGGCCTGCGGGCCACATCCATCCCGCCGTACAATTATACCAGGCCCGCAAGGTCTTGACCGGCATACAATTATATCCAAGTCAATGCTATGGTGTTTCCCGATGTACACTTTGATGAAAAACGTAGCTTACTTCGCACCGAGTTCGCACAGTGCTTTAATGACTCTGAAGCACAGTAATGTAATTTCGAGCTGTTTCGTAACCCATTTGTCATAGACGTGGAGACTGCACCTGTAAATTTGCAGATGGAGCTAATAGAGCTGCATCATTCATGGGACACTAAAGGCAAAGTACAACGCAGTTGGGCCTGCACAGTTCAGTTCTGAACAGATGCTTCAGCTTTGCCTCCATGCGGCTCAAACCTTGAGCATGTTGGGTAGCACGTATATGTATGAGCAGCTGTTTTCTGTGATGAAGATTAACGAAACATCACACAGGAGTCGTCTCACTGATGAACACTTGCAGTCCATCATGAGAATCTCAGTGACACAGAACGTTGCTCCCAACATAAACGAACTTGTAGCCAAGTAAATGTGCCAAACATCCAGCTCTGACATATTGACATAAGAACGAAAATGGGTATGCCAATGATTATTAATTATTAAATCTTTTTTCTGTTTTTATTTATATAAATGTTTTTAAAAAAAAGATTAATTTTCCGATTATTGAAAGTTTATCCTGTTCGGCGAGCAGCCTTACATGTGATTTGAGTTTTGGCCTGCCCAGCGATTGAGTTTGACACCCCTGCTCTAGGACGTACATGATGACATGGTTTAACATACACTAAAAAAAAAGTTTTAAAGCGGTGGTGAAAGACAGCAGAAACATGTATCTGTATCTAACAAAATTACCGAACATCAGTGACAAAGACTTACCAAACATATAAAGATTGACAATGTCTTCCCAAACATATAAACACTGACAAACACCAAACATATAAACATTGACAAAGACATACCAAAGGTATATAAACATTGACAATGACTTTACCAAACATTTTAACATTGACAAAGACTGACCAAAGATATACATCAGAGACAAAGACTTACCAAGCTTATAGTGAACATAAAAGCGGCCAAGAGACCAAAGAACACAGTCCCCGCCGTGGACATTCCTTTATGTAACCATCCTCTCTCCAAGATTAAACTCCTGGTCATAGACACAACATTTTAGTAAGTACAGGGCGTTCTCATTTTACGTCGCTTCTCCCCATATTAAACTTAACTTCAAGAACAGGATTCATTGTTAAACTAAGATTGGGACATTGCTCTACATCCTCAACATCATTCATTTCTATGTTCAAAAAGATGTTGTAATGATCAGATTGTGCCTGCAGACTTTGTCTGGCCAGACAGCTACTGAGGTATTGAGAATATCTAAAACAAGACTTAGTCTGGTCAGACAGCTATTGAGGTATTCAGAATATCTATAACAAGGCTTTGTCTGACCAATGTTTCGTCCTCTCAGAAAAAAGTTTTTTTGGCCCATGATGTACATTGCTGATCCCGGTCAGATTTTCCATGTCATCCAGTTAACTTACGAATGATTTATTCACCATTTGAACATTGCACTATATGACCTCCTCTCAAGCCTCCCCTCCCCCACCCTTACCACATAGATTCTTTTTAGTTTTATATAAATTTTCTATTTTAGCTTCAAGTTGCATGGCCAGTAAGAGATTGGGGCAGTGACGTCTAACTTAGGGAGACAAAACAGATCCATATGTTAACAAATGGCGCTTGCTTGTCCCCATGATGTACAAAATTTAACAAATTTGTCACTCCCAGTGTTTTGCCTCATGGACTCCTCAGTAAACTTATGACCTGTTTACCTGACCAACGACAAGAGAATCTCCAGTCCCAGGGATCCAGCTCCCAGGTAGACGGTGTACGGCATGATGTTCTCCAGCCACTGAAAGAACGCCTTTTCTGTAAAAGCTGAAAAAAATAAAGGCAATTTAAAAAAATGTAAAAAAAAAAAGAAAAGAAACAAGATGTCAAGTGTTCACCCCTGACTGAGATATGACATAATGTCATTGACTTTTCTTTAAGGCTAAAGATGACAAAATGTCATTGACTTTTCTTTAAGGCTAAAGATGACATAATGTCATTGACTTTTCTTTAAGGCTAAAGATGACATAATGTCATTGACTTTTCTTTAAGGCTAAAGATGACATAATGTCATTGACTTTTCTTTAAGGCTAAAGATGACATAATGTCATTGACTTTTCTTTAAGGCTAAAGATGACATAATGTCATTGACTTTTCTTTAAGGCTAAAGATGACATAATGTCATTGACTTTTCTTTAAGGCTAAAGATGACATAATGTCATTGACTTTTCTTTAAGGCTAAAGATGACATAATGTCATTGACTTTTCTTTAAGGCTAAAGATGACAAAATGTCATTGACTTTTCTTTAAGGCTAAAGATGACATAATGTCATTGACTTTTCTTTAAGGCTGAAGATGACATAATGTCATTGACTTTTCTTTAAGGCTGAAGATGACATAATGTGTTCTTTAAAAAATTGCTATTTTTGAAATCTTATGGCTTTCTGTTAAGATGATTCATATTATAAGAAGGTTTGAGGTGGCTCTGTAAATCAATGCCCAGAAAAGTTTTTAAAAATTCACACACCTGGTCATACATATGTGTGGAATCTGTCAACTTTTAAGCTTAAGCAACAACAAAAAATAAAAGGACAAAGAAAAAACAAACATATCTGATGTAAGTTTAAATAATGAAAAGACGCTGCCAAAATATTTGAATAAATTAGCCGCTTAAATACAGTTTATCATGTTGTGGTGACCCCAAACCTAAAAGGGGCTCACATACAATGACCTTTTTTTCCCTGGGTTTCGGTATGTGCCGGGTGTGCGAATACTGGGAATGTCTGGGTATCTGGGTCAGTACCTGCCTCAGGCTTATTTCATATACAGTGGAACCTCTCATTAACGAATATAATTCGTTCCAGACTCTTACTCGTTAAGCGAAACACTCGTTAAAAGAAACAATTTTTCCCATACAAATCAATGTAAAATACGATAATGTGTTCCATGCTGAAAAAATAATAATTTTTCACAAATTTTTATTAACATTTATTCAAATAAAATTACTTATGAATTGTTAAGGAGTGTAACTGCTTGGAATACAATTTAGATTTGAAACAAAAAACATAAATGGTAAATAAAAATATGAATTTATGACAAATAATTAATCCTTTTTAACTAGAAAACTGTCTAAAGACATATGTTTTTGCAGACGCGAGACGCTTCAAAATTTGACGAAAATGTGTCACAGCATTATCTTTGAATAAATTTGCAGCACGAATAGCCCCCTCCTTATTGGGGTGATGCTTCTCAATGTACGATGCAACAGTTTCCCATCCTTTCAGCATTTCTCTTATTGCGCTAGAAGATTGTTGCTCTGCTACTTCCTCCTCTATTAATGAGCTCTCCTCCATACTTTCTTGCTGTGAAACACGCTGCAACTCCATAACCTCTTTGGTGGTCAACCTGTGCTCTTTCACAAGCCCTTCAATATCGTTGTTATCCACCTCGAGTCCTATGATATTGGCCAATGACACAATCTCGTTAACTGTAGACTCCACAGGTACTGTTTCAAAATCACATTCAACAACACTCTCTGGCCCAAGTTTTTTCCAAGCAGAAGTGAGGGTCCCCTTGGTAACTCCTTCCCAAGCCTTGTCAATCATCTTGAGGCAAGCAACGATGTGAAAATTATCTTTCTAAAACTCTCTAAGAGTGAGATTTGTCTCTTCGGGAACTTGAAAACAACGCTACAAGAGTGTTTTAGTGTAGAGTTGTTGTTGTTTTTTGTTGTTTGTTTTTTTAATATATTAAAAAAAGGGACCTCCCCTTTCTGCGTAACTCATTATGCGAAATTCGCTTGTTAAGGGCGCAACTTCTTCGCATTTTTTTTGCTCGTTATGCGAATTGCTCGTTATGCGAATTACTCGTTATGAGAGGTGCTCGTTATAAGAGGTTCCACTGTAAATGTCTTTAGCGTAAACATCAAATTAAAAAAACTATTCAATTTTATTATCTGCTGCGGTTCATGTTAATAGATTAACAATGGTCATTGGTCATAACAAGTTTCCTTTGTCATTAGTTATGGTTCTATAGCATACAGGGAGAGAATTTTGTGAATCATGGTTTTTATAGCATAAAGGGAGAGAACTATGTGAATTATGGTTCTATAGCATAAAGGGAGATAATTTTGTGAATATGGTTCTAGAGCAGGCCTGCACAACTCCAAATGTAAGGCAGGTCGTAATACTTTATGAAAAAACTTGTGCGAGCCAAAAGAAAATAGGACAGGGCTTATGCGGGCCAAAATAAACTAGGACGGGGGGAAAGCTATTAAGAAAATAATAAGAATAAAGAATATTTTGTTACTTCGCGGGCCGCAAAGAGGGTGCTGGCGGGCCAGATGTGGCCCGCGGTCTGTATGTTGTGCAGGCCTGTTCTAGAGCATAGAGTGAGAGAGTTATGTGAATCATGGTTTTTATAACATAAAGGTAGATAAGTTTGCCAATCATTGTTTTATAAATCAAATATATTTTATTTTCTTTCCCATTAATCTATGAGATAGTGGATTTATGGGTTATTTTAGTTTACATCAATCTATGTGATAGTGGAATTATTGCTTTTTTAAGCATACATTAATCTATGAGATAATGGATTTATGGGTTATTTTAGTATACATCAATCTATGAGATAGTGGATTTATGGCTTATTTAAACATACATTAATCTATGAGATAGTGGATTTATGGGTTATTTTAGTATACATTAATCTATGAGATAGTGGATTTATGGGTTATTTTAGTATACATTAATCTATGAGATAGTGGTGGATTTATGGGTTATTTTAGTATACATTAATCTATGAGATAGTGGATTTATGGGTTATTTTAGTATAACATCAATCTATGAGATAGTGGATTTATGGGTTATTTTAGTATACATTAATCTATGAGATAGTGGTGGATTTATGGGTTATTTTAGTATGACATGAAATCGATCCAAATAAATGGAAATGTTTTTTATTACAATAAACTACATATGACCATGCATTTTATCAGCAAATATATTAAAATTAATACAAAGACGAACATTTTTAAAACTAGAATAAAGGTAAGCTAATTTGGCTAGTTACAATTCCATAATATAAAGATTTGTGATGCAACTCTTTTATTAGACGACAGATTGCAAAATATCTAAATCGAAAGATTACTCACCAATCTTTGAATTGACCGTCCAATCAGGGGTCAGTCTTAGACGGAAGAGTTCCCAAGTTTTGTAAGCAATATACCCCAGGACCACAGCAGGGAAGGCAATGTTGGACAACACACTGATGCCACTCCAGGCCACTGACTTTTTCTTGGCAGCACCTTTATCTGTGAGATGAAATTGTAACAGTGGACAGTGATGGGAAACAATAATATGGGACAATGATGGGGAAAAATTTGTTTGATGAGAGGAAACAATAACATGGGACAGTGAGGAGACACAATAACATGGGTTAATGAGGATAACAAAGAACATGAGACAATGAGGAGAAATAACAAAATGGGACAATGAATATAAACAATAACACGAGACAATGAGGAGAAACAATAACATGGGACAATGAGGAGAAATAATAACATGGGAAAATGAGGAGAAACAATAACATGGGAAAATGAGGAGAAACAATAACATGGGACAATGAGGAGAAACAATAACATGGGACAATGAAGAGAAACAATAACATGGGACAATGAGGAGAAACAATAACATGGGACAATGAAGAGAAACAATAACATGGGACAATGAGGAGAAACAATAACATGGGACTTTGAGAAGAAATAATAACATGGGAAAATGAGGAGAAAAAGTAACATGGGACTATGAGGAGAAACAATAACATGGGGCAATGAGGAGGGACAATACATGGTAAAATGACTATTATTTTGGCTATCTGTTAAACAGAAACTCTTAGTGTAGTCATTAAAGATTCTAGAAATTTGTTTCTTTCATTAGTTTTATACAAATGTGGGAATTATCTCTATAGGAAAAGTGGAGGTTACTTGACCACATTAGTAAAATAAACTGATTTGTGGAGTGGACAGAATATACACAATGTTTAAACAAAACTTATTCATCATATTATAGTAGGATGATGGATGAAAAGATGTGCAAATTTATTTGTTACTTTCCACCTATAGGTGACTGACTGATTACCTCTGTTATAAGTGGTCTGTGAGAACAGAGAGAATGAGTCGTCCAGCAGGCTCAGACACAAAGTGATGGTCAGCAGGTTGAAGAAGTTGTAGTTGCCGGTGATGATGATGGACATTTGCAGCAGTACCTTGAAACAGAACAAATATCTTTTAATATACTTTGCTGTTATAAACTGAAGTCTGCATAGACCGCCTCTAGTCTAGATGGGATCTACTGATGGTAAGTCATAGGACAAGATCTACTGATGGTAAGTCATAGGAAAAGATCTACTGATGGTAAGTCATAGGACAAGACCTACTGATGGTAAGTCATAGGACAAGATCTACTGATCTGTCATGCTATCTCACGGTGTCATCGGCAGACAGAACGCTCCATCTATTGCATACCAAGAAGACCCAACAATGGAAACAAACAGAATTCCCTGACACATCAAAAGACCCAATAATGGAAACAAGCAGAATTCCCTGACACATCAAAAGACCCAACAATGGAAACAAACAGAATTCACTGACACATGAAAAGACCCAACAATGGAAACAAACAGATTAAACTGACACGTCAAATGACCCAACAATGGAAAAAAAAGAATTCACTGACACATCAAAAGACCCAACAATGGAAACAAGCAGAATTCAGTGACGTGTCAAAAGACCCAACAATGGAAACAAACAGAATTCACTGACATGTCAAAAGACCCAACAATGGAAACAAACAGAATTCAGTGACATGTCAAATGACCCAACAATGGAAACAAACAGAATTCACTGACACGTCAAAAGACCCAACAATGGAAACAAACAGAATTCAGTGACACGCCAAAAGACCCAATAATGGAAACAAACAGAATTCAGTGACACGTCAAAAGACCCAACAATATAAACAAGCAGAATTCAGTGACACGTCAAAAGACCCAACAATGGAAACAAACAGAATTCAGTGACACGTCAAAAGACCCAACAATGGAAACAAACAGAATTCACTGACAAGTCAAAAGACCCAACAATGGAAACAAACAGAATTCAGTGACACGTCAAAAGACCCAACAATGGAAACAAACAGAATTCAGTGACACGTCAAAAGACCCAATAATGGAAACAAACAGAATTCACTGACACGTCAAAAGACCCAACAATGGAAACAAACAGAATTCACTGACACGTCAAAAGACACAACAATGGAAACAAACAGAATTCACTGACACGTCATAAGACCCAATAATGGAATCAAGCAGAATTCCCTGACATGTCAAAAGACCCAATAATGGAAAAAAACAGAACTCAGTGACTCGTCAAAAGAGCCAATAATGGAAAAAAACAGAATTCAGTGACACGTCAAAAGACCCAAAAATGAAAACAAACAGAATTCACGGACACGTAAAAAGACCCAACAATGGAAACAGGCAGAGCTCACTGACACGTCGTCTGAGTACAATGATTGGTGTCTATGATTGACTGACCAGGTTAACAAGCTGTCGTGTGTTTTCACAAGTTGTATTAAAGTAAAGTTACAATATTCACTCATGAATATTACGCTGCTACTGCTAACAAAAAAATGCTGTCCAAGGATATGTCACCTACCAGTCCCCTATATGCCCATTACAACCCTCCGATGCCCATTACAACATAACTATATTCCCATTACAACCCCACTATATACCCATGACAACTGCGCTGTATGATCATTATACTCCATCTGTATGCCAATTTAAAATGTACTGTATGAACATTACAACCCCATTGCATGCCCATTGTGACCCAATTGTATGCCCATTGCAACCCCATTGTGCCCCTATTGTATGCCCATTACAACCCCATTGCATGCCCATTGTGACCCTATTGTATGCCCATTACAACCCCATTGCATGCCCATTGTGCCCCTATGGTATGCCCATTATGACCCTATTGTATGCCCATTTCAAACCCCCTGAATGCCAGTTACAGCCCCATCATTAACATGTGGCATCAACGCCAAAGACATTATTTAATTTTCCCAGTGATCAACATAAATTGGACGGGGGGGGGGGTGTTTGAGCTTAACCCCGACGCCCTCTAGCATGCATGAACCAGGCACATCATATACCACGCAGTTGACACAGACACATTAAGGCACCCCTTAATACAGACACGTTAAGCCACCATTGAATACAAACACATTAAGCCACCATCTACTACCGACACATGGAGCCAAACATTGACGCCGACACAGAACAGATATTGGCGTGTTAAGACACCCTGACATAAATTCGATCCCTACCATTAGCTTACAGTCCACCCCCCCCCCCCCCCAATACCCTACAGTCCCCCCCCCCCCCCCCCCAATCCCAATCGTACCTGAAATGTAACGGAGTGCCAGTGTAAGGCCCCACGCCGACACAGCACAATAACAGTGTCGCTGATAGCACGACGGCAACAAGTCGTACCGAGTTCCCTTACAGACAATAGTCTCCCTTGGATTAGTCCGTTGTCTGTGGTTACAGGTACTGGATATGTCATGGCGGCGTACTGCCGTGGTCATCAAGACACACACCAGCAAAAGGACAGCTGTCGCGTTTCAATGTGGCTTTAACTAGAGGATTACATCCCTAACCGGCGGACTGCGCGACCTGGGCTGGCCAGATGGCCATGAATTAAAACACATGTTGGCAGGTACGGTGATGTTTGGCATCGACACTAGAAGAATTCTTAATTTTAACTATTAACTAGGCCTTTCTTGAACTTTTTCATTCAGCATAAAGTTATGGTTCAACTGTTTTTCATAATTGAAAACAAAAACGTGTACGTAGTAACTTAACAAGTTGATCTACACAAGATTCAATGGCTTTAAATGACTTTACACAAGATTCAATGACTTTAAACAAGATTCAATGACTTTACACAAGATTCAATGACTTTACACAAGATTCAATGACTTTACACAAGATTCAATGACTTTACACAAGATTCAATGACTTTAAACAAGATTCAATGACTTTAAACAAGATTCAATGACTTTACACAAGATTCAATGACTTTACACAAGATTCAATGACTTTACACAAGATTTAATGACTTTAAACAAGATTTAATGACTTTACACAAGATTAAATGACTTTAAACAAGATTCAATGACTTTACACAAGATTCAGTGACTTTACACAAGATTCAATGACTTTACACAAGATTAAATGACTTTAAACAAGATTCAATGACTTTACACAAGATTCAATGACTTTACACAAGATTCAGTGACTTTACACAAGATTCAATGACTTTAAACAAGATTCAATGACTTTACACAAGATTCAATGACTTCACACAAGATTCAATGACTTTACACAAGATTCAATGACTTTAAACAAGATTCAATGACTTTACACAAGATTCAATGACTTTAAACAAGATTCAATGACTTTACACAAGATTCAATGACTTTACACAAGATTCAATGACTTTACACAAGATTCAATGACTTTACACAAGATTCAATGACTTTAAACAAGATTCAATGACTTTACACAAGATTCAATGACTTTACACAAGATTCAATGACTTTACACAAGATTCAATGACTTTACACAAGATTCAATGACTTTACTGTTCTAAGTTACTGAAATGTGTTCTAAGTTACTGAAATCACAAGATTCAATGACTTTACACAAGATTCAATGACTTTACACAAGATTCAATGACTTTAAACAAGATTCAATGACTTTACACAAGATTCAATGACTTTAAACAAGATTCAATGACTTTAAACAAGATTTAATGACTTTGCACAAGATTCAATGACTTTAAACAAGATTTAATGACTTTGCACAAGATTCAATGACAATGACTTTACACACGATTTAATGACTTTACACAAGATTCAGTACCACGGTGGCTTTATACAAGATTCAGTAACACCCTAACCACGGTGGCTTTATACAAGATTCAGTAACACCCTAACCACAGTGGCTTTATACAAGATTCAGTAACACACTAACCACGGTGGCTTTATACAAGATTCAGTAACACCCTAACCACGGTGGCTTTATACAAGATTCAGTAACACACTAACCACGGTGGCTTTATACAAGATTCAGTAACACACTAACCACGGTGGCTTTATACAAGATTCAGTAACACCCTAACCACGGTGGCTTTATACAAGATTCAGTAACACTCTAACCACGGTGGCTTTATACAAGATTCAGTAACACACTAACCACGGTGGCTTTATACAAGATTCAGTAACACTCTAACCACGGTGGCTTTATACAAGATGCAGTAACACTCTAACCACGGTGGCTTTATACAAGATTCAGTAACACACTAACCACGGTGGCTTTATACAAGATTCAGTAACACTCTAACCACGGTGGCTTTATACAAGATTCAGTAACACACTAACCACGGTGGCTTTATACAAGATTCAGTAACACACTAACCACGGTGGCTTTATACAAGATTCAGTAACACACTAATCACAGTGACTTTCCACATACAGTACAGACATGTTGGGTTTTTTTTAGCTTTTTTTTTATATCTACTACCGTATTGTTAAGATAATATGGGGGCAATGTCGAGCATCGGACTAGCAATACACGTGACAACTGTCATAAATAATACTCAACATCTTATTCCGTGACAACTGTCAAAAATAAAACCCAACTTCTTATTCCGTGACAACTGCCCCAAAACAGCAAATTAACCTATGACAACTGTCATTTAAGATAGTTTTTGTTGAGTCCACTGACAACTTGGATGTAACATATGGTACACACAACTTTGATGTGACGTTTGGAACACTGACAACTTGGATGTAACATCTGGTACACACAACTTTGATGTGACGTTTGGAACACTGACAACTTGGATGTAACATCTGGTACACACAACTTTGATGTGACGTTTGGAACACTGACAACTTGGATGTAACATCTGGTACACACAACATTGATGTGACGTTTGGAACACTGACAACTTGGATGTAACATCTGGTACACACAACTTTGATGTGACTTGTGGAACACTGACAACTTGGATGTAACACAGAGTTTGAAATCAAATAGCGTCAAAAAGTCTTTGATTTTCGCTCATAAATTCAATTATTTTGTTTACAAATATTATTTTAAAAGCTGTCCACATTTTCGATTAACCACAGCACCCAGGCAACGACTGGTTTTTATCGAAGACTTCGATTGGATCAGACATTGTTTTCCTGCTCGATTAGTTAAAAGCACGGTGAAATAAGCTGGTTATCGGCGCCAGACAATCAATTGATCGCTAACATTGATTAAATGGATCAAATTATCAAAGGATAAACAAAAATTATTGTAAAATGAAGAAGAAGCCTTGAACTCACGCGAATTGAACGATGGGCGACTGATGTTGGCAACCTTCAATGAATGATATCAGATTGTGGCAACCTTCAGTGAATGATATCAGATCTTGGCAATTTCAGTGAATGATATCAGATCTTTCCAACCTTCAATAAATGATATCATATCTTTCCATCTTTCAATGAATGATATCATATCTTGGCAACCTTCATTGGATGATATCAGATCTTGGCAACCTTCAATGAATGACATCAGATCTTAGCAACCTTCAATGAATGATATCATATCTTGGCAATTTCAGTGCATGATATCAGATATTGGCAACCTTCAATGAATAATATCAGATCTTGGCAAATTCAATGAATGATATCAGATCTTGGCAGCTTTCATTGAATCAGATTTTGACAACTGTCATTTAATCAGATCTTGGCATATTTCACTGAATAACATTAGATCTGGTCAACTTTCATTGAGTGACATTAGATCTGGTCAACTTTCATTGAGTGACGTTATATCTGGTCAACTTTCATTGAGTGACATTAGATCTGGTCAACTTTCATTGAGTGACATTAGATCTGGTCAACTTTCATTGAGTGACATTAGATCTGGTCAACTTTCATTGAGTGACATTAGATCTGGTCACCTTTCATTGAGTGACATTATATCTGGTCAACTTTCATTGAGTGAAGTTATATCTGGTCAACTTTCATTGAGTGACATTAGATCTAGTCACCTTTCATTGAGTGACATTAGATCTGGTCACCTTTCATTGAGTGACATTATATCTGGTCAACGTTCATTGAGTGACGTTATATCTGGTCACTTTCATTGAGTGACATTAGATTTGGTCAACTTTCATTGAGTGACATTAGATCTGGTCAACTTTCATTGAGACATTAGATCTGGTCAACTTTCATTGAGTGACATTAGATCTGGTCAACTTTCATTGAGACTTTAGATCTGGTCAACTTTCATTGAGTGACATTATATCTGGTCAACTTTCATTGAGTGACATTAGATTTGGTCAACTTTCATTGAGTGACATTAGATCTGGTCAACTTTCATTGAGACATTAGATCTGGTCAACTTTCATTGAGTGACATTAGATCTGGTCAACTTTCATTGAGACTTTAGATCTGGTCAACTTTCATTGAGTGACATTAGATCTGGTCAACTTTCATTGAGTGACATTAGATCTGGTCAACTTTCATTGAGTGACATTAGATCTGGTCACCTTTCATTGAGTGACATTAGATCTGGTCAACTTTCATTGAGTGACATTAGACCTGGTCAACTTATGTGTTAAGATTGTAATGATATCAGGGATTGATCAGATAGAAGCATCCCTTTCCCCTTGTACGCCCGCAGTTTCTCGGGAAAACATGAACATTTTTCATGTTAATTAATTCATTTAAATAAATTAAATAAATACATGCACTGTGTGCCTCATTTCCTGTCTCGGGTTGATCCTGTAGTATGGGCCAAAACGTGCCAAAGTGTCCTCGTTTTATAGCCATTTTAATTGTTTCTAAAGTATAGTAGTAACTATCCTAGTGTCTCATTTTTATTTTACTTAGTTTACATGTTTTTAACAATTGTAAAGCGCTTAGAGCTTTAAGGTAAGCGCTATATAAAAATGCCTAAATAAATAAATAAATAAAAACGTAGAAAAGATTAATATTGTCTGTTTTAAATTACAACAGCTACACCCACGACAGCCACACCCACAACAGCACCACAGCCACGTCTATCACAGCTATGCCCACCACAGCTACGCCCACCATAGTTACGCCCACCACAGCTACGCCCACCACAGCTATGCCCACCACAGCTACCGCAACCACATCTACCACAGCGACACTCACATCTACACTCACCACAGCTACACTCACGACATCTACTCCAACTACAGGTACACCCACCATATCTACACCCACCACCGCTACATCCACCACCACTACATCCACCACAGCTACACTCACCACCGCTACACTCACGACAGCTACATCCCCCCGCTACACTTACGACAGCTACATTCAAGACAGCTACCCCCCACCCGTTACACTCACGACAGCTCCACCCCCCCCCACACTCACGACACCTAGACCCACCACACCACCGCTACACCCACGACCGCTACACCCACGACAGCTACACCCCCCGCTACACTCCCCACCGCTACACCCACCACCGCTACACTCACGACATCTACACTCACGACAGCTACACTCACGACAGCTACACTCACGACAGCTACACTCACGACAGCTACACCCCCTGCTACACTCCCGACAGCTAGACCCACCACCGCTACACTCACCACAGCTACACTCACGACAGCTACACCCACCACCGCTATACTCACGACAGCTACACTCACCACAGCTACACTCACGACAGCTACACTCACCACAGCTACACTCACGACAGCTACACTCACCACAGCTACACCCACCACCGCTACATTCACGACAGCTACACTCACCACAGCTACACTTACCAAAGCCCATTACCCAAAAAATATTATCTACATAAAGATGGTGATTTAAAAAAAAATTTTTTGCCTCAATGAACCTCACGCACAAGGTCATTCATTTTGTCGGTATTTAACTGAAAACACCTCCCATCGGTGGACTTAGACCATTGACACAGTGGTGGTAATGAAGCAGTTGGCTGGGAAAAGCAGTCCCATGCTCTCTCACCGTGAAACATTTTAAAATACAATAACATTTTCTAACAGTTCCCCGTGGAAGCTAATGAACGGAGCAGTCAATCGCCACCGACCGCCCCACCTATTAGCGCGGACACTTCAGGCACGCATTGTGTGGCGGCACAATGAAAAGTTTTCGATCAGCGTGGCTATAATGAAAACCCACAGAGGCGGCACGTGGGACCCGGGCTGGGGGTGATGAGGGTGGATTGATTCGGCCTAGAGTCGACCCGTTTAATGATTGGATTGGTCTGGCAAAACAGCGTATGGTCAATGGACGTCATGTAGACAAGGAACCCAACGCTTTCAGATGGCACAACGGTGTAGACGTTACAAACTGTGGAGTTCTGGGAATTTAAAACAAAAAATATATCTCTCTGTTTTGAGATCGACATAAATCTGGAGGGTTGTCTCTGTGTCTAGAGATGGTCAGATATATCCAGGTCTGTGTCTAGAGATGTCCAGATATATCTAGGTCTGTGTCTAGAGATTCCAGATATATCCAGGTCTGTGTCTAGAGATGTCCAGATATATCCAGGTCTGTGTCTAGAGATGTCCAGATATATCCAGGTCTGTGTCTAGAGATTCCAGATGTATCCAGGTATGTGTCTAGAGATGTCCAGGTATATCCAGGGCTGTGTCTAGAAATGTCCAGATGTATCCTAGTCTGTGTCTAGAGATGTCCAGATATATCCAGGGCTGTGTCTAGAAATGTCCAGATGTATCCAAGTCTTTGTCTAGAGATGTCCAGATATATCCAGGTCTGTATCTAGATATGTCCAGATGTCTCCAGGTCTGTGTCTAGAGATGTCCAGATATATCCAGGTCTGTGTCTAGAAATGCCCAGATATATCCAAGGTTGTGTTTCTTTGTCTAGAGATGTCCAGATATTACATCTCAAGAGTTCTATTTCTTTGTCTAGATATTACAGATATATCCAGTGTTGTATATCTGCCAAGAGACCGATATCTCTGACAAGGGTGCACAAGCATCAGAGCAGGATAATCTAGAGCTGAATGGTGTGTCATCAAACAGTTGTGACATAATCTGACAAAACCGCTGCCTGATAAAAATGACATATAATACAGTCTTAATCTAGGTACGAGTACCCGTGTGTTGTCCAGCTAAAGTCATCTACGTATGTACACTTGGTGAGTCATACAATAGACAGTACACACACAATAAAATGAAGCAAAATGCCAAAAGTCTACGTCAACTAACAAAGAACAAATTGATCACAATCTACCAACTGCCGTGTCAACAACGGGTAACAGGCGGCAGCAAGTCAGACAACAATTCTTATCCGGAGACTAGGATTACTGCTTCCGATTCAGCTACTAACACCAGTTTCCGGCACATTTGGTGTGCTGGCATCCCTAGGGTTTGTCATGAGTTCAACACAAAGCCATGCTGGCCTCCCAAGGGTTTGTCATGAGTTTAAAGCAACGCCTGAACAGATTAACTTTAAATTCAGCAATTTTATATACGGTTCGATTACCTTTAATGATTGATTGCATTCAAACGGTTATAATTCGATTATGTTGCAAGAACATAATGGTATCGATATTGACAGAAACATCGAGACGTCGCTCAGCGATTACACAAGGACTTGTACAAATCTTCACACTGTTTTAAAAACAACAGAACAACCATTGCGTGCAAATCTTCTCACCAGTGTCACCTAGCTGGTCACCGAAGGACCTCTTAGCCACAGAATCTATCTTTGACTTGTGAAACGGCACAGGTGGGTTTGAGTTTCTATAACCTGGCACGGCCCTGTGGCGGTCGCCTCTGACGTCAAGAGTTTCTGGGCTGTTTACGCTCCTGAGTTCCACCATATCAATCATCCAACAGTACGCTACTGCTTGGGTCAAATTGCCACTTAGACCGTGACGCCTTTTCAAAGCAGTTCCGCTAGCTTTCCTTGAAGTTGAAGCCGGGCGAAAGTTGAAAAAACGCGAGGCAGGCCTTCCGGCAGGCCTGGACGAGCTCAGTGTTACGTTTCAACAGACGGGCTTGTGTCGGCACTTCGTACCTTTTGGTTGTTTCATATCCAAGTCCGCTAACCCCTCGCCTGTCTTCATCGTAACTGCTCACCGTCTTCGTCGTTCAGAGGCGTTCGTCAAACTTTTCTTCAACATTCAATCGATTTGTGAGCACCATTGTTTAGCTGACGCGTGTGGGTCGGCGTGTGGGTCGCTTACTTGATCATTATCTACGACTGGACTCTTTTGTTTTCTTTTTCTTCCAATGTTGGCATCATAGTATTGGCTAGGCATTTAATTTTATATGACATGCGCTGTGTGCTGTGACATACGCTGTGTGCTGTGACATGCGCTGTGTGCTGTGACAAACGCTGTGTGCTGTGACATGCGCTGTGTGCTGTGACATACGCTGTGTGCTGTGACATGCGCTGTGTGCTGTGACATACGCTGTGTGCTGTGACATGCGCTGTGTGCTGTGACATGCGCTGTGTGCTGTGACATACGCTGTGTGCTGTGACATGCGCTGTGTGCTGTGACATGCGCACACACGACACTGTAACGCTGTGTGCTGTGACATGCGCTGTGTGCTGTGACATACGCTGTGTGCTGTGACATGCGCTGTGTGCTGCGACATACGCTGTGTGCTGTGACATACGCTGTGTGCTGTGACATGCGCTGTGTGCTGTGACATGCGCTGTGTGCTGTGACATGCGCTGTGTGCTGTGACATGCGCTGTGTGCTGTGACATGCGCTGTGTGCCCAGTTCCGCCAAGTCTAAACCGGATATGACGTCGTCTCGAAGTGTCACAGTAAGTAAAGACTCCAAAGTATCATCGCCCCTATGTCTGAAGTGTCCATAAAACCGCCATTAGATACAACGGCCACGTTTAAATTTCTTTAGAGCATCAGTAGCATAATATAGCATGGTGGCGGCGTTTATGATCTTAGAACTACCGGTGCCAAGAACGTGGTTTTTACGGGGAGCGTCCACCAGGGAAGATCATTTTTTTGAATGTTTCAACAGCTTCCCCCTTGTCTGTCTCATGATACAGAGTTTGAGATATGATAAACGAAATCTTCGCTACCGCCAGAGGGGTGGGGGGGGGGGGGGGGTATTGGTAGAAGCTTTTCGTTCAGACCCGAGTTCGACTCTCAGTCGAGGCAATGTTTTTTTTAAAAATCCGTATCAACAAACAAGCGCAATTTTGGGTGAGAGGTTAACTGCATCACGACTGCTGATAAGGAAGGGAAGTCATTCACGTTCAATTTTGGCGCAGGTGCACTGAATTGAGAAATCGTAGACTTTTAAATTATAACATGACACAAAAAATATGTAACTAATATATTTAAATCATAGAATTGTTACTGTTAATATTACCTTAATATCAGCGTCTTTCTATGATTAAATAAATCTTGTAAACAAAACAAAGAAAAACGGAGGCTACACCAATCCTTTGTAAAAGTGTAACAATTTTTATACAGTGTAACAATTGATATAAAGTGTAAGTATAATAGATACATTTAATAGTTTGGAGAATCTTTTCTTAGAATCAATGGTGAATGGTCATAAACTCGTTTACTAGCCTAGTTGTGAGTACAGCGTCCTTAAAAGTTATTCAATAAAACTGACATGCGACTAGCCATTGACCATGACCCACATATCTACTCATAGTGAGGCTGTGTTTACTTCCAGTTTGATCTCACCGTAAACGATACCGCCATGTCCAAGAACTCACCCCGGAGAGGGTCATCCATATCCTTAACCAAATCTGTCTCGAGGGATGCATCTCCAACGAAATCTCCCACCAGGGAGGTCTCCCCATCCAAATCAACGAAATCTCCAGCAATGGAGGTATCCAAATCAACGAAATCTCCCACCAGGGAGGTCTCCCCATCCAAATCAACGAAATCTCCAGCAAGGGAGGTATCCAAATCAACGAAATCTCCCACCAGGGAGGTCTCCCCAAGCAAATCAACGAAATCCTCCGCCCAGCTGTCCCCGACAGCCCCGAGAAAGGCCACTGCTAAGGCCACGCCGTCCCCAGAGAGAGTCAAGACAGGCAGCACCATGAAGTCAGCACGGAGACAGTCCTTATCACCACCCAAGTCGACCGTCTCCAGCAGGAAACGCTCTCCTATTGCGAGCGTGCCGCCCTCTGGCGGGAGCAGAGATCTCAGTGCTAAAGGTAAGAAGGTCAAGGTAAGAAGGTTCATGTAATAGCAGCCGTCTCTAGGTGACTATGTGGTACACACCATTTTTTGTGGGTTTTTTTTTTGTTATTTGAACATTTCGACATATTGGTCTGCTCATGTTATTGTTCTTAGTCAAGGTTTTGTTCTATCCTCAGAGGACAAACAGAAAAGGCCAGTCACCGCTGAGCCGTCAAATGTCACAGAGTCTGGACTCAAGATCGTGGACTGGTCTGGCCAGGGATTGACCAGCCTGCCTTCCAATCTTATCCACAGTGAGTAGAGATTATGTGGTCTCTTGCTTCACACTGATCTATGAAAAATATAATATATCAATAACCTGAAGGTCTCATGTGCCTTAGCCGTATACGATAAAAAATATAATTGAAATCAAAGTTTTAGTTTGAAGAAAAAACTAGGACAAAAGAACTAGAATAGAATGTAAGAAATAGTTTAGTCTGAGTACAGCACAGGACATCACCCTGGTATCTGCACCTTGTATTTTATCTCCCAAAGATACAAGTCATCGAATTCTTTCATCAGTATATATTTCCATGACATTTGCCTTCCACACAAACAGCCAAAGATGTCGGCCACCTGATTGTGTCCTCCAACAATATGCGCGCTCTGCCTCCCGAGATCAAACTGATGAACACCCTTGAGAAGCTGGACCTCTCAAGGAATGGCATTCGCTGCACCAGTAGCACAGACTTCAGCGGTCTACCCCAGGAGATGGCCCAGTTGACCAATCTGACTGAGCTGTGCCTTTCAGAATGCAACTTGGCATTCGTGCCACCAGCAGTGTTTAAGATAACTTGTTTGAAAGTGTTGAATCTCAGCAGAAATAAGGTCAGCACTGTAGAGTATCATCAGATGGGTAGTAGCAGCATGTGCACTGTAGAGTATCATCAGATGGGTAGTATCATCAGATGGGTAGTAGCAGCATGTGCACTGTAGAGTATCATCAGATGGGTAGTAGCAGCATGTGCACTGTAGAGTATCATCAGATGGGTAGTAGCAGCATGTGCACTGTAGAGTATCATCAGATGGGTAGTAGCAGCATGTGCACTGTAGAGTAACATCATATGGGTAGTAGCAGCATGTGCACTGTAGAGTATCATCACATGGGTAGTGGCAGCATGTGCAGTGTAGAGTAACACCATATTGATCAACATTGTAATTACTCAAGTAACCTAACGATGAGTTCAATCAACTTATACTGAACTTGTGTCATACTCTTCTCCTCTAGGTGAACATTCTACTACCAGATATAGGGCAACTGACCAATCTGGTCCTGTTGAATGTCCAGCAGACTAACATCACGTCACTTCCCCCAGAGATAGCGTATTGCCAGGAACTTGAGGAGCTCTACCTGTGGGGCAATTCTATTGAGACACTACCTGAGACCTTATCAGAGATGCCCAAACTAAGAGTCCTGGCACTTAACTACAGGTAAGACAAAGTGTACCTGAAACCTTGTCAGAGATGCCCAGAGTGAGAGTCCTGACACTCAATCACAGATAAGAAACAATGAACACTGGCAATGATAATCCTGTCATTTATAACAAAACTAAACTTGGTGTAAATTTAATGAAACATGTACACTTTGGTTGTCAATGAATGTGTACCCTATGGTTGTCAAGGAATGTGTACACTTTGGTTGTCAATGAATGTGTACACTTTGGTTGTCAATGAATGTGTACACTTTGGTTGTCAAGGAATGTGTACACTTTGGTTGTCAATGAATGTGTACACTTTGGTTGTCAAGGAATGTGTACACTTTGGTTGTCAATGAATGTGTACACTTTGGTTGTCAAGGAATGTGTACACTATGGTTGTCAATGAATGTGTACACTTTGGTTGTCAATGACTGTGTACACTTTGGTTGTCAAGGAATGTGCACACTATGGTTGTCAAGGAATGTGCACACTTTGGTTGTCAAGGAATGTGTACACTTTGGTTGTCAAGGAAAGTGTACACTTTCGTTGTCAAGGAATGTGTACACTATGGTTGTCAAGGAATGTGTACACTATGGTTGTCAAGGAATGTGTACACTATGGTTGTCAAGGAATGTGTACACTATGGTTGTCAAGGAAAGTGTACACTTTAGTTGTCAGACTGTTTTCATGACATTAGTAGACAGGGTGGATGTGTATTTTAATAAATAAATAATTTATAAATACATAATATGAGAACAAATCAAAATTTTTGTTACTAAAAAATGTTCAAAGTTTCTTTTTTAAAACTGAATGATTTTGACCCTTTTTTTGTTCAAAGGTGATTTATTTCTTAAAATAATTTTAATTTTTTTTTTTAGATTTTGCGTGTAAAGAACATAAATTCTAACGGAAAGAATAAACTGAATGCTTTCAATCCTAGGAGTTTCTGTGGCGTAGTTGACCCTTACATGGAGAACTTACTGAAGAAAGGCCAGATCAAATCTGAGCACATCCCAGCAGTAGTGTTTGAACTGCCCGCCTTGCAGGTGCTGGATCTGGAGAACACAAAGCTCAACACTCTACCACAAGTTTCTAACGTACAGTTGCAAGAACTTTACTTGGGTCAAAACTTTCTGCAGGTAACTCAATCATTATCGATGTCCGTAACTATTTTCAGAGATACTTATAAATATGGACTCCCTTTCTTTGGTTTTTTTTTGGGGTGGTGGGGGGGATAAAAGATCTGAAATCAGATTATCTGACTTAACAATGTTGACCTCATCAGATTTAGACCAGTCATTGTGCACTACAAACTATTTAAAGTAAAAGGATGTATTGAAGAAGTGATACCTTGAACAAAAAGTTTCTGCTAATCATACATGTTGATATTGTTTTGTCCAAGATTGAGAATCTTACTATTGTTGGAGAGACTTTACCATCACCTAGACAGCTCTAAAATATATGCCAGAGTGCTTTTCTCAGACTTCTCATCAGCATTTAACACTATCCAACCACACCTTATTTTAAAGAAACTTTCCTCGTTAGGTGTTAATTTAAATATTCAAGCTTGGATACCGAACTTTTTAACAAATGGCCCACAATATGTCAAGGTAAATGACCAATATCTCTAACAAGAGAAATAAGCACCGGGCACCACAAGGCTGCGTTCTCTCTCCTGTACTGTACACCATATATACCAATGATATTCAAAGCTCAAGTGAAACCGTTCCAATCTTAAAATTTGCTGATGATACCAGCATCGTTGGCTTAATATCTGAGGGAGAAGGCTTATACCCCAACTTAGTTACAAGCTTTACCAATTGGTGCAATGATAATTTTCTGCAGCTGAATGTCTCAAAAACAAAGGAAATGGTTGTTGATTTCAGGAGGGGGAAACACCTGATTACAGATCTCAACATAAAAAATCAAAGTGTAGAGAAAGTGGAGGCATAGAAGTACTTAGGTGTCACCATTAATAATAAGCTGACATGGCATGAGGATGGCCAAATGCTGTATAAGAAATTCAACCAGACTGTTCTACCTTAAAATATTGTACAATTTCAGCATAGACAAACTAGTCGTGAACTTATATTCTACAGCGCACCAATTTAATTTACAGTGCCTACTTAATTTCAATATTACCTGCTGCTGAGGGAATTCATGGTCTGATATTAAACACCAAATAAACAGACTGATCAAGAAAGCTAGGAACATAACACAAACTAAACATCCTTAACTTGAAGAACGATTTGAATAAAGATGTTTTTTGTAAAACTGAACACATTTTGGATGATACACCCCACCCTCTTCATCACTGATACTTAGGATCGGCACGTTCGGGACAAATTCTTTCCATCAGAGCGAGGACTGAAAGATATAAAAATTATTTGTTCCCCAATCTGTATGAATTACTAGCAGGCTCCCCCTGAAGTCACAAATCTTTATGAGAACTATCAAGTCACTGATATGGCTAAGAGAATTCACTGAATGGCTGTTTTTTTTTCACTTGTGAAATAATTTAATGTAGATGTCTTGCGTTCAAATTGTTTTATTTATGTGCTGAAAAGATACAATCCAATCAAAAAACATTTCCATTTGTTTGGATCAATAAAAGAATCTTATCTTATCTTAATTTGAAAGCATAAAAAGCTTTACTTCAAAGCTTTCATACTTGTACGATAAACATGTATTCTTTTTCTTCAGTGACAAAAATTGCCAATCATCAACGAATGAAAAAGCGTGAAGACTGTAAAATGTTTCCAATCATGTCAAACCAAAAAACTCATTGACACAGCTGTATGCAATTGCTAATAGAAATGATAGTACAGATAAAACATTGACATGAATTTTTTCCAAATGTGATCCCTTCATGTGTTTAACACAGTGACTCAACCAGATTAAATTATCATGTTGTAATACAACTTTCCTTTCAAGGCCATACCACCAAGTATTTACAACCTAAAGTTACTTGGGATACTGGACATGTCCAACAACCTGCTGACCGAACTTCCCAGTGAAATAGGTCAACTGACGGGACTGAGGGTGCTGAGGCTGGCCCATAACAGCATCGACCAGATACCACCAAACATCGGCCGTCTTCATCAGCTGGAGGAGCTGGACTTGGCACGGAACAGGATCAAAAAACTGCCACCAGAAATGAAAGGTCAGTCCGTTGGGACCCCAGGGCAATGTTGTCACGTCACACCGGTGACATCTCTGACTGACCACAGGGTGTCCAAATTGTGTTTTTTCTTTCACCGGGTTAAATAGTTGTTCTTGATCCGATTTATTTGGTCAAACTAATAAGTTGCCACACCAAACAACTATCAATCTGATCCATTTGGCCTTGATGGGCCGGTTCATGCTCACAATCTGTATCTGGGCTGTTTCAATGAATGGTTGTATCACAGCAAGGAGTGTAACTTTAACTTGTGGGTGGACAAGTCATTTTTCTTAGACTATATATCAATAAGTCTAATCCACTTCAGAGTATGTTATCTTGCAATAATCCGGCTTCCATCCAAGTCTTGTTTTACCTTTCATTTTTAAAAGGTATTACAGACAAATCTGCCAATAAGTTTTTGTGAACAACATGATCAATTCTTTTCGATTGGCTGAAATCCTTTAAGGTAACGGGTAAACCAAATATCTTATACAGCTCTAATTTCTGCCAAAATATTCCACTGAAAGTGTACTGCCCTGTGTGTGATTGGTGTCACTTCTGTTCTAAAAATATCCACTCTTTTTCACAGATCTCAAAGTCTTAAAAATCCTGATCCTGGACAAGAACAAGATTCAAAGACTGCCCGAGGAGATTTGTGACCTAACTCACCTTCACACACTGGACCTGACCGGCAATGAGATCAGATCCCTCCCCATGGCCATGCACCGCCTGACAGGACTGACCGAGGCCCACACTTACAACAAGCTGACCAAATCTGGTCTGTGGCTGTACCAGAACCCATTGGAGAGGCCACCTCCAGAAGTGTGGCGTACAGACAAACCTGAGCACATATTTGAATACCTCAAGAAGTTGATGATTTTAACCACAGAGAACCTCCAAACACAGAAGATTCAGTTGCTTGGAGCAAGCCAGTGCGGGAAATCAAGCCTGTGCCAGGCACTGTCACTTGGAAAATCACAAGTCAAAGATGGGACGACAGAAAAGACAAGACTCTTTCAGCAGACGCTGTGGAAGACTGAGAACAATGTTGAGTTTGTGCTGTATGACTTTGGTGGGGATGACGTCTACAGCATGCTGTACAAAATATTTTTAGATAACAAATCTTTAGTCATGTTGGTGTACAATGCTGCCACCATGCATGAAAGCAATTTCTATTCTTCTGTAGGCCAATGGCTGGACATGCTGAGCTCCTGTTTGCCTGGGGCAATAGTCAAAATTGTGGGCACACAGGTCGATTTGTTGCAGACTGAGGATACGCCAAAGGAATTTTTACAGCCAGACGATGATGATGTCAAGACAGGCACCTCATCGGAGAATGAGCTCAAGATTCTGTCAGCTCCATCAGAGGATTCAAAAAACATTGATGTGGAAGAGGATGACCTGTTTAGCATTGGCCCAGAAGGTGATGAAGATGTTCAGAGAAATACCAGCACGCCGGCAGCTCCAGAACCGCCACACAATCAAGTAGTTCAGGAGCTTGTGACACTGCATCTAAGCAAGAGGGAGCAGCAGTTCAAAGATGAATTAACCAAAATTGAAGATGACATTGCCAAACTAGAAAAATCAGGTCAGACCCAGCTGACCGACATGGACGAGTCAGTTCTGAAACTGTTACGCGTCAGGCAGCAGAAGATCAAATCAATTCTCCAGAACCCTTTAAAAATCCTCCCTGGCATTTCTTGCGTTAGTTCTTCAGAGAGTCTGGAGGGGATTCTGCCGCTGATCAATGAGCTAGAGCACTTAGCCATCGACCAAACTCTGTTCCCACATGCACAGCGCCACATACCTGGCCACTGGAAAAGATTGGGAAACATGCTGAAGCAAGGGAAAGGGTTTTATCTGTACTGGGACGATGTGGAGCAGATGGCCCAGAGATTCAGTGTCAAGGGGGATGAGCTCCAGGAGTGTGTCAAATATCTCCATGACACTGCCAATGTTCTGTGGTTCCACAATGACCTCGCACTGTCTCAAATGGTGTTTCACAAGCCCATCCTGCTCTCGGACCTCATTTCCAGTTTGTTTCGCCATGACATGAGAGATTTCTTGCAGTATGAGAATAAAGTCTTCCTGTCAAAGGGTCGCCTCAACAGACGGCAGTTTGAGGAATGTGCCCACCGCCTGCTGCACATGGGGGAAATTTCTCGTCCCCTGTTGAACAGCTTGTGGTTCCACCTGGACCTGTCAAACAACGACATCGATTATCTGCTAGAACTTCTCCCTCTGTTTGACATCTGCTATGCTGTACCAGAACCAGAGGTACCTACAGGTCCCATCTACAACCGTCCACTTCTGGTGGTGCCGTGGTACAACAAGGACACTGACATGAGCCCTCTCAGCGAGGTCTGGCCCAACAAAACACATCACAAGGAACTAGCGGTCATCTACACATTTCCTTTTTTCTGTCCCTTGGAAATCCTCCCCAACATTTCGGCCCAAATTCAGGACTTTGTTGACGAGAGACTGGACTGGGAGGATCACATCTACGCAAGCTGCGATTCGGAGCAACTGCTCCTCCGCCGCTCAATCCAGGATGGGATCCATAGACTGACCATCATTGTGCGAGGGATAGAGTTTGCTCTGGTCCAAGAGCTGATGGAAGACTTGGTTGACCTGGTGAACACATATTTACACAATTATTCAGGTCTATACTGGAAGCTGACCATCCCAATGGGTGCCAGCAGTATTCCACTTGTCACACTAACAGACGTCGGCGGCAGCGCCAAAGGATACGGAGGTGGCCGCAGGGGCAGCAGAATGATTAAACCAATCTCTAATAAGTAGCAACATTTTACAACTAAGATGTGTCCAGGTATCTGTTGCTGCATTAGGTCTTGTCATCATGGAACTACATTCCTGGCACACAATGAGTCCTGTAAGAACTAGAAGTAAGCTGGGTCAAGTAAAATGGTGTGTCTCTGAGTTCCCTGGGTGGAAAAGATCACACATCATTCATTGGAAGTTACAAGTCAAGGAAAACTCTTGAATGACCAACAAAAGATAAAACATGAATTCTGCTTCAAGTGGTCTCTACATTGAAAGTATTTATATTAAGATCAAGCTTTAACTGTGACAGTTTGTCCATACTGTGACCGTTTGTCCATACTGTGACAGTTTGTCCATACTGTGACCGTTTGTCCATACTGTGACCGTTTGTCCATACTGTGACAGTTTGTCCATACTGTGACCGTTTGTCCATACTGTGACAGTTTGTCCATACTGTGACAGTTTGTCCATACTGTGACAGTTTGTCCATACTGTGACCGTTTGTCCATACTGTGACCGTTTGTCCATACTGTGACCGTTTGTCCATACTGTGACCGTTTGTCCATACTGTGACCGTTTGTCCATACTGTGACCGTTTGTCCATACTGTGACAGTTTGTCCATACTGTGACCGTTTGTCCATACTGTGACAGTTTGTCCATACTGTGACAGTTTGTCCATACTGTGACAGTTTGTCCATACTGTGACCGTTTGTCCATACTGTGACAGTTTGTCCATACTGTGACCGTTTGTCCATACTGTGACAGTTTGTCCATACTGTGACAGTTTGTCCATACTGTGACCGTTTGTCCATACTGTGACAGTTTGTCCATACTGTGACAGTTTGTCCATACTGTGACCGTTTGTCCATACTGTGATCGTTTGTCCATACTGTGACCGTTTGTCCATACTGTGACAGTTTGTCCATACTGTGACAGTTTGTCCATACTGTGACCGTTTGTCCATACTGTGACCGTTTGTCCATACTGTGACCGTTTGTCCATACTGTGATAGTTTGTCCATACTGTGATTGTTTTTACATGCTGTGATAGTTTGATACTGTGTTTATACTGTGATAGTTTTTCCATACTGTGTTAGTTGGTCCATACTGTGTTAGTTGGTCCATACTGTGTCACTGTGATTTAAAAAACATTTAATTTATTTTTCAATATTAAATTCAATGAAAAATAAACATATGTCTCACCTGTTGGTTAAAGTAATGATGTAATAATTGTTGCTTAAAGAAATGATGTCATACTTGTTGGTGAACTAAATCACAAATGAGATACTTGGATGAAGAATGTTTTGAGTGAAAAAAGTGAATCAGAGTAGGCAGACTTCATAAATCTGTGAAACACATGTACCCCTCTCCGTCTATTCAGTAGTCTGGTGGATGGCACGGCTGAACAAGTGTGACACAAATGTTTACGTTCATGAACTGGATTATCAAGTCAAAAAGTCAATATTTAAGGAACTCATCAGACTTGTCTCACCAGCATGATGGTTTGACACAGATGTTAACATAAGTGCTCTACTGAATTTGTACCTTACCACCATTATACTCTTGACATAAACAAAGGGCTCTCTTACCAATAGATATGAGCTTTTTTTTAAAACCTTGTATTACTGATACCCATAAGGGTCAACCTAACTTCTCTTTAAATATTGTATAATCAGAAGTTGGACACGCATTCGATAAAATTGGGATGCGGGATGCGTGCACCAAAATGGATTTTGCAGGAACAAAAACGTTAGGAAGAATACTTGTGAGATAAGTGAAGTAGTGAAGCAGGAGTAGAGACCGACCGAAAGTGATTTTCTGATTTCGGCCAAAGCCGAAAATAGGCCGAAAGTTTAAAATGACTTTCGGCCGAAACCGAAAAAATACCGAAAGTTAAAAAATGACTTTCGGCCGAAACCGAAAAAAGGCCGAAAGTTAAAAATGAATTTCTGCCGAAACCGAAGCCGAAACCGAAACGTTAAGATATTGTGAAATTCGTTCCCGCATACATTCTGCATATATCGAAAATGATGGGGAAAGTATAAATATTTCCATTCTTTTTATAAAAAATTAGATAATCGTGAATATTAATAAATAAACATCTATTATAAGGGTCTCAAACTCGCGGCCCGCGAGCCATTTATGATCCGCTAGACGATATTTTGCGGCCCGCTACATGACAGAAAAGTTTAGTGTAAATGCGCCGGCCCGTTTCCCCCATTCTCATATCTATAACGTGACTCTCCGCGACGGTTTCAGTCGAATCTCACCGAGTAGTCTAATTCTGATTATTTTTTAAAATGTTTCTATATATTTTTGTATTCAACAGTGAATAGGTGGATGAAAGTGAATCCTAGTTCTTGAGAACCCTTGATGATTGTATTGTTATTTATAAAGGTTGAGCAGATTGTAACAGTTCTAATCGCTTTTTTTGTGGATTACTTGATGCGGCCCACTCTCATTATGACACTACCTCCTGCGCCCCCCCCCCCCTGATGATTTGAGTTTGAGACCCTTGATCTAATGAATACTTTGGATTTTACTATTTTAATATAAAAGTAATTTAGTTTTTTAACCGGGTCTCTAAAAATTGTGGTTCTAAAAGATCGCTTAATTTGTTTTTAAAGATCGTTTAGTTGGTTTTATTGATCGGTTAGTTTGTTCTTAAAGATCGGTGAGTTTGTTCATAAAGATCACTTAGTTTGTTCTAAAATATCGCTAAGTTTAATCTTAAAGATCACTTAATTTGTTCTTAAAGATCGCTTAGTTTGTTATTAAAGATCGCTTAATTTGTTGTTAAAGATCGTTTAGTTTGTTGTTAAAGATCGTTTAGTTTGTTGTTAAAGATCGTTTAGTTTGTTGTTAAAGATCGTTTAGTTTGTTCTTAAAGATCGCTTAGTTTGTTGTTAAAGATCGCCCAGTTTTTGTTAATGATCGCTTTATTTTTTCTTAAAGATCGTTTATTTTTTTCATAAGGATCGCTTAGTTTGTTGTTAAAGATAATTGATTTTGTTCCTTAAGATAGTTTAGTTATTCCTAAAGAACATTTAGTTTTCTGTTAAAGATCGCTTATTTTATTCTTATAAATCAATTAGTTTAATATTAAAGATAATTTGTTTTGTTCTTAAAGATCATTTAGTTCGGTCTTAAAAATCGTTTAGTTTGTTCTTTAAGATCGTCTAATTTGTTATTAAAGATCGCTTAGATAGTTCTTAAAGATCGCTTAGTTTGTTTTAAAGATCGTTTAGTTTGTTCTTAAAGATCGCTTAATTTGTTCTTAAATGTCGCTTAGTTTGTTTTTAAATATCGCTTTCGCTGAGTATTAATTGACCGAAAACCTGAGTCACTTTCGGCCGGATGGCCGAAAGTCTAAGTCAATTTCGGCCGAAACCGAAGAAAAACCGAAAGTTAACTTTTCTCTTTCGGCCGAAACCGAAATTAAGCCGAAAGTTAACTTTTAAGTTTCGGCCGAAACCGAAACTTGGCCGAAAGTGATAAAACGGCCACTTTCGGCGCCGAAACCGAAGCCGAAATTCGGTCGGCCTCTAAGCAGGAGCTTTAGCCAATGTATGCTGCATAGTGGGGGGGAGGGGGGTTGGCTGGCCCTAGTTTACACAAGTTTATAAACAGTAAAATATTTATGCATTACCAATGGATACACGGATAGAGATATATTCAGATACGCAATTAGCTATGTTATATTTGACAGTTGACATAGAAGCAAATATTTGTTTGACAGTGACACCAAAGAGAAGCTGGCAAATCTAATGACAGCAAAGGTTGAAATGTGGAGTGCTCAACATTAAGTTTTGACTTTGAAAATGGGACTTTAATTCATGATGAAACACAACTGTATGTGGGCGCTTCCTTCCACTCAGTCCGAGCCCTAAAGCAGTGCTTGAAAATGTATGAAATGAAGTTATTATTGCTGAAGATGAAACTGTGTCTGAGATGCAATGTCATGAAGGAGTGAAGAACTGTCACATAGGTGTGATGAAATCTCACATAATTAAGAATTATCACATAGGTGTGATGAAATCTCACATAATTAAGAATTCTCACATAGGTGTGATGAAATGTCACATAATTATGAAGAACTGTCGCATAGGTGTGATACAATGTCACATATTTTTTAAGAATTGTCACATAGGTGTGATGTAATGTCGCATAGTTATAAGATAAGTTATGGTTTAAATAGACGTTAACAACATAAGTTATGGTTTAAACCTTAGGGTAATGAGGGGGCATCCAACATTTTGTGGTAACAAGTGGTTTAACAGCTAGCATTAGTTATTTTGGCCTAGTCGCCAATTTTATGCTCATCACTAGAGTTGGTGTTGACCAGTGCAGTAAACTCATTGTATCTGACTTCTCTGCCAAGTCCATCTGTTCTGGTGGCACCCTGCTCTTATGGGAACCTGCTTAGGTGGCACCCTGCTTTGGTGACAGGTGGCACCCTGCTCTTATGGGAACCTTCTTAGGTGACACCTTACTTTAGTGACTTGTGGCACCCGCTCTTATGGGAACCTGCTTAGGTGGCACCCTGCTTTGGTGACGGGTCGCACCCTACTTTGGTGACTGGTGGCACCCGCTCTTATGGGAACAGTCTTAGGTGACACCCTACTTTGGTGACTGGTGGCACCCGCTCTTATGGGAATCTTCTTAGGTGACACCCTACTTACCACTGACCACCGTGGCGCTCTTATGGGAACAGTCTTAGGTGACACCCTACTTTGGTGACTGGTGGCACCCGCTCTTATGGGAACCTTCTTAGGTGACACCCTACTTTGGTGACTGGTGGCACCTGCTCTTATGGGAACCTGCTTAGGTGGCACCCTGCTTTGGTGACAGGTGGCACCCGCACTTATGGGAACCTGCTTAGGTGACACCCTACTTTGGTGACTGGTGGCTCACTGCCCTTGTAAATTAGATGTGTTATGAAACTATTTGTTAGTTCCCCCATCTCCCCCCCCCCCCAACCTAGTGATGCTGCTGTTTATGCTCAGAACATCATGAGATATAACAATCTTCACAATTGCTAATAAAGAGGCTGTACAAAATATGCTGTTTCATCAAACAACCTCCCAATACGAACACAGATTTTTCACTATAATCAACAAAAAAACAAACAACAGAAATCAATGATTAACCCCCAGGGCTACATACAAATTTTCCTCATTTAAAAATGGCCGCTCCACTTGTGACATCAGTGTATCAAAATAAAACATTATTTCTACAAAATTTGAAGTGAGCATTTTTTTCAAATAAATCCATTTGTGACATGATGAGGATTTTATATACTTACTTTAATGAATATATGTGTACTAATTCTTTTTTGTAATTGTATTCTCCATATTAATAGATTCAATAAAACATTTTTAATTTAAATAATCCATGATTTTTTCATTACAAATCAGGAGAAACGTCAGCGTATTCAAATATATTTTTGGGTAATGGCTTGAAAAGTTCACTGGCCCCTGGCTTAAAGAGAAGTTATGGTTTGAATAACAAGAGAAGTTATGGGCTAAAAAGAAGTTAATAAGAGAAGTTATGGGCTAAAGAGAATTTAATAAGATAAGTTATGGGCTAAAGAGAAGTTAATAAGAGAAGTTATGGGCTAAGGAGAAGTTAATAAAAGAAGTTATGGCCTAAAGAGAAGTTAATAAGAGAAGTTATGGGCTAAAGAGAAGTTAATAAGAGAAGTTATGGGCTAAAGAGAATTTAATAAGAGAAGTTATGGGCTAAAGATAATTTAATAAGAGAAGTTATAGGCTAAAAAGAAGTTAATAAGAGAAGTTATGGGCTAAAGAGAATTTAGTAAGAGAAGTAATGGGCTAAAGAGAAGTTAATAAGAGAAGTTATAGGCTAAAAAGAAGTTAATAAGAGAAGTTATGGGCTAAAGAGAATTTAGTAAGAGAAGTTATGGGCTAAAGAGAAGTTAATATGAGAAGTAATGGGCTAAAGAGATGTTAATAAAGAAGTTATGGGCTAAAGAGAAGTTAATAAGAGAAGTTATGGTGGATATAGAACACAGTTGAAAAAACTGACTGACCTGTGACCAGAACGCAAACACACGGAGGGATGTGACGGGTGAGAAAAACAAGAACGGTATTGGTAACTCTATGACGTAAGTGATGACACAGCTGAGCTTCAAGAACCATTCGGGCAGTTGATGCCAGTACCAGGCAGCGGGCGTTGGAATGCACTGTCAGGAAGAAACAGAATCTTTCAAGTTGTTTATCTTCACTATTTGCTGGTGGAGCTTTGTGGGAAAAATATATTTATTACTGCCATTTATTATTTTTTTTAAATTTTGTAAGGAAAATAAAAGGCAAGATATTTTACCTGAGATTCAAAGTGGACTGTGAGAGCTGTGGACGGAGACAAAGTGTTTGTTAGTTAGTTCCAAGATTGCTCTCCCATTTTCAACACAAGCACTAGCAAACAAGATATGTAGTTAATGAAAGATGTTTTTTATTTCAGAGTTAATTTATATCGAAATGTCTTTTCCAAATAATATTAATCAGAGTTGATTAGTCCAGCAAAGAATCCATTCTATCTCGTTAACCCCACCAGTAATCAGAGTTGATTAGTCCAGCAAGGAATCCATTCTATCTCGTTAACCACACCAGTAATCAGAGTTCATTAGTCCAGCAAGGAATCCATTCTATCTCATTAACCCCACCAGTAATCAGAGTTGATTAGTCCAGCAAGGAATCCATTCTATCTCGTTAACCCCACCAGTTTTTAATGGGCATTGTCTTAGGAATCTAGCTTTAAAGTCCCACCTGTAAAGCCCACTTGCCCCATCTGGAAATGAATATTTTATTGCCAAATAACTTTTAATTTCCATATAGTCCCATTGAATACCCAGACAATCTTCATTTCACACTAGATCCGTCAGTAGCTACTGATTGTTAGATCCATCAGTAGCTACTGGTTGTTAGATCCATCAGTATTTACTGGTTGTTAGATCCATTAGTATTTACTGGTTGTTAGATCCATCAGTATTTAGTGGTTGTTAGATCCATCAGTAGCTACTGTTTGCTAGATCCATCAGTAGCTACTGTTTGCTAGATCCATCAGTAGCTACTGTTTGCTAGATCCATCAGTAGCTACTGGTTGTTAGATCCATCAGTAGCTACTGCTTGCTAGATCTATCAGTAGCTACTTGTTGTTAGATCCATCAGTAGCTACTGTTTGCTAGATCCATCAGTAGCTACTGGTTGTTAGATCCATCAGTAGCTACAGGTTGTTAGATCCATCAGTAGCTACTGGTTGTTAGATCCATCAGTATTTACTGGTTGTTAGATCCATCAGTATTTACTGGTTGTTAGATCCAACAGTAGCTACTGGTTGGTCCCACACTATCACTGATGACCTTCCTAATCGAGACTCTCTGCGTGTAATTCCCAAATATACTTATGAGTAAATTAACACGTAGCTACCACCAGACTTACCTGTAAGTCCCCACCAGGATGGACACCTGCTCGTCAGCTTGACTACACCTGATGCAAACATGAGTCTGAACAACAACCACCTGGCCACCCAAAGAGTGATGCCGTCATGGGGGTTACCCTTGGGCCAGCGACGCCCGAGCAGCTGAAGGTTGAATGGTGCAATGATGATTGTCAGAAAACCAGCTTCTAATAATAGAATATCCCTGAAAAACAACAAGAAAAAAAAAAAGTTAAAATATCTATCCGGAATTACCGTCAGCTTAAGCTTGATACGGCAAACCTTAATTGTAGGTAAGGTATCTTCATTTAAAATGTTCATGTATTCTAGATCTCTATGACTGTAGGTTCTTCATTTGAACATTTTTCTATCAACTTAAAATAACCACATGCGTGTCGCATAACCACATCCGTGTCTCGTAACCACATGCACGTCTCATCGTCCAAAGATTAACCTTTAGGTTTTCCTACTCACCACTGAAACCACAAAAATGTTTGGCCCACCTGTAATGGAAACAAGAGAAGAGAACTTTAGCTCCGTATGAAGAGATGTTGCTGGCAACCAATTATAAGACTTTTATAGGACTTTCTGCCACTAACCATATGACTTATATAGGATTTTCTGCCACTAACTATAAGACTTATAACCTGCAGGACTTTATGCCACTAACTATAAGACTTATAACTTGCAGGACTTTGTTTCAGTTTTAATAATATTACTACAAGAATATTTTACTTTTTTTGTATAAGAAAATTAAAATGAACAAAAAGTCTCATTAAAGAGACCTGGTTTAAGATTAATGTGTATTAATTTAAATGAGACCTTATCTTAAATAGCTGTGTCATTATGTGACAATGTCTAAAATTACTTTATGTTACTGAGACTATGTGTATGATTACTGTATATTACTGAGACCATGTCTAAGATTACTGTTTTCTATTTAGACCAAGTCTAAGATACAGTATGTTACTGAGACTATGTCTAAGATTACTGTAAGTTACTGCAAATATGTGTAAGATTACTGTATGTTTTGAGACCATGTCAAAGATTACTGTATGTTACTGAGAATATGTGTAAGATTACTGTGTGTTACGGAGACCATGTCTAAGATTACTGCATGTTAGAGGCCATGTCTAAGATTACTGAATGACAAGCAGACCTGATATAGGGACAGGTAAAACATCCACAGCAGTGTGAAGGAGATGAAATCCCTGGCAGTCCGCGACACCACACAGAAGAAGGAGACTACAATCCCAGCCAGACAGATCAGATCCATCCCGGTCTGGGTGTCCAGACCAAGCCGAGGCATCAGTTTCAACAAGGTCGGCTGGCCTTCCATCAGATCGTGCCACGTGTTATCTCCTAGAGAAATCAACAGAATATGTCAGTAGAGGAAAGCTCCTATGCTATGTCCCACTACAGAAATTCTTATATTTCCTCTGTCTTTGCTTTCAGTATCTAGAAATTAAAAAATTGTTTTCTATATTTTCGTATAATATTTAGGAAACCATGACCAGGACAGAAGTCTTTACAATTATGTAAGTTTTTAGGGCTAGGGTCAGGGAACTTTTTCAAACTAAGAGCCACAACAAAAGAACTGAAGGCCAAGAGTGAGACTTATATGCAGATAACTTTATTTCTTGGCATCCATTAAAACGGATTTAAAAGAAAAAAAAGAGCCCATGGATATATGTATGACTTGTCCTGGTATTGACACACTTGACCCCACACCCACCCAAACACAATAGCGGAAATTTATTTTTTAAACATTTCTTGAGTAAGTTGACATTGAAGTTACTGCGAAAGTGACATGCTGACTAAGTTACTGGGACTAAAAGAACAGCAACTCTGTAAGTTCAGAGACCGAATGGCTCCGTAGCCACACCTGTGTGGTTTTTCCTACTTAAAAAATTTACATTTTTGCAGTCTGACAGTCACATGTTATGACAAGTGCATTTGTAAAACATGTAGCTTTCTTTAAAAAATGTGCGCGAATCCCAGAGATCCCATTATTTTTGTCATGAAAAGGCACATAGCTGGTAGCAGTCCAAATCTTTTCTAAAATGAAACATATTGTGTAAATAGAAGCATGTGTGGCTTGCATGTTCACCTAAAGAAATGGTGGATCTCAAGGGCTACAGTTTGCAGATCAAGGAACTGTAATGTTATCTTGTATCTAAAATAACTGCACATTTTTTTCTTAAATTAGTTTTTAAAAAAAAAGAATTAAATAACTGTAATAAGTCATTTATGTGCAATTAATAGTGCAGAGGTTGCAGAGGTCATCATATTGAGACATCTTCATAGCTGCAGAGGTCAGTGTAGTGACAAATCTTCATAACTGCAGAGGTCACTGTATTGAGAAATCTTCATTTTGAGAGACACTTCTAAAGAACGGTGCAGAACATGAACTGGTTTTTGGTGCCGTTGAAGTCAAGGGGAGATGTTTTCAACTCAAGTGACAAAGTTTCACTGTCTAAAATATTTCATTGACATTTCAATTGGTCACATGAACATGCCACAAGAAAATACTTGTATGATAATAATTCATCTATAAGACTCACCTTCCTTGACTACTAGCCTTGCTGGTAGAATGCCATTATATAATTCCTATATAAGACTCAACTTCCTTGACTACTAGCCTTGCTGGTAGAATGCCATTATATAATTCCTATATAAGACTCACCTTCCTTGACTACCAGCCTTGCTGGTAGAATGCCATTATATAATTCCTATATAAGACTCACCTTCCTTGACTACTAGCCTTGCTGGTAGAATGCCATTATATAATTCCTATATAAGACTCACCTTCCTTGACTACTAGCCTTGCTGGTAGAATGCCATTATATAATTCCTATATAAGACTCACCTTCCTTGACTACTAGCCTTGCTGGTAGAATGCCATTATATAATTCCTATATAAGACTCACCTTCCTTGACTACTAGCCTTGCTGGTAGAATGCCATTATCTCCATACAACCCTGGCAATGTTCAAAAATATTTTTTTTAATACAGAAATGAATTCAAATAATTTTCATATCAGCTGTCAAGGAATTTCTAATAAAGATGTAAATCATTAAAAATCAAAATTTCTTTTTTTAAAAATCCTTGTGTAAAGTACATCATCCAATGGACACTTTTAATTACTAATTGTATATCAAGAGAGTTCATTCATTTTATTACTAAATAAAAGGTTGCAAATAAAAATCATTTATTATTGAAATTGTTGAATTTTGAAATTTAAACGATCCCAGTTTGGACCACTGGTTAGTGAGGGACTCATGGCTCAGCATAGTATAGATTTTAAAGATAGTGTTTCACATGAAAGAATTATGTTGATATAGCCCGCCAAACAATGGCAGCCGCATGCATGAATTTCCCATCTGCTAAAGATACAGGAAAAAACATGCATTCAAGTAATGCACTTTGTAAGACTCTTAATTAGTGACCCCCGCCCCCACCCCAAGGTTTGCAACACACACTTTTTTCAAGCGCCTGAACTAAATAAATATTCTAACGTCTCGCCCCCCTTTATACTGCTGATTTATAACACCATATTTATATTGAGAATATTTCCCTAAAACAAAAGAAAATATTATGCACCAAATGCACTTGCTGTATTTTTAAGAATTTCATTTAGCTCAATTATGAGGAATTGTATTTAGTGAACTCAGCGCCATCTGGTAGCGTTAGTTAAATTGTTTCATAGAGAATCATGTATTTTCATTTGTATATTTAATATTCACTTATTCTGATTTGTTCTTTTACCATTAATTAAATGTGTAAAAACAAAAAGTTAAGGTCTCCAAAAAAGGACAACAAATTTACTTAATGTATTATAATTATGTCCTTCTACTGACTTGCAAGTGAGGAGTAGAGAATTTTCAAGTTATGATAGTCAAGGTTTATATATTTTTTTAACAATATTTTACTATAATGAGATCTGGCCACATCATTCGCAGGCGCGTTATGGAACATATGTGTTATTGAACATATGTGTTATTGAACATGTGTTATTGAACATATGTGTTATTGAACATATGTGCTATTGAACATATGTGTTATTGAACATATGTGTTATTGAACATACGTGTTATTGAACATACGTGTCATTGAACATATGTGTTGTCTAAAACTAAATTTACAAGTGGTTTCACATTTCATTATGACATATATATTATAATTGCATAATATTTGGTTTTTCTGGTTATATCTATTGCAAAAGGTTTGTATGTTGTAATAATACTCACCTGCAATGTATACAAATTACAATTCCTGGTGCTGATTCTTTTTTCAAATCTCATTTTTTTAAATTAGGTCGTTACTTTGAAATTTAAGTGTGTTTAGGATTTATTCTTAAATGTAACATATTTTCCAACCTGTACGGTCTACCAGTACTTTGAACAGCTTTTATACATTTGCCGAGGTGTAAGGCCATATAGGCTCTTGTACAATTTTTCACTGGATGTAGAAAAGAAATACTTTTCAACAAGGCACATGTTCAAATCTGGCAGTGCAAAAAAATTCAACTTTGGACAACAGGAAGCTTAAAGCTCACTGGCCATCTAAATGTAAAAGCTGAGTGCGGTTTCGTTGATATATTTCATTAATACTAAGACAGCAAAGTACGGTGTAACTACTTTGAGTAGTAAACCACAATTATGTTTGTATGATTCATTACAAGAACTGCAATGTTAGTGAGTGATGTTTTAATTTCCATTAAATAATTACATTTATTTAATATTTCTATCAATGACCAGCATTCTGTCATTATTCATGGATTTATTACTACAGCATGGCTTAATTTAACTTGTTGACACTTTCTAAAACCAAAAGGGGCTGTGATCTTCTTAGTTGTATAGATATAAGTTAAGTATAGCCGGATCAGTGAGAATATTAAGCTGTATTATATTATATTCCTTTTTTACTTACTATTTTACTTCAGATGGAAAATTCCAATGGTAATTAACATATTAAATATACATAGAGTATAGAGTTTTATCCTCATGACATTTTGCTCCTCTTCCAATTGGTGAAAAATAAGGTTAAATGTTGAACTCAGTAACTTTGTCAAGGGTGGAGTAATGATAAATAACTTAAATTTAAATACAAGACTCTGGATTACTACCGCTAGCATAATTAACAGAAGAATTATGTCTAATTACAACTTAACTAGTATCAAATCCATTTTTTACCAATTATTATTGACCAGTGTCAAAATAATAAAAATTTGTCAAAAATTGGACAATACAAGCTATTGATCTACCCATTTATGAATGATTTATAACATGCCAAAATGTGCATGAAGTGAAGTTTTCTAATTTATGCATTCAAAAAATAGATTAAAAAAAGGTTTATATATTAAATTTTTTTAGAGTTTTCATTTCATTCTGTACAGTTTTTAAAGACTTTAGTAAAGTTTTTTAATCACTCACGTTTATATGTATAATGTTATTATATATTAACTTTGTTCATTTCACTTTTTAATATATTAATAATATTATATATTCTTTATAAACCCATTTAATTTTTTAATGCAAATACTACTTAATTGGCCAGCTAAAATTTAGAATTCGGTACGGGTGGCGATGTCTTCCGCAGTATATATAATAGGCTAGGTCATGATGGAGGTTCACTAGGTCAATACTTACCTGTAGACCCTAGTGTCATACTCAAATAAAAAAATGTTGATATTTACCTCTTTTTTATTTGATACAAGATTTTTTTTCTCCAATTATTTTTTAGGGGTCAATGGGAGACTTTTGTTATTTTTGTTTTGAAAGTGGGGGAGGGAAATCCTCCCCAGTGCCAGTAATTTTGAGTAATACTAAATTTTAGGACAACCGAGACATTACTGACAACTGCACTTCAGGATGAGACAAATCTTGTAAAATGCTCATACCTTTAACATTTACCATCACCAAAGAGCCTGACTAATTAGGCCCTAGTATTTTATTTAATACTAACAAGTCATAGTCATAGTATGAAGTATAGTTATTGAATTGACATTGATTTGATTGAATAATATCCCCAAAACCATGGGTCACTTCTAAAATAATTGGTGCTAACAAAAGCCCATAGAAAAAATAGTTTCTTTATTTTTTTTATTTACTTTTTTTAATAGGGAATATATTATAGGCTATTTAGTATTTAAAAAATGAGGAGTGCGAAATTATGTGCCTTCCAAAAAAAAATATGTACCGCGTAGAATATTGCAGTTATGCACCTTTTTAATTTTGGACTTAACGTCATTTGGTATTGACATGGGAAATTATCAAGCTCAAAAACATCTTACCTGGAATTTGAATGTATAATGACAAGAATGCGAATAAATAAACTAAAGACATAAACCATAAAAAGCAATCTCTTGTCCTGTACACGGAACCCATTTTCAAACTGCATATGGTAAACAAAAGAAAATTACAGATCGCTCAGAGTAGCCTCCCTTCGACGGGGAAAAAAACAAAAGGGAAAAAAAAAACTGCTATATTACATAATGTCATTTTAAATTGAAATTTCGGATTAAAAATACTTTAAAAATTAATTTTTAAAAGATTTTCGATTAAAGAAAAGTTATAAAAGCACTAAGAAGTAGACCTTTTTTTTTTTTTTTTTTTTTTCATTTCGTTTTTGTTTTCCATGAATCACGATGGATGTTTTGCTTTCGATTTGACTCATCCTGTTGCCAATTTCATATCTTGTGATCAGCTGTCTAACGTTGTTTCAGTTTCACAATTTGATTACTAGCAGGCCAAACGGGGAAAAGCCAGTTGGTAACTTTACTGGCACTCAAGTTGTATGGTTACGCAGTTGTTTCTGTTCAAGTTGTTGCTGAGACGGTATTTGCAGTTATACGGTTAAAGTTGTTTGGGTGAGTCGGTGTTATGTGTTTGTTTGTTTTTGTGAAGCCGACACATCTTCTGGGTCATCTTTTGAATAAAATTGCTCAAAAATGTTTTCATAAAAAAAAAAAAAAAATCAGTTTTTATTTAAAATTCATTTCTTCTAAATGCGTAAATAATTATGTTATAATTACTTAGACTTGATGCTAAATTTAAGTTTTGGCCTTACGCTAATCACTCTTTTAGTAAGACATAAAAACGGGTGTCCTGTTCAGTAGTGTTTAGTTTTCAATATTATCACCCTCCTATCTATTGGAATAGTTACAATCTACTGTATAGGTCTTTATTATGCAGTGCCCAGGGCCTTACGCTTCTAAGGGGCCTCGCGCTTCTAGGAGACTCACTCTCTAGCGGCTTCATGCTTTACATCTTGTTAATGAATATTGAAAGATTTTTGCAATTTAATTTGATTTAAAAGTCAGTGGACAGCACATTTCCCAATTTTGACCCAAATTATTTTTGACACATTCCAAATTTAATATTTTAAATGTGAATCACAAGTTGTATACTCCTTAAAGGGGAATAACTCTCGTCAACAAGTTTCACTTTTTCCAGATATGAATCAAAAAAAAAAAAAAATACCGTTGTAAGAATGTGTGCATACAAGCATGTTAGACTAAGATGTTAGTCCCGGGTAATAATAATCGTAGCAATATTTCTGTTCCTGGTGTTGATGAGGAAATTTCACTGATTTCCAGTGCCACTTTGTGAGGGAATCATGCACTAGGGGTTTGAAGGCTTGAGGCAATAGACACAAATGTGTCTAGTGTTGTCGCCTCAACCGCTCCTTTTGAAAGATTGTTCCAGTCCCTGATTGTCTTGGGCAGGAATGAGCAGCTCCTATACTGGCTTCTTGCTGGTATGAGCCTGAATTGCCTGTCATGGCATCGTCGCTGTAAAGGAAGACTGTGTACTCTGTGAATCCAAAATTTTTGATTGAGTGTAGCCGAAACTTGTTTTGTCTTAATTTATTTTGAAAATATTTTCCGCACAGCTTTCTTTGAGTAATGAATGTATTTTAAAGAAATGTAACATTATTTTTCTACTTTTTAGTTAGTTTTAACTCATCCTTGATAGACATTTGTGTTCCCTACTTTTTAGTATTAGATCTAAACTTATAATCTTTAAATTATCGATAAGAGTAAAAAAAAATCTAAAAAAAACACAAAAAAATACAAAAAACAGAATGCTTACAAAATCCATGTTGAGGAGACTTAACTCCTTGCCTTACCTGGGCATTAAACTAAAATAGTAGATCTGAGCTCACCCACCAACCCCTTCACTCAAAGAGGCTGACGCGGTCAACCACGATAATTTGAGTGACAGTGTCAACCCGCCTCCTTCGAACGTGCATTAAAAGGAGCTCGCTGACTCTCCTACCGGTCCTTTTCCAGTTGTTCACCGGGTGAACACTGCACGAGAAAGACTCAATCGACCGAAGGTCACGTACGTCAACAACAAACAATATTACCCTCCACAAGGTGGAAATGCGAGTAGAAAGAAAATCTATAATAATAATTAAAAAAAAGACAAGTGGTAAATAATTTTATTTATGAGAACATCATAACACTTCACATGAAGACATGTTTCGGCTGCGTGTCTATCAAGCTGACGTGCCATTGTTTTTAAGCTAAATTATTTGCAAAAAATGAGACTGTGTCTTATTTGCCTCGCTAGTTCCAAATCAAAGTTAGGTAGGCTATTATTATTTTAGATTTGGTTAGGGGACAAAACACAACTAAACCTAAAAGAACTAGCCCCTTGCTGTATGTGGCCTTTAGTTCGCGATTCGATATTTTTTGCCTTTGTGACCCGGTACTGGGTCACGACTCACGACCCGGTCTTTGAAAAAGGCTGAATGAATGCATTACCAGATTTCACTCAAGGTGAATGGGGCCGATTAGTAAAATAATCGATCGAATATTTTTGGGAAAGACCCGATTCCAAAAAGAGTATAATATTTATTTTTTAAAAAATTATGAATGGCGACTGACCTTTAATGACGTCAAGCAAAAATTGGAAAAGGTGGTGGTGGTTTGGGAGTGGGGGGGGGGGGGGTTACGTATTATCATTATGGGGGTGTCTAAACTTTGTATTAAATTCATGACGAAGGGGGAAAAAATAGTCTGACGTCATTTGCGGATGAAGCGTTCGGGATTGTTATTTAGCCACCTTATTATAATAGAATTATTGTTATATTTACTCGCTATCATTTTCGTTGTCTCATCTTATTCTCTCTCTTATTCCTTCGACCTCAATTCTCCATTTAGATTGTTCATTTCCTCTCCCCCGCCTCGGTCTCACATCACCACTCTCTTTTTTTTTT